ATTCTTAATTATTATTAACTATTTTAAGGAGTTTAGATATTACCTTATAGAAAGCCTTCATTAAATTAAAATTTATACTAACTATTAAAATATTTTATACTTTATTATTACTTAAAAACTAAACCGATAATAACTATATTATATAGAATACCTATATAAATTTAATTTTATAATTATTTACTATAAAAAATCTAATAATAAATAAGTAAATACTATTAATTAAAAACCGGATTATAATATTAATATAACTAAATATAATAAGTAAGTTTTAAAATATAATAATAAAGGGGAATATAAATTTACCTAATAAACCAGAATAATTATATATATTTAAATAAAGAAATTTAAATTATAATTTATTATAAAATCTAATAAATAACTCTAAAAAGAATACTAAGTATAGTTATAAAACGCTTTTTATAATATCTAGAAAATAATATTTAAACCAGACGGTTTAGTTATAGAATAATATATACTATAAGATTATTAGGAATTATTAATATAGGAAATATATAAATATCCCCTATATAGTTACTAAGGTATTATAAAAATATTAAAATAAATATAAAAAAACTATTAAGGAAAAAAACTTAAAAAGACTATTAAGAAAGTTATTAAGTAATATAACCTATATAAAAAGATAAAAATATAATAATATAAACCCTATAGGAACTTATAGATACTATTAATTATATAATAACCTTAAGATTTAATTATAATAGACTTTATAACTAAACTATTACTATTTAAAGAATCCTTAATTAATATTTTTTATAATAGTATTATAGTTATTATTAACTAATTAATAAAATTCTTATATTATTTACCTTATAGAAAGGCTATAAATATAAAAGAACTTTTCTATATTTTTTATTAATATATTATAGCTATTTATAGCTTACTAAATAAAATTATATCAAATAGAGAATTAATATTTATAGCTAAGTTTTAATAATTACTTATAGTATATTTAAGACTAAACTATAAACTATTAATAGTATTTAGGCTATAAATAAATAGTTAGACTAAAGAAATAAACTAAATACTAAAATAATACCTACGGTATTATATTAACTATAAATAGAATAATTAGGTAGAAAAATTACTATTAGCCTAACTTACCTATAATACCGCCTATAATAAAAATATAAAATTTATACCTACCTTCGCCAATTTTGGTTTTATACTAGATATATTCTACTATATATAGGAACCTAAATCTATTAACCTAATAGTTATTATTAAAAATAAAGACCTTAAAATACTATATAAAGAAATAAAAACGAAACTTAAATTTATTAAAAATTAAATAAATAACTACTATAACCTAAAATGGATAAAAGGACTATTTTTCTTAAAGGGAAATATAATTTACCTTACCATAAAAAATATCTTAATAAAATAACTATTTAAAAAACTTAACTATAAATATATTAAACTATATAAAATTATATAAAAATTTTTAAAAAATAACTATAAACTAGACTTACTACCGAAGGTTAAGCTCTACCTAACCTTTTATATTACGCTATTAGAATTAATAGTTAATACTATTTAAGTTAAGACTAAAAATAAACTAGAAAAGATTAAAAGGCTAGAAGCCTATAAAGCTAAAGTAATTAAGGAAATATATAAATATAAAGGTAGAAAAAAATACCTAGTTAAATAGAAAAACTACCTAGAAAGTAAAAATATATAAAAACTAACTAAATACCTTATTAATACCTAATAACTCCTAAAGAACTTCTATTAATAAGAATATTAATATAAATAGAATTCTAGTTAATTATATTAAAATACCTTAGAGACTATAAGTTAATAACCATAAATAACTTTTCGGTAATAAACTTACTTAACTCCTCTTAAGATTATATTCTATAAGTAAATAAATTATTACCCTTTTTCTTTAAAGCCTGCTTTTATTTATAAACTTAAGTAAGATATATTATAGTAAGCTTAAAAGCTACCTTTATATCTTTCTTTTCCTTCTCTAGCTTTATATAAGCTTTTATATTTTAAGAAATTATAAAAAAATATTAAAAGAAAAATAAAAAAAACACTAAAAAAGAACTTATAATAAAAAGCAATTCCTATACTATTATAAACTACTTTAGCCTTAATATAATTTTAATAATAATAGGACTAATTACCTTTAACTTAATAAAAATAACTATTTTAAAAATAATAAAAATATAATATAATTTTATTACTATACTTAATAATATATTTAGATAATTTTAAAGCTTTTATAGTTTTTAAATAAGATTTCTATTTTAAAATGTAATTAAATATTATAAACTATATATATAATAAGTTTTTATAAGTCTAGGTTATAACCTTACCTAGTAAAAAAATAAATAGGTAGTTATATAGGTCTTAAAGATAAGACTATTAAAGAGGAAGAGATTATATTATAACCTTAGTCAGACACGTTATATACCCCCTATAAATTATATTAATTATAAAACTATATTATAAACCGACCCTATAGGCATCTTAGTCTATAAAATACTAATAAAACTAATAATTAATATCGCCTGGTCTATATAAAACTAACCTTATATTTACTTTAATTTAATATCTATACTTTAGTATATAAAATATATTTATTAATACTTTTATAGATATTAACTTACTAGCTATTAATATAACTTCTTTACCTTAATACGCCTAACCTACTCTATTAACTATTAAAAGACATATCTTCTTTATTACCGCTTAGAATATATCTTATAATCCTATAAATATATACCTAAGTATGGCTTAATATATCCCTTTAGAAACCTAACTGTTATAATATTACTTTTTATTATTTTATAAAATTATTAAAAATAAATCTTTTAACTAGATATAAAAAAGAATTAAATCTAAATAAAAAAAGATTAATAAAAGGTTAGTATATATTATTTAATATTATATATTAAATAGTATTATTATTTTAATTATATTATTATTTTTTATAGTTAATAGCTAACTTAAAGGCCTTAAATAACTTAATTAATATTTTATAACTAAAGTCTTTAAATAGGTTTAAATTATTACTATTAAAGCTATTTTTATTTTAGGTAGACCTTTAGTATTTACGGTTTATATTAAATTAATATAAAGTTATATTAAAATATATTATTATATAAACTTACTTTTAAAGAAATAGCTAGTTTTAAAATAGTTTTAATTATAGTTAGTATAATTAGGGGATTTATTTCTAACTATATAATATAAAAAGGTATTATTTCCTTTTATATATTTATTATAGGCCTTTAAATAACTATCCTTTTTATTATATATTACTTTATAAAGCTAATAAAGTATAATATTATAATTCTAATTACTTTAAAAGTTAAAAATATAAAACTTTTTATTATTTTAGACTTTTTAATATATATATTAATATAATAAGGTTTTTATAATAGTAAATATATAGCTATAAATATAATTTAATTTATTTATAAATTTCTTATTAACAGCCTTAAGACCTTTAATAATATAGCCTTTAAGTATATATATAACTACCTAGATAGTTAATTCCTTAATTAAATTAAGTATATTATTTATATATAAAAATATATATATATTAATATTATATATATACTTAAGAAGTTTAATAAAAGTATATTTTTTAAGATTCTTTTTTATAGTAATCTTTATTTTTATATAAATAGTTTTATTTTTTACCTTTTTAAGATTTTTAGCCTTTTAAGTAATAATAATAACTTTCTTTACGGTAATATTAAGTAAAGGTATAAAGTTTATAGTAATACTTTTTTATTTATAAGGTAATATTATAATAATTTATATATTATTATATATAAATAGGAAAGTTAAATAAGTAATTATAAAGGTAATTATATATAAATATAGAAAGGTAAATATTATTATAATTATATTATATTAATTTTAATAATATAAAAAGAGGTATATAAAATGGTAAGTAAAATAGCCTATAAGTAATATTATTATATAGCTTTAAAGTATATAAAAGTAATAAAATTAATATTAAGGTATAGTATTATATTATAATAATGTTATAATACTTTAAATAAAGGTATTTTTACTTTTTAATATATAATAATAAAGGAAAAAGAAAAGGAAGCTAGGCTATAGTTTATAATATTAAGATTTATAAGGTATTATATAATTATATTAATTATATAATTTAATCCTAGATTTTTATATATCTAACCTACAGGGCCGTATAGAGGTATAAACCTAGCCTATTAAGACTTTATGGACACTGAGCCTTCTTGCCTTCCGTAATGAGAGGGTAAGCAGTACTTGACTAAACTGAGCGTTTTTCGCTTACAAGTCCGACCAGCCAAGCCAAACGTTTTTCAAGATAAGCTTCTCTCGTAAGCTTAATCCCAACCCTCGGCAGTTACATACTGACCAGGGGCCAAAGGAAATATTCCGCATTATGCCAAAGAAAATGCAACATACCCCATCACGAATCCTCCCTATTCCGTCCCTCTGTAACATAGGCGCCCAGGCTAAGAACGCCTTCCGTTGACGGACCAGTCACAACTTGCCAGTGAGTTCAGCTGACAGGGGGTAAGACCGTTCCCTCGACCCTTTGTGTATGCATCTCAAATTGCAGCTGAAAGGTTGTCCTCTTGAAATTGAGAAGATCACCGTTGTGCGAAGAGGTAAGTGGTTGATATAGATGGGGTTGTTGCTTGGCGGCGCTTCAGAGTGACAACGGCTGCTAGACCTGGTCTGCCTTATCGTCGTGGTTGTTGCTAGGATTGTGGGTGTACAATGTACAAAAGATAGCCTTTTCGCCTTTTTCGGTTGGGCGAATGTGCGTACCACATGGCCGTTTAAAGCGTCTCGAGCTACGATTCACCGTTGAAGATGAAAAGCCTCATTTGGCTAGCCTTTTGGAATTTGGGTACGTAAACCGCATCGTACAATATTACAAGTGTCAAATACTTATCGACTATTTGCTTTTTGCAGGCCTTTTTGCCCTATCAATATGCGTTCTCGCAGGATGCCGATCTAGCATGGAGAAGAACTACAGTCTTTTGAACTGGCCGCGATCGACTATAGGACTCATTTGGGGACAAGAGTGCGAGGAGGCCACCGCCAGCATCATCCCCGACGTTTACAGATTCGGCATATCTGGTAAGCGATTCATTTTACGAAGCATGGAAACCAAAGCTGACGAATGCCTGGTAGGTTTGTGCAGGGTGACAGATGGCAAAACAAAATGCAAAAGTCAATTTCCACCAACACTCAATCTCGCACAAGCTGTCCTGCAAGACCTCGACGAGGCAGGCAAAGATGGAGCGTCGATAGACTCGACAACACTGGAGAAGTGCCGAGAAGCAATCGACAAGCCCATAAATCACGGTATGGCGAAGAAGCTCGGCATAGTAATGATATCCTTCATCATCGCTTCCGTCTTCATCAACATTATCTCCCTCGTCGTGGCAGCCGCAAGCGGGTCGGCATTTAGTATAGCATCCACCGCCGTGCTAGCCACAGATGCTTTATTCATCTTCACCAGCATTATCTTGTGCATCGCCATGATGAACTTTGAAGGCGGTGGGTACCTGAAGGAGGTCAATGGGCGGGAATTCTCGGACAGAGAAATGATCGGGATAGCGATTTGGATGCTGGTTGCCATGCTCATCGGTCGCGTGTTGTCAAATTTCTGGTTGATCATTGGCGCTATCTGTATTCTGCTTCCTATTGCGCTGGTGTTTGTTCTATTTCTTGTACGCACTCGGGGTTTCTTCGCTGTTGTTCGCGCCGCTACAGCAGAATAGAACAAGCGATGCTGCTTCAAGGGGCGAGTTGAAGCTAAACCGTCGAAAAGAGTTTAGGGAATAATTTCTCCTTAGCTGAGGCTGAAAGCCACTCAATAGCTCCAGCATGCCCTCATGTGGCCGGAATAAAGAATCGATGACTTGACTCTCCCTGCTATCACATTCGTGAAATCCCTATACTTTCAATTCGCATTTCCATCTCAGCCCTCTCAATAAGCTTAACCAATAAACCCGCCGCAAGTGCCGCCTCGCGCGTTCCTTGCACAAAGCTTGGCTATTGCTTAAACCGAATTAACCTTTTGCCCTGGAATCAGGGACGAAAGCTTAATCCCGCGCCAAGACAGGGATGGCCGCTGGCTTCAGGGTCGTTCGCAATAGAAGCAGCCACAATTCCATAAAATGCCAATGTTTGCCAGATTGTGGCGTTGGCGAATTCGATTATCTGGACTGCATTCGGAGTAGTCCAATATTCCAAGCTGAACTAAGGGGGAGCTTGGGTATTGAAACCAGCTAAGACATGTTCTAGACGCAAGGCTATTGTTCACGGGGAAGGGTCTGTTAGTCTAGACAAATATTTCATACGTTAGGGTGAGGATGAAGATGAGGGGATATGGGAGGAAGAGATTGTCTATATAATACAAGCACTTGTCCTGATTTCCTATCAATTAGATGTAACAGCTTCCTCTCCACCACTCCTTCACTTTCCTTAAGTGTCTTCAGCACTCCCTCCCCTTTCCCCTCCCACGCGGCAACACCGCTCTGCATTCCTTTCTTCTCTTTTCTTTACATTTCTCACTGTAAATCATCATCATCGCCACCACCATAGTCATCATGTTTTCTCCTTGGATCTTCACTGTTCTTACTTGTCTTCTCGCCGTTGCAACAGCATTGCAGTCTCCCTCTTACAGCGGCTTCACTCGTGTCTGGCACCAGGACTTCAACGGTAATGCCGGCACCTTGCCCGACTCGAACACATGGCACATTATCCAAAAGCAAAAGAACTTCAACAACGAAGTCCAGGCCTACGTTAAGAGCACAAGCAACCTTAGAAAGAGTGGTAAGGGCTCTCTTCAGATGATCCCGCTGTGGTCTAATGGGCGATGGACATCGTCTCGCATTGAGAGCAAGTACGCCCTCACCCCAAAGGTCGGCAGAGTTACCAGGGTTGAGGCAAAACTCCGTCTGGGCGGTAACTCTTCTCGGAGCAAGCAAGGCATCTGGCCTGCCTTCTGGCTCCTGGGCGCTTCCATTCGAAAGGGCGTAGAATGGCCTGCCTGTGGAGAGCTTGATATCATGGAGAACATCAATGGCGAAAGTATCGGTTATGGTGCTGCTCATTGTGACCAGGCGCCTGGTGGCATTTGCAACGAGCCTGGTGGTATCGCCAGCAACATCGAACTGCCCGATAGCAACTACCACACTTGGCGAGTTCAATTCGATCGTAGGTACAGCAACTACAGGTCGCAATCCATCACTTGGTACCGGGATGGCAGGGTCTTCCATCGGGTAACCGGTGCCCAGATTGGAAATACCAAAACCTGGGCGACTCTATGTCACAGCCCTCTCTTTGTTATCTTTAACGTCGCTGTCGGTGGTGATTGGGTAAGTCTTCGACCCTGAGATATCTGTAAGACATTCGCTAACAAGACGATAGCCTGGCGCTCCCAACCGTAACACTAAGGATGGAATAGGAAGCCACATGGAAGTCGGCTACGTCGCTCACTATGTCTCGAAATAGAGACCAGCATCGCATTTTCTTTATCTCTATTTTGTATGTTTATAAATACCAATAATGAACCTTTGGCACTATGGGCTTGCATCCCTGCTGTGAAGTACTTGCTTTCTTTGCCGTTGATCTGAAGAACGAATATGCGGGCGTGCGTAATAAAATGGACTTACACGACCTACGAACGACGATTAATTCTCCACGACAATATCGATCACGCACCCTTGTGTTCGTTGATTAAGAATTGTTGCATTGATTTGAAAGGTACACAGGCGCTTTACATAGCGTGACCAAGTCAATTACCGTTTATTCCCCAACAATACCCAGCTTCGGCGTCCCTGGCCCAGAACTACTTCTCTTTCTCAGCTTCCCTCTCTCCGCCCTCGGTGTTGTTCCATCCGCACCAGGCTGCGACGCGGCTCTCCCAGTGCTCTTAGCGAACAGACTACCTAGTCTACTACGACGCTGCTCCCTCTCTCCATCTGCCACCGATGGACTGCCCGTGGTATTGCCCATGTTGAACGGCGGATCGTCGTATTGAGCATCGGGAATTGGCGGCGCATCGCTCGAGGGACCCGAGTTGTCTGGTCGCTGTTGGCGGTATTCGTTGGGGTGGTAGAATTTGCGATTGTCAATCTCGTAGAGACCGGCTTCAATCGCTGCTTGGTTCTTCTCCATGGCTTGGGGATTGCCACCGAAGTGCTTGTCGACAGTCTGGTTTAGCGTTCCACGAAGTGTTTCGCTGGCGCCCTGCCTGTGTGTTAGCATCAATTGTGCGGGGTGTGCTGAGTGGCACTTACATGGATACCTGCAGCAGCGGACTTGAGGTTTGCGAAAGTCGATTTACTCGCTGGCCGGGAATAATTCACAGCTTGAGAGGGATTGACAGCAGCGGTGGCAGTGGGGTTGTTCTCAACTGGTGGCGGAGGAGGAGGAGGGGGAGGAAAGGCGCCCTGTCCAATCTGTAAAGGCGCCGGCACAAACTCCTGCGACCTTCTAACATTTCGCTCAGGAATTGCAGGCGAATTGCTGCTATCTGGGACAGAAATTTGCGAAGGAATTGGGTCGCGTGGCGGAATGATTCGTCGACCTGGAGTCTCTAGACTCTTGCGACGCGATGTTGGGGTAATGGGCGATGGCTCATACGGCGTGGGCGTTATGTGTTGCACAGGCGGTTCTAGCTTGGACTGCACAGCAGCAGGCGGTTGGTATTGCTGCTGCTGCGGGGGAATTGGTGTGACGTTTTGGTTGCTGACGGTGGGCAGCTCCATCGCCGGCGTCGGCTCCTCAATCGTTGAAGTCGTGCCATTGGAGTTTGTGATTGTCGTCGTAGTCGTCGTGGTTGTAGTAGTAGTCGTTATCGTCTGTCCCGTATTGGGGTTCGTCACCGTCTCCCTCTTGATGGTAGGGCTGGTATAAGTGTCGGGCCCTGAGTTTGGGTTCAGGCTGGGCCCGCTGTTAGGGACGGCATAGGGGTTGGAGTTGGGGACAGGCGTTGGAATGTCGGGAGTCTTTCCTGGGCTCAATCCGCTGTTGCTCTTTGTGTTGCTCAGATCGCCCTCCGTTGTGAGCGAGTTGTTGGGTTCACTGCTCCCATACGTCGAGTCCCCCGACGTCTCTGCGTTTGTTTCGGGCGGGTAAAGTTCCTGGCTTTTGTGCTTTTCTTTCTCCCTTTCCTTTTCCCTCTCCCTGTCTTTGTCCTTGGAGGAGCTAAAAAGCTTCCATTTTGAGCGCTTCTCTTTGTCTTTGCCGAAACCACGGTCGTCTTGCATCGACATATTGACACGATGAACAAAAGTTTCGTACCTGTGTGATATGTAAGAAGAATTATTTCACTATCTTTTTTGATAAGAGTTGAATTGTATAACAAAATGAAACGGCTTTGACAACGGTTGGAGAGATGTAAATCAGGCTTATCCTGTAGGATGGATGGATTGCTGCAAATATGACGGTGATGAGGTCATTATACCCCGTCCCCAACTTGGAACTTCTCAGCCACCGCCGATCAAGTCTTGGGAGTAGCACTAACGCGCAATGACTACTTCATGACTTAATAGCACATATTTTCTCTGTGAGATGCTGTGGCGCGAGCTCGAGATCCATTGAACCCAGCCACATCTTTTAGCTTTGGTGACGAGTCTTTCATAGGTGGCGATAGAGTTCAAACATAGGATCTTAGCATTTTTGGCGATATCTGTGGTGGTGATCTGTTAGAGATCTATCTCATCTCGTTGAAGAGATGATGCGTCCAGTATTGAAACAAGCTTGGTCCAGAGGCCTCACCTACGTCTCTGAACTTACCCAGCCACGACAATCAATACTGCCGACCACGAATCTATCTAGCCTTTGCCGTAAAATATTGGCATCTGCCGTTTTGCCGTCTTCCCAGAGTGATGTAAAAAATGTGAAACCAATGCCAAGACAGTTCCGTTCAGGGTCTTGCACCATAGCTACCCTGCAAACAAGAGATTTCACCAAGGCCCGACAACAACACTAGTTAGCTAGCATACAGTAGCAGAAATACTATTCATTTCTGTTCTTATCTTAAATCAATGAGCTGCAATATTTAGAACAGATGAATTTCTCGGAGCTGCGTTTGTGTTGTCTACGCGGAAGTTTCACTGGACCCACCAGGTTGAATATTGATCTTCGTGTCAATCTGATAATTCTCCGGTGGAGAAGCAGGGGTATCACAGACTAGTTTCTTCAAGCTGCTTCACTATCAAACTTGTCAAATTCTAGCTGGTAACTTGGTTAAAAAGACTCTGTCTTAGCGTTTTGCTCCTATAACGACTCCACCTTGAGTTCGATCCAGTGTTTATATCTTGAAGGCAACAAATAGGTCCAACATACTTAATGCATTGGATTTAGTTGTTTTCGTCCGACATAATTTTATGGTGGTCATCTTGAATAGAGGGATGATGATCGTTGGCCATACTGCACACGGCAGGCTTTCTGAAGGTCAAAGTCTTATCCATAGGTCAAGGAGAGTTCTAATGAAGACAATGTAATTAAAAAGACGTTCTGAGACTGAAATGGACTTTCCAAATGTCTTTACTCGTCGTCTGATGTTCCTGTAGAACGTGTCGTTTCTTCGGGTTGTTCGCGTCAACAGGACACGAACACGAGATACACAACAGTTTGATGTGTTCGCAACCCCCTTTCTACATAGATCAAAGAGAGATCGAAGGACCTTGTAACAGTAGTCAGTGTTCCCTCGTAGCTCATAGCAACCTATGTAATAGCCATACTGTTCCCTCTTGTACTGCCAGTGCTCGTCCTTCCGCCCGATCCACTGGCGAACGTCCCCCTATACACATTGCACTCTACGGCACTGACAGCTATTCAAACTTCCTTTATGCCTCTGCAGTGCCATAACGAACATGTAGAACCTCATGAACAGGCTCATTCACTCAGGAGATTCCCTAGTATATATGCCCATCCTCACCTGCACTTCAGACTTCCTTCTTTCTTCCTCACCACACACTCTCACGCAACTATCATCAGCTTCTAGCTCTCTTTTATCAAGAACTCTTCTGATCATAATCAACTACAATCACTTTCCATCACTATCTTCCCTCATCAAAACCATCTACACTTTTCACCTTCTACACTCTACCCCCACACAAACATCCCCTTCACAACATCTCCTTTCCCCTACATCAAGATGTCTACCACTCCCACCAAGACCTGGGCCCCGGCCAACTGCGAGATCATCGACATCGGTGGCTCAAAGTTAAACAACACTTTCGATACCCAACTTCCTCTGGCCTTCCAGGGTGAAGAGTACTTCCCCAAGGAGGTTGCCTACACCACCGGGATGGATAAGTGGTGCAACATCGCTGATTCCTCTTATCAAACCTTTGATGAAATGAAGATCATCGAGGCTACCGCTGGCAGCATTGTATCCAACATCCCTACCCATGTCGGCACTATTGTTGACCTTGGTGCTGCTAACTCCCTCAAGTTCGAGCCTTATGTCAAGGCCTTCCTTGCTCAGAACAAGACATGTGTCTATGTTGCGCTCGACATCTGCCGCGATTCCCTCAAGGAGCATGTCGACAAGGCTGCTGCCAAGTTTCCCAGTGTCCTCTGTGTCGGCCTCTGGGGCAATTTTCAACAGGGTGATCGGTACTTTCACAGCATCCCCGGCCCAAGAGTTTTCCTCTCGCTTGGAAGCATTTTTTACAATGCCCCCGACAACATGTGCGTTGCCCGATGTGTTGAGTTCAAGAACCACATGGCTTCTCACCCCTACGACTGCCTCATCGTCGGTCAAGATGGACCCTCTACCACCGAGAGCACCGACTCCCACAAGGCCTACGGCACCAAGGAATACCACGCCTTTTTCACCACCTACCTGGCTGGTATCCAACGCCATGCTGGAATCGTCGCCGACGCTACCAAAGCCTGGACCTACGAGTCCAAGATGAATGCTTCCATGCATTACTTCAAGGTGACTGCTATGCAGACAATGGTCTGCACCCGCTACGACAACTTCGTTGTACAGGCGGGAACTGAATACACTATGTTCCCCTCTTGGAAGCGCGGTGAGGCAGAGATCCACAACATTACCAAGGTAATTGGTCTCAACATCAAGACCCTTGGAAAGTCCCCCAACTCTGGCATGCGCCAGTACATCATCGAGCCCAAGAACTAAGCGGTGATGGCAGCCACTTTCCATTTCTTCCTACTCTTGTTCACGGCTTTTCGATTATCGGATTTTGCGATTAGACAGCACAAAGACTCTCGACATTGAGACCGCCCACGCGGAGTATACCCCTTGCTTTTTCGGTTCACTATGTCATGACTAGAGAAGACGAGGATTTTCAGTACACAATGTTTTCACCCTTTGACTTTTGTTGATGGAGTTCGGATAGAGAACAAGCATGTCAGGAAATGACCAATGCTCACACGGGCACTCGCCATTTTGTGGTAGATAGTTTAGATGACTGCCCCCCTGAATAGACTCAAGTTCAGGAATATTCCTTCTCAACAGTGCAACTGTGAATGTTAAAAGTTAAGAGCTCCAAGACATTATTGCTAACTTTCTACAATTTCGTGCTCATGATCGAGCACATCATTCATGAGTCCATCATGACCTTAGACAGAAGGTCATGATGATGACGTAATCGTTTCCCTGTGGAGAAATTTGAAAGCTGGACTTTCACTCGTTTGAGAACTTAACTCTTCTTCCATCGTCTCAGACTTGCACAACCTAAACAATCATGTCCAAAAGAAACCTTTTGCTATGTTTCGACGCTTTCGGAACACTAATCAGGCCCATTCGGCCCGTGGCACAGCAATATGCCCAAGTCGCTCGACAATGTGGTCTTACCGACTTCGGCGATGATGAACTACAAACTACTCTGATATCGGCTATCAAGCAGGAGTCTAAGAGAAATCCCAATTATGGAAAGGAGACTGGTTTAGGAGCGACTAAGTGGTGGACAAACGTTCGTTGACATGTACCACAGACTGATTTGGTACTGATCATTTCTAGGTTATCCACAATACCTTCACTTCGGTTACAAAAGACGGGCAGCCCCTACCCCAAGACTTGGCTCCAAGGCTATTGCATCGCTTTGCGTCCAAGGAAGGCTATGAGACTGAGTTAGGTCTTATAGAAGCGTTCAAAGGCCTGAAGAGCAGCTCGTCCCGACACTTTGATAAGCTTGTCGTTGGTGTCGTTACAAACTCAGATGATCGAATACCCAGCATTCTTTCCTCATTGGGCCTATCAGTTAGTCAATTGAGATGTGGCACCGAATCAAATCCCGGGCAAATCAAGAGCCACACTTACGACATCGACTTCCATTGTATGTCCTACGATGTCGGCGTCGAGAAGCCAGACAAGCGCATCTTCAACGCCGCCGAGCTCATGCTCGCCCGAGTCATCAGTGCTCGCAATGGCAAGGGTCTTAGAGAGGTCGAAGCTGAGGCAGAAAGCTGGCAGAAGGTTTATGTCGGCGATGATTACTCCAAGGATGTTGTTGGATCAGCCAATGCGGGCTGGAACCCGGTGCTACTCGACCCTAAAGACGAATGTGCCAGTATCACTGACTTGAGGCTCTGGCGATCATCCCCTGGCGAGAAGTCCCAGGGAAGGACTTGCAAGATAGAAGACCATCCTGGCAAGACAGTGGGAGATTTGTTTACAGACTACGACGTTGTGACTGTTCACTCGCTTCGCAATCTTATTTCGTGGCTTACTTAAGGATCGGCTCAGGACAGAATAAACAGGCTGTTTGTTGGAGAGGATAAGAAGAGAGGCCCAAAGGCCAGCCGCCGCGATGAACACCCTGGTAAGATTGGGACAAATACGCCAATGCCCCCCGCCGTAATCTTGCAGTAATGGAACTAGCGGGTCCATTAGTTACTCAATCGAGGTTACCAAAATGAATCATACCGAATCATTCCTAAAACATATAAGCCCACTTTCTATCAGATTTATGCATATATAGTAGATCAAGAACATCGTGTACTTCACCCTCAAGACCCATCATTCTATTCTGTTGCCCTCCGGAATTCTCTCTCCAACACAAAGAAACTGAGAACACGATGACCGAAAACGCAACTATGGACCTAGAAATATCAATCGTGGAATCAACCAGACTCATCACCCCCAGCGAAGAACAAGCACTTCCTCTCTCTCTTCTCGACTGCACAGCGGCCAACTTCTCAAACGCAAGCGCCATATGGCTTTTCCAAAAGCCAACCCCTCCACCGGGTGATACCTTCAATCTCGCATGCCATCTCCGCGAATCTCTCGCCCACACTCTACAATCATATCCACAATGGATGGGTCACCTCAAGGCTGTTGAATCCACAGATGGAACCGTCCCTCCTGAAGCGAAACACTTTCCTCCCCATGCGCGACGCTTTGGACGCATTTACGCACACTTTGGGACAGAGAATGACCCTGGAGTCGAATTCGTCCATGCTAAAAGCTCAGCAACTCTCGACTCGTTATATCCCTCAAATCGAATTTCGAAGCAGCCCTCCTGGCTATGCGACTCCAGTATCTTCGCGAGGTTTATGGCGCCTGTTCCTATTTCCCAACCATTGAAACACTCTATAAAAGACGTCAATGGACTGCTTTATCCTCTCCTGGCTATTCAAGTCACCGAGCTAGCCTGTGGTGGCTTTGTGTTAGCTCTGAACGGCGCACATCCTCTTGCGGATGCTATTACTTTCATATCACTTCTCAAAGACTGCGCATCTGTCAGCCGCTCTATCTTAGAGGGACAGCCTGTATCTCATTCAAAGCCGGTATTTGATCACACTCTTATCGATGACAACGCCGCTGGAGACATCAATGCAAACCAACCGGATGAAGTCATTATTCAACAAGCATTGTCCTTACCAATGAACAGGCATGACTGGTGGGCACCAGGGTCAGCACCCCCTTGGCCATTCAAGATCCCAGCGCCTTTCGATATTAAAGACCTACAACCCGCAGGTAAGGCCATGCCGTGGGCCGAATGGGACTTTGCTTCGCCAGTTTCAAACTACGTTGTTCATCTAAGCCGCGAACAAGTCAACTCCCTCTGGACCAAGGCCAACGAAAACTCACCTCAGAAACTCAGTCAGCACGACGCTATCCTAGGCCACATCTGGTCTTGCATCGCCCGTGCTCGCGGCCTAGAAAACGACACCGAACTTATCCATTGCGATCTCGTGTACGGAGTCCGCTCGTCATTCCAACTCGACGACAGGTTCCTCGGATCTCCGGTCGTCATGATGAACGTCGAGCTACCTGCTTCCAGAGTCTCTGACTCTAACAATTTGACCGAGGTGGCAACTACAGTCCGCACCACCCTCAAGAAGATCGCGGACCCCTCCAACCTGGCAGCCCATCTACACGGCGTGGCCTTCGAGAAGTCCCCTCAACGGATATGGCAAGCCTTTTTGGGTCGACGTCACCTCATAGTCACGACTTGGGCGCGAGCGGGGATTTACAATGTCGACTTTGGGTTTGGGTCTACCTGCAGTTACGCTGAAGGTGTGGTGCCTGAAATGGATGGTAATGTTTTGATCAAGGAAGCACCAGGGCCTCCTGCGAAGTACTGGACTGATAATGGCGTGGATATTTCTATTCATGTCAAGGCAAGCGATATGGAACGATTGATTAAAGACCCGCTGCTTCATCCCCACGTTGTTTAGAGTCTGGATAGGTATATAGTACTTCAGAAATACCAACAAGTGTCGGTTTGCGTTTGCAGCCAAAACAATCTAACATTTCAAGATGCTTGAACGTATTTAAAGCCCTCGGCTATCTTATTTTTATCTTGGAGCAGATTACAGTCGTCGTTGTTGGTCTTGTTTCAGATAATTAATCATCCGGTTTAACATCGGGGCAGGCATTGCTGTTCCAAATTATTGTCCGCCTCTTCTATCAACGCAGAACAAGTCCGAAATCAACAAAGCCTGCCTCCGTTTCCTGTTTGATATTAGTATCAACGATAGTAAGCTTTCTAAAGGCTGATAACTTACCATTGTTGCCCAAAATCCAACCACCTTATGTTCTTCCACATTGGTAACGGACATCCTGACCTCCTTGTGCTTCTCAACATCCAACCCGCCAGCGAATGTCGCAGACCGATCCCGATTAGTGTCCAGCTATACTTAGGGTAAGTGTGTGTATTCGGTATAATCCAGGGGTGACCTTACCGTGAATCCCACTAGCCTCTCTTCCAACCACCACGTTTTCACACTTTGAACTCGTTCTCCGCCAGGGCCATCAATGACTAGACTTTCTTCATGCTCGCGGTTGAGATCGTAGTATTTGCTATATCTGTCATCTGTGCGTCTGAAGCCTAGTTCGGTATCTTCCTTGTCATCCGTCGACTTCATAGAAATGGACTCAATTTTGAGCATATCCTCCTCATGAATACGGTGCCGGACGGTGATTTTTGTAAGTCTCTCAGGATTTGAGCCGCCAAATAGTTTGAAACAGAGAGGCAAATCTTGATCTATGGCCAAATCGGATCTATTGCTTTGTGATAAAGCTTTGTTGCTTCCTGGGAACGATAACCCAAATTCTGGTAGGTCAGGATACCACAATTTCGGCATTCTTCGTTCATGATACAAGGTGCTTTCGTTAATGGGAGCAGCATCGTTGACAGAAAATGTCACGAGCTTGGTAGCCTGTACTCATGTCAGTATATACTGCAGATTTCCATTTTTGTGCAGGGCCCTGGTCCTGCTTGAATCACTTACATCGAACCTGCCCTTCAACAAGCTGACCACCTCGCTGCGGCAAGAATATGATCGTAGCATTCGCTTAGGAACGTTTTTGAAATCTCCAACCCAGTTAGCTTTCCCTCCCGTATGCAGGACTAACGCAAGCCCTCTCACTCCACGCTGATCGAGCGCAACATCGAAGCCTAGAATTCGCATTCCCCCTTGTCCCTCAGCAAGTAATGTCTCGTTCTGTGGGTGCTGGAAACCAAGTAAATGGGACCTTCCGGTATTGTCCTGAATCCTTAATCCAGAAATGTAGGACACTCCAAAGATTTCGACCGTAGATGCATAAATAGTGCATGTCTCGGCAGGGACCTCGAGAACCCGCTCATGAATAATCCTTGATCCTCTTGCGCGCAGTTGGGCTGGGGACTTTTCCGTTCTGCCGACGGTCACCCAACTGATTTCCTCTGGAGGGGCATCTTGTTCGTAAGCGGATCTGACAGGGTTTCCATCACAGCCGACCTGGCGCATTACTCTGAGCGCCTTGTCTAAAGGAGTGCATAGGTCCCAAATAAGTCGTCGAAGGTGAAGCGTATAACGCACAGTTCCATTCGATTTCGCAGCGTTGATAGCTCTGCATACCGACTCCCAGTTTCCACCCGAGTAGTCTTGTGCCTCGAATATGTAGTCAAACTCTCGTCCTGGCAGGAACCTTTTCTTCCAGAACCAGTTGGGAAGTTGAAGGTTAGCAAAAGTACGCGATGCCTGCTTCACAAGAGACAGTTCTGGAAGAGTAAGATGGTCGACGAGTGTTAGTAGTATGTCCGTAGGTAGCACAGCAAAAGTATCGGGTTGGTAGATCTTGGCAAATGGCTCAATCTTCGGCATTTCGTGACGAGGGGGTTCAGGTGCATCGTGTGCAGAGCTGTCAAATATTTGCCAAAGCTCGACAATATTGCAGGGGTTGACATCCATACCCAAGACAACGGGCGAAGAGGTAAGGAAGTTCTCCTCGCCTGGGGCCACCGCGAGATCGAATCTGGCTCTTCCTCCATATTCATGACCAAAGTTCAACATACCAGCTTGTATTGGCTGTGAGCGGCAGAGATTCAACAGCGACTGGAGATCCTCCTGATCCATACGTCGATAGTTTGTTAGCAACTTCCAGCAAGCAGAATGGAATGGATATCCCCATGCATCCGGGCCAACATCTACTACAAATGAGTTTTGGGAGAAGTTTGTAAGAGCGTAGGGTATGAGGTTAACCTCGAGAGTTCGCTTGTTGTGTATTTTCCTGTCCGAAAGCTCAATGTTTATGACATCGGAACTCCCTCGCCTGCGCCCAGACGTAGATAGATATGCTTTCGCATTTACATCTGTGTCGGTAGCGTAGACTTGGATTGTTTAGTCCATGATCGTTTTTGCTGTGTACGGATGAAGTGACTGACCTGTGTGGAATTGACACATCCACAATGGCATCTCAAACTCGCCGAGGATTGCACTCCCACAGAGACAACATCGTTTCCGAGATATTGTGCCTTGAAGCAAGTGATCATCTTCCAAGTCCATTTCGAATGAGGCGTGATCCGTATTGAAGATTGTTCAGGTGAACTTGCTGAAAGAGGAAAGGCGAGTGGCAAGTCGACCAGATTGAGATACCAGCCCCGCAGTTGTTCCAATCATAATAGCCGCGCGCGTCTGTTACTAATTCTCCCATTATCAAATCCTCCACCGACAATATCAAATACTAGATAACTTGGCATCATTAAATCTTGCATTATTAATTTCCCTGATAGATAGAAAATCAAATGCATATTCCCAACTATGTTGAGCTTAACCAACTTCAGGGAGCTCACTACGCTATCCTAGCTGGTGCACTTCGCAATATTCTCAACACTGATATCGCACTCATAACATACGCCCAGATCATCGATGGCCTTCCGACTGCTGATGTTGCTTGGGATCAGTACGCAAACAAACGACACCCAGATCATCCAGTAAATAACCACAAAACCCTCTGCAATGGAGTGTTGGAGAAGGCAAAGGACTTCCGGGCAAACTTCGCCATGGGTGATGTGAAGGTGGACCTTGAGGTAAGCCATAGTTGCATGCTTTCGCACAATAATCTTTGCTAATCTCACGACAGAAACTTGATAGATATAAGAAAACCGATCCTTCTTCCCGATCATTCGGACTGCGTCTCATCGAGATGACAGCTTGTACTCTGCACCAAATCGCCGTTCTATTGTCGCAAATGGAAAAGCTCCATGACCCTAGCACAACTAATGGCTATGATATCGAAGGCACTACTAAGTGGGAGCGTCCCCCAGACCAGTGGGTTCGTACTACACCATGGCCCACGATGTTTATCAAGACAAACTTCACCGCATATGAACAGTACCCTCACGGAATTGATGAAATTGTTGGTTACTGGGCGGAGAATCGCATTCTGGGTGGTGTGGTTCTTTTCGACCATTCCCAGTCGTGGGAGGCTGACGACGAGCCAAATGTGTACTTCATATGCACACGCGCAAACGTTACTTTCCGGGTTTGTCAACTTCTTGATGATCAACAATCGACCTTACTTGCCTTTCTCCTGGCAGACAGTGAGGATGCACCTGCCCTCTATCCTCTACCGATTCTTCCAGGACCTCAAAACCGACAACGAATCGATCCATCTGAGGCCATTCCAATCCACAAGGTCTACAGGGACGAATGGGAAAGGAACCCGCCTCGGTCAAAGTTGAGAATGCAACGATTCATGAGGTCACGTGCAAAGAATTCGCTGGACTATCCAGAGATAGACGTAGATGAAGAGATTGAGAGGCTGAATCGGATGTGATGGGTCGATGATTTTATGGACATGAAGATGAAAGAGCTGGATCAAAGGAGCTGCAACGTACGGGGGTTTAAGATAGTCAGTCCTTGCTCCAATACTGTCAACAGCAATGCAATGTATCTATGAGAGTCGAGGTTGTCCAAGACCTACGACAATAGAAATCAATGCTGTCATTGTCTGTGATACCTCCACAAAAACTGCAATTTGGAATTGATATCGGACTTGTCAATGATTAAATGCATTAAATCGTGATATTTGATCACATCCAGCACACAGGAATTTCAATGAAGTGGAAGCTATTGTAAGCCGGTGAGATCAGGATGTCTTGTTATCAGATATAACGTCTTGTGGTTGGTTCTCCCTCCAACCACGTAAGCTTATGTCTCAGTCTGCCTCCTTCTTGTGCTTATACAACAGATTCTCCCTTCCTCATCTCAACTTTTCAATTAAATTCAACAGGTCTCATTTAACAATGGCATTACCACCAGGAATCACTGAAGTTGGACCAGAAGGCTACTTCGTGGGTTCTTCCAGCCTGCCTGATGAAGGCCACATTCGCAACCCAATGTGTGTGGAGGGAAGCCGATGTTACATATGCCGTTTTCTTATTGACAGAGAAAACGACAAGATCGTGACGCGTACGTACGAGTCCTAAATAACCCTGGCGACTATGAAATTGACACAACGACAGTGACTCCAGATAGCCGCGTGTCTTCCCCGTTCACATTGTACCACGAAAAGTACTACGCGCCCCTCTACATCGACAAGTCTCTCAACATGTCATTTCGCCACTGCCTGTATCCATACTGCGCTCATAGAAGTGGTCTTGCGGTGGCATTCCATGCTGAGTGCACTCGTATGGCTGCACACTTTGGAGTGGCTCTCACAGAATATCGATCTCTGACCGAGTATACGTATCAGCCAGCCTCTTTGGACCACGGAAGACGACGGTCGGTAGTCCGTACGTTGGTAGAAAATTCCCTACGTAGGAGATATGGAAAGCTATCGCCTGAGCTTTGGCATATGATATCTGACGACGATGATTTGATAAGGCTTTACACTATAGCAGAGATGTCTCTACTCTGCGACAAGGTTGAGCTCTCCGCGGACCCATCAACTTCCGTATGGATTAAATGTGTTAATTTCGATGGTGTTGAGTATGTAAGCTCACTTTCCAACTTCCCCAGAACTGGAAGCCGTCAAGCCTGGGAATCAACATCGCTGTCCGCCAGCCAGTTTCTTTACATCTCGAGTGACTACCTGGGGATCAGACAGGTTATCGCTGATCCCTCCAGAGCCAAATCAGATACAAGCTGTCCAGAACATTGGAAAACAGTACCAATAGATGGTCAAATGCTCTTGTTCACTGGCGACGTGAGTGCTGAGCCCGATTTTGAGGGGACATATACTAAATCAAAGTAGGGACTGAAGTTGAGGGAACTAACGACTCCTTCGACTTACCCCCGAGTCGAATGGCCTTATCCTATGACATCATTTGGGATTGAGACCTTGTCGTTCTACTTCGCTGGTTGGGGTGAGGGGCAGACTGTGGCCAGAATGAGAACACTGACTTTCAACGAGTCTGGAACAACAGGTTATTCTGTTTGTTGGGCAGGTCATGAAATGGTCTCACTTCATGCTCATCAAAACATCCGATACTCGGATAGTCAAGGTTCGCTGCGGAATGAAGCACCACCGTCCAAATACGAAGACCGAAGCCATCTCAAATGGACATATCACCCTGTCGAGCAGGATGAATACATTCAACAAATTTGGATACGAGGGTCTGACATGTACGACACGACAAAGTCTCTCCCAACTCAAAGTGAAGGGGGCTTAGGGTTTCATATTTCCACGCCGTGGGGCCTACAGACATACAAGAGACCCAGTGACATAGCTCTCGGGGTAAGTGTTCTCGTATCAGACACCGCTTACAAGCACTTAAGCTTACGATCTGTTAGTTTGTGACCAGCAAAGGCAGGAAAATAGTAGCAGGAAGTTTTCCTGATCATCACGGCGAACATACACCTTTCTCTAAGCATCGCGGGTGGCTCTTGGTAGCAAGGACAGATACAGACGATCCGATCCGGATTTTCTTCTCTCCTTCAACTCACGGAATTCCTCTCATCGCTGCGCCAGCAATGCCAGCAGGCAGCAGAATTACACCGGCACTGGTTCAAATTCCGCTTAGTGCAATGCCTCGTTTCAACCCTCTTCATACTGTCCACTTTTCCTCGGCCTCACTAGAAAACGTGGTCAGCGTGATAGTATGCAGAAGCAAGAGCGAGAAGGACACGGCTGTCATCCGAAACTTTGACTTGAAAAACGAATGTATGAACGAGACTAGATACAATAAGGTTACTGGTCTACTCTTGCAATATCCCAACGGGAGTCAAGCAAGTGTGGGGTGTTTCCGATTCGACTGGAGTGAACCGCCGCTTGCGACGGGAAACTCGAGAGGATTGTTTGTGGGAACTCGACCGGGAAAGATAGCGCAGATCCCGCCGCATGTGGCGACTGTGGATGTAAAGCCTTCAGAGACTGAAGACGAATGGACGTGGAGAGAGCTGCCGTGGAAGGGAACTCTTGAGTGGTGGTTCAGCCCTCAAAGTCTTGACACAAGTATCTCTCACGTAGCTTGAATCCATAGGCTCTGAGGAAACACATATGTGATATCGCTCAAAGCGAAAAGGGGTTCGCAATATGACACAACTATGGAAGATGGCACAACAACCAGGACGTTTGTAATCACGGGCAAGGATCATAGAGGGCTAGTCACGCAAGAGGCGGGTAGTTCAATGACTCAAGGTCGCAGCTAGAAACAAAGAGAGAAAGGTTAAACTCAAGGCAGCCGCGGATAGTCACTAGTATCCTAAGTTAAGTGCATGATCGAGATTGTCTGTGCTACGTAGACCTTGATAGAGGATACCTTGGCCAATGTAGCCCTTACCGCTACGGCTGCTCTTCTTTTGAAACCACCCTGCGACGATCTCCTGCAGCTAGTGAGCTTCATAACAAGCTCCTGGTCGGCCTTTGCGTAGCGTTAGGATCTTCTACTTCCGTACAACTGTACGACTGTACAACTATACAGCCCCCCATGAGTAGCAATTTTACGCCCAGGGACAAAATTGGCTTGCCAGTTTGTTCTCTTAACTTTCTAATGAGCCCAGTATTGTCCTTGTCTACACGACTATCACTCTCTTCCTAGCCGTCGTTAACTCCGTTATAGCAAAGATGTATGTAAAAGTACAGAAATGCACAATCAATCCTCCCACGGGCTATGCCTCTATGTACCACCCTCTATAACCAATTTGACAGATCTATTTAACCTGAGGCACATGTCTGGTACTGACCCCGCACTTTGATATCCATTACAACATCTTCAACCCATCATCTGCAATCTACATTTTGAACGACGACTCTAACAACCAACACGACAACATTCTTGATCTACATATGATACGACGCTTTGACAACGAAGACGAAATTATCATTGATCTACATTTTATACTACGCTGTGGCAGCCAACACGACAGCTTCCTTGCTTCAACCCGCCAATTGCAATGTACATCTAGCACTGCGGCTTTTAACAACCAACACGACAAGGCTTCTTGATCGACATTGGGAACAGCGCTTTGACAACTAACACGAAAATTCTCCTGGATATATGCATATTTTATACTGCGCTTTGGTAACCAACACGACAACTTCCTTGTTCCAACTTGCCAGCTGCGTTTTACATCGGAACTGCGCCTCTTGAGAAGATAATAACAAGTAAGACCTTGTTTAAAAATCAAAGCTGAAGAGAACTATAAATATTGAGCTGATTCCACTCTGCAATAGTTTCCGCTGCTCCGATATGACATCCAGAAACCTCAACAAGACCTGGCGCGACGTTATCTTTGAACAGTACGAAGCAGACCACGCAGCTGACGTCCTCTTCCCCATCACCTACTTAATCAATGCCAAGGAGTGGAAAAAAGATATATTTATTGAGATTCCCACCAAGATCGACGTGCCCGTTTTCCGTCAAGCCCTCCTCCACGCCGTTCGGTCAAGACTCCGTCTAGACGACCCGGCATACGAAGACGAACTAATCAAGATCCGAGCACGGGTTTCTGGTCGTCGAGATGATGATGTTCCCGCGCAAGATGTCACTGGCCAGCCTGAGTCTAGTACTGCTGGCAACGGCGGCTAAGGCTTGGAAGTTTACCGTCTATGGCGACGGCAGTTGTAATTCGGCGGTGACGGGTGACCTTCGAGGAAGTGGTAATAGAGGTACCTACTTGACCCATCCCAGATGACGCTTCCCTGATCATAATAACTAATACCTCCTCGCCTAATCAGATTGTACCCATGTTCCTGATCCTCATAGAGGGTTTGAGCTTGCAGAAATGGGTAACTGTGAACTGGATCTGTATGCTACCGAAGAAGATTGTGAGAATAGTGAATCGCAGCAGTTTTACGGTCAGGCCAATGAAGGCGATTGTATTCCTCCTGTGTTTCAGTGGGATTACTATACTGTGGTTAGATGTTAGGATGTTCTCTTACCCTAGCTGTGTGTAACTGCATGCATAAGCTACCTTAGATGTTAAGTTTTAATATGATTTAGTTTCAACTGTGAGAAACAGTACTCCTCTCGATTGATAAAACTCCTACCAATATTAACCTGAATAAGTGCGTCACATAGGGACTGTTGCTTAAATAGAGTTCCCCTATACGACCCTTGAAGAGGCTGAAGAGGAAAGACGCCGAAATGATTGGTGCCTAGGTGGTTTTCTTGGCGCTTTTCCAAGCTTGAGGAGTTTCGTTGCATCTATGGGACTAGCTGCAGTTTCCATGGTTGTTCTCCTACTACAAGGACTTTTCAGACTCAGAACACTGCTCATGTCGAGAAGTTGAATCCATGAAATTTGGTTGTTGATTAGGCGAATGGTTTTGTGATTAACTATTACCATTACCCAGTCCAATATCTTACACTGCAAGATTCTAACTTTAGCCGTTCTTGGTCTCATTGTAGTGCTTACTCTACCCCGCTCTTTTGATCATCTACAAATACCGTAAGACATTCCTCTTACTAGGTATCTTAAGTTTTCTCATTCGCTTTAGAACATCTCAACATATCTAATAAATTGTTCATCCACGCAGGGAAAGATGTCGCAAGTCAAAATACACAGTTTCTACCGCATCTGGTTTACCTGGGTCGATCCCCTGGTTCTCATCCCAACCGTCTACTCACTCATCTTCACCCCCGAGTTCATGCTCGATGGCCTCATCCCATCTAGCATGTCACCGTACAACCCCGACCAAGCATTTCTCTTTCATCAACTCGCCGCCTCGTACTTATTTATCGGAATTATGCTGGGTGTTGTTCTCCGCATAAGTTCTGACATCCAAGTGTGGAGAGTTATCATCGGCGCTGTGTTGCTTGTTGATATTACGATTCTGGTCAGCGTTACTGCCAGCATGAAACAACAAGGGCGGTCCGAGCTTTCGCAATTCAGGTGGCAGGACTGGGGTAATTATTTGTTCACTGGTTGGGTTGCTCTTCTGAGAAGTTTGTTCTTGGCTGGGGTTGGTGTTGGTGGTGTGAAGGGGAAAGTGGCCTAGGTCTGAGAAAGTCAGTGCTGATGAATTTTGTCAAATGTTCCAAGAAGAACAAAGGGTTGAGCAAGTGAATATCTGTATATTAGCCGGGCTGTTCTAATGCTTAGCCACGTTCGTGTATTGAGAGAAATAATGGTATCAGCGACTCACACTTCTTTCACGCATGTTCAGGATCGCAAGCAGACAACATAATCTTTTCAGGGCCAGCAAACTAGGCCGTGGTTGGTGCAGGTGATTTTTCATTCACTCTACGAGCCATTGTTTCCTTGTCCTGTGTGTCATATTGTATGTTTCAAGTGATTGTTCTCTTGTTAATGAACGCTCACTTGATATGACAACCAACTATCTGACCTTTAACACCACACATTCCCTGACACCTCATATAAACTCATGAGCAGTAGATCACCAGAACAGGATTCATTCTGGCTACATAAACTCTCTTTCCTCCACCCCAAAATCTTTTCTCTCCCTTCCATCAACACACTTCTTCCCTATCACAACTGATCATCTGAGCATCAGTACTATTGCTATCTCAAAATCCCAACTCACAACTAACTGCCAGTAGCAACCTACACACCACAATCTCAACTCATCACTACCGCCATCATGGTTTCCGAACTCACCCAGCCTCAGCCTGAAATCCATGATCATCAGATCCACCCTGGTCTCATCTTTAGCATTGAGCGTCTTCGCCAGGGTCTCGAATGGTGGTACGGTCGTAACAACTTCACCGTGTTTGGCGACATCATGCAGCTCACTGTCCGTGTCCACATCCTTGACCCTGAGAATCTGGTTGAGCGCCTCCAGCAAGACAACTACCTTCGCCGTGAGCGTTTGGAGAAAGTCCCTAAGCTGGTCTCCGAGAACATCAAAGCCAACGGTTGGTATCAGATTCAGCCTTTTGACCGAGAGTAAGTTCTTTCTAGCATGGGCGACTACCTTTGGCAGGACCAAAGAAGGTTTTGGGATTAGATTTTGGCAGTTTTAGGCGTTTGGGATCAGTATCAGGGTAAGTATCTTTGGTTTCGGCATATTCTAGATGGATAACTTCTAGAGACTAGCAAGAGCCTAGAATAGTAATCGCTTGACGATTTGAGCACATGGACTCATAGTTCAAGAGTAAATCTCACAAACTACCACATTTTATTGCACCAGATTAAAGTCCGAGTGAATGAAACGTAAGAAGCAACGAGTACCCCAATCAACGCAAAGCCGCAAAGGAGGAATCCAGCACCGCCCTTTTGGGCCAATGATGTTTAAGGAACCTACAAAGAAGCTGGTAGAACTCGATGCCCTAGGGACCTTGGCTCGACCAACAAAGACCTCACACTTCACCTGACGAGCATACATCATCCGGTCTTTAAATGCCCCGAGCATTCATTGGTCCTATAGTTTAGTGGTAATGACGTCGGATTTTGATTGAATCGAAAGCCTTCCGAAGACCCCGGTTCGAACCCGGGTAGGACCTCGCTTTTTGTCTTTCCCGCATATTGGCTAAATCCTGTGGAAATAGAGGATATAGACCGTGATACCAGCAGCAATCAGCACTTACGGTCCTATAGTCTAGTGGTTAGGACGTTGGATTTTGACCTTACCCGTCTCTCCTTCCGAAGTCCCCGGTTCGAACCCGGGTAGGACCTCACTTTTTGAACGTTCTCACGCATTGTGTTCCCATCCGTGACATCAACATTTTTGTTGTGTTTCTTGTAACATCTTGTTACAATTAAGCTTTCAAGTCAGTTGCTCCTCGGTATGTTATCACCCATCGGCCCGTATCTGCGGCATAGGTTCTGTTATGCGCTTGCCATGTTCTTTATAAACAACGACAGGAGGCATACTCCGTATAATGCCTAATATGTGGAGGGAAACTGTGTTTCTTATTTGCGTAACCTTGATCCATCTCGCCGAGATATTTGAAAAGGTTATTCAATTACTATGGCAGGAGTCATACTGCAGCAGACAGGCCATTCTCGTAGCTCTCTGCCTTCCTATCAAATTAAAAATTTCTAGTACAACTGCCTTTTCGGTCTTTCTTTCCTACACTCAGAGCTTGGAAATTGCCGAGAGCATGAAGCAAGAGCAAGGTACGTTAGGTAAACCCACTACCTTAGTACCTACCAGGCGGAAACCTAGCTCATGGCAGGTTTTGGCAGAAGAGTTTGAGCCAAGCGAGACTGTCATCTATCGCGGCACCACCATCAACACAGAGACTCAAAAGTGGTCGAAGAAAGTTGCGCTAGCAAACTATGACTACATGTTCGTCTTGTTCCCGCATGTGTTTCACTCTATGCGTCTCACTCCTGTCCTAGTCATCACCCGCTTCTCTGTGACAGCCAAATATCAGAACTTTGATCCTATCGGCCTTATGAATATCATGAGCCTACTACCTTCTTTGTGCAAGTTTGACTGCTCTATGAAGGTGCCCAAACATCAACGGAGTAAGCTCAGGTTATCTTGGTGGATGTCTCATTGCATGGACATTTGGCCACAGTAGTTGAAAGAGATCAGAACCCTTTGAGCACCGCAGGCAAAGGGTTTTCCAGGTGTAACCGCACACCATTTAACTTTTCCTAATCCGGTCTCCGTACGACTTGCAAGCATTGTCCAAAACCTTACTCACCTTTCTTTCCACCGGCCAATAGATGAATTTGAGTTCTTTCAATGTCTCCAATACGAGTACCACAACCTGCAAAGTCTATCGATATGCTCGGCACACCGAATCTTCGACGAGCCTTCTCAATCAACTAGCCGCTCTGTTATCACTTCGTTCGTCGACATATCACCTTATATGCGCAACCTGCAAACCTTCAGTGCGTTTAGCTTTACAATGGGAGCATCGGCAGTTATGTACTTTGGCCCAAAGAATGGGGGTAGGTTGATCTTACGCTGGGACTGGCCCTTCTTGTTAGACAGGGCTACGGGATATAGCTTCCTGAAGATCGCGAAAGTTTTCTGGGCGTGTCCTAAACCTGATTTTATCTTGGGCGGAGTTTCAACAGAAGAAATCCGGAGTCAAATTGCGGACATAAACAGGATGAGCGAATAGGGGGTAAGTACTCAGAAACTCTTTGGTCGGATAAGGTTGTGCAAATCTGCCCTACTCTCAGGAAGACACCATAAGATTGTTATAATAGTTCAAACGGTTCAAAGATGAACCACAGCCTACCTCTAGGTCAGTAAAAGTATTTTCTTATAAGACTGCCACTTGAACGATGCCGACTGCTTTAATTACAAACCTTTTCTTCATTTGCTTACTATAACTTCCGTCTCATTTACGAAATTTGAACCTTTATCGAATTTCATCACTTCTCATCCCTCAATTCCTGGTCATCATACTGAACCTCCCAGTCAACCTTCATTAACTAACTATCTCATCTAACATATACACTACCTCCAAAATGCCCTGGTCTACTCTGCCAACCGAACTCCAGCTCACTGTTCTGGAACATCTCGCCCAGCTGGAGTTTCAAACCCGTATAACACACAAGCCGAATGCGCCATACAGTATCGGAACATCGCTCTCAAGATACGTCACGGTTTCTGAACAATGGCAAGACTTTTTTGAGCCTCGAATAATGGACACTCTCCATGTTACAAGAAATGACATGGAAACGTTCGCTCATGTCTTTCGTATCGAGCGAAGGAGAAAGTACTTACGCCAGATCGCTCTAGTCATAAGACTGCCTGATGATTTTCCTCCTTTCAGAATGAGGGAGGAGTGGGAGGAAAGTTTTATTATAGACGTGCTGCTTGAGGCGGATCTAATTGACCTGGTAAATAGATTCGGGTTGCCTCCTGGTTCAAGAGAGGTGAAAAACAACGTTGCTCTGCTGGAGACAATATACGACCTTTTTGTCCAGCTGAGCACATGGAACATGGAACATGTCCGAAGTGGAGGTATTGGGCTAGAGTTACTCGCAGACTCCAAGAATTCGTGGCAGGTTATCGCTCCACAGCTTACAGCCTTTCAACGCGCGATCGACTTTGACGGACACAGCATCGGAACGGCTGAACAGCAGTGGCTCATCGAATTCGCACTGGACAACTTTAATATGTACCTCGGCTTCGAGGTTGAAGGATACCAAGGACCCGCGCTGGAATTGCCCACGGTTGATGTTGTCACGAGTCTCTCCATCATGCGAAGAAGCAGGCGTCGCTTTGATGGCGTCGTGGTTTTGGAGCTGATGGAAAGACTCCCTGCTCTCAAGCATCTTGTCTGGGAGATGGAACCGATGCGGCCGCAGTCGCGAGAGAAATTGTTGCAATATCATCTGTCGGATGCCGTTGTGAGATGGCCTCGCCATGTGGACAGCATCCAAATTGTCCTTTTGCAGCATCATATTGAGTACCCGAGGTTGGATCCTGATTCTAAAATGATTCAACGACTCCCTCTGATCTTGGCGGATCAAGCACAATTCCTCCGACATATTTACATAAATTTTCCCATCGATGCATCCCATTTCTTCAAGAGAGTTGTCAAGGGCATTTATCCCACCCTTCAGACCCTCACGATCTGGTCAACACAGCGGATAGTCGAGAGAACACCATCGACGAGTCACTACTTACTCAGGCTAGTGATCAGGGCATTGCTCCGAATGTCCAATATGCAGTTCCTTACTGTATATAATATGAAATCTTCGGATGCAGGACTCTTCAACTACGACGCTTCAGGCAATCTTTCCGGCCATGGGTCTTTTTACCGGCTATGCAGTAGCTGGGGCTGGGAGATGAGCGACGAAATGGATGAGTTCTTGTCGGCTTCTGTGCTCCAGAAAGAAAACCGTGGCGCTTCATCGAAGGTTGAAGAATTGTCGACGAAGGAAGTCAAGAGCTTGATTTCAGCCGTATTGAAAAAGTCGGAGGCTATGGGTCGGGTTAATCAGGGCGTCGGGATTTCAAAATGTGTTGTCGAGAGTATGAAGGGATTGTTTGTGTCATGAGCCTTAGTTGTTAAACGTATATCTATCATCCAACGACGAGATCATCAGATGAAGACTCCTCAGACTACGACTCAATTCCCAAAGTGTAGGATTCCTTCCATTTTGGACTATTTGGCTTAGCGGTCTTCGTGGCAGTTTGGCTCTATGCCTAGAGCAAATATTATTAATTTAAAGTCTAATATCTACTATTATATATAAATTATACAGCAAAGTGTTCAAATCCATCCATCAATCCACTCCCTTCTTAGAAGGGCACGGGGACGTTACGCTCAAGGTAGCCAAGCCACTTGGGCAAACGACGCTTGGACGGGGCATCGGCCGATCGCTGTAGATCCTCGATAGCGCTGGCCCACTTAACAAGCTCAGCCTCAGCCCAGGCAGTTTGCATGATGGCGAGACCAAAAGGCATGCCAGAGTCCTTGGCGTAGCCGCCGGGGATGGTGATGACGGGGTAACCAGCCTGGGCGGCGATCTGAGGTGCTTGTGCGACCTGGGGAGGGACGAGCAGGCCGGAGAGCTTCTTGCCCTTGTAGGTGAGGGCGTCGTTGATACCCTTGCGGGTAGAGGTCTGGCAGAAGTCGAGGGCTTGCCAGTATGTCTCGTCCTGCTTGCCCTTGGTCTTGAGGGAGGCGAGGAAGCCGTCTTGGCCTGAGGCAAATGCGGGATGGCCCTTGCCATCCTCGTAGGGGTAACCACCCTCGGCGCCGTCGTACTTCTTGTTGAACCTAATGATGATTAGTGGTAGTTTATGGGTAGTGGTAGAAGTGTACTCACTTGACGATGTCATCGAGGTTACGAACGTCGGTGTTGTTAACCTCGCTAAGGTATGTCTCAATATTGCGGTAGAAGTCAACCTTGATGTAGGTATACTCAGACTCATTGGGGAAGCCTCGAGTAGTACCGTAATCCCAGTTCCAGCCATCAGGGCTGACAATGGTCTCATAATTGGTGATCTCAGTACCATTGATGATCGTCGCACCAGCAGACTTGATCAGATCAACAAGCTCAAGAAGCTGAGCCTGCATATCCTCATCCGCATGCACCCAGAAGCTCTCCCAAGGAAGACCAAAGGTAGCGCCCTTGAGGGCCTTCTTGTCAGTCAAGTACTGCGCAAATCCACCCTTGGGGGTCTTGCTCTTCTGGGCAGAGGTGTAGTTATCGCGCTTGTCAACGCCGTAGATAGCATCGAGAACAAGAGTGGCATCTTTGACTGTTCGTGCAAAAGCACCCACTGAGTCTTGGTGCTCGCTCTCAGGGATGACGCCGGCACGGGAAGTCAGACCAACAGTGGGCTTGAACCCGACCAGGGCGTTGCGGTTGGCGGGGTTGATAACTGAAGAGGAACTGTCAGATTCAAGACATGGCATCAGGCGCACGAATAAACTCACCACTACCGTCCGTCTCAGTACCGAGAGAGAACGCGATGGCATTAGCACCGACTCCAACACCGCTGCCTGAAGAGCTGCCACCAGGGTTAACGGTCAAGTTATAAGCGCTGCGAACCTGACCACCGCGACCAGAGTATCCCTCGGAGTAGTCGTTGCTGCGCATGTCAGCCCACTCGCTCAGCGCAGCCTTGCCGAAGAGCACGGCACCGGCGTCGCGAAGCTTCTTGACGACGTGCGCATCACGGGGCACGACGTTGCCGAGAAGAGCCCAGCTGCCGGCGGTGGTCTCGAGACTGTCCTTGGTGGCGATGTTGTCCTTGACGGTGAAAGGGATGCCGTGGAGAGGACCGCGAACTTTGCCCTTTGCTCGCTCGGCGTCGCGATCAGCTGCGATGGCGAAGGCGTCGGGGTTGACTTGCAAAACAGAGCTGTGTTTGTTAGTTTGTGTTCAAGTCACATCAATCGCATCAATTGAAGATATTGAGTCTAAGTACTTACTTGATATACTCTGCTGTCTGGTAATGTCGGACAAGGTAGCACGTCAAAAGCTGGACAGACGTGAGCTTGCCAGCCTTCATAGCATCTTGCATCTCCGTGAAAGTAGCCTCCTCAAGCTTGAATCCATTGCAATCCGCCATGGGGAACAGATCGGACGACCCAACATTCTTCTCCAGGGGAAGCAGATTGGCATTGTAAGAGAAGAGCGGCTCATTCTTGGACTGCTTTGGTGTAGCATTGACGCCCGAGCCTGCAATGAGGCCAGCGGCCAATGACAACCTGAGAAGCTTCATGATGGATAGATTGATGAGTAGGGAAGAAGCCTGTGATGTCAAAAGAAGAAAGAAAGGAATCGGAGGGTATACGGATAGAAACTGCTGTTATGCTTATGCCCCTTCAAGATGAACTACAATTACAAGGGTGTCTCAGCGGCGAACGCTACCTGGCATCGGCGAGCGGAAGCTCCGGGGTGTGAATTAATTGCGTCGCTCAGTGGACCCAAGTATCGATCGCTGGACGATTCCATGCCATAACCCGGCTTGAACGTCCATAATTTACGTGACAGCTGAAGAGCTTGCAGCATGGGGTAGACCCTGAAGCTTCGGCGGACTGCGGCGGGCACATCCCCCGGCACGTTAGCGGATGGGGATTTGCGGTAGGGCTAAACTCCATCGAGGCATTGCTCGACTGCGAAAGTCGCGCAGATTGATTGTCGCTTGTCACGATCGGATCAGTTATGCCGAGTCTGGTGGACTATTATTAACGTTTATGGATCGATATGTTCGTTTCTGGAAGGTGATAAAAAAATTGTTCCCCGAGAAGAAAATGGGCTTCTGGAAGTGACATCTTGTGGGTTTGACGTGCATGATCGGTCGTGTAACCATGACATTGCTTAAGATCTACAAAGTGTCAGGGAGATTTCAGGAACGGGGTAAGCACTGCAGCAAGGCGAAGGCATGTGATATGATCAGAGTCTGTGTTTTTTTGACATTAATCTTTCTCCAAAGCTAGGTATTGTAAACTGTAGTTTGATCATTCATTCCCTAACCATTCCAATTATAAACCTATCTCGCTGTATTTTTAATCATCGTAACAAACATACAAAACCTGCCCAGACTAGAGATCATTTCCACGAACGGCCTGCATTGCTGCCAGTTCTCGCATCTTGGGTATCCTCTTTTAATCGAAAATCCACCTGCACCAGGATTCCATCTGCACTGTTCTCGCTCTGGTTGTCTCTCGTCACATTATTCGTTCGGTACGGCTTCATGCCCTCGGCTGATGTGTCGCGACTCGTCAAAACATCGTGCTCTGGTCGGAAATTGAGTGATCGCAGCGCTGTACCACCTTTGGAGCTTGCTTGTTGCCCGTACCGTGATTTTCCTGTGCTTTCGCCTTGTGTTACGTCCCTTCTAAGGATGAACTTGTCGAACAGCGGTTTGACGCCGGGTACTGAGAGAGCGATGAGCGTAGCACCGATTTCGCTGACTTCAATGGCAAGCATGGGGTTGTCTGCGAGGCCGATGTTAGTCTGGAAGTAGAGGTATGTAGAATGGATTAGTGACTTACAAGCCCATGACTGGTCTGCATTCCACTGGCCTTCAATCACAAACACCAGGCGGGTAATCGAGATCGCAATAACACTAACACCATTAGCAACCACAAATTCTCCGTTGTAAGCGAAACTTACGAAACACCCGGCAGTAGAATACAAGCCAGTTGAATCTTTCTCTTCCGTGGCATCTCCAACACCCGAAGCATGACAATTGGAATCCCGAACAACAACAGATCGCAAATAAGCGACACCGAGGAATTGACGCTGTATACCAATCCCCATTGCAAGCACGTGTAATTCGCAAATCCAGGCTGCCATTCGTACGGCCAGAGCCCAGTAATAGGCGTACAATGGAACACAATGAGCAATAGCTGCGGTAAGAATCCAGCAATAAGAATGCCGAATACGATCTTGATGGAAAGTCGAAGTCGGTCGTGAATGGCGCACAGGCGGTGATAAAAAGCCAAACCCGACATTCGGCAGAACAGGAGCGTTATCGTGTATATTATATGGGCCACAAAGTCGAGGACCTCCGTGTCTTCGATGGTCGGCATGTCGAGCACATATTGGATATACTCAAAGTGTCGTCCAGAGCCAAGCTGGATGAGCTCGATGCACAGGCCCACGAATACCACCATGCAGATCTAGCAGGAAGCCGTCAGTTATCTCTTCGCCAATGCTACAATACACCAGCGGGGGAGCGAGTGGGTTGCATTTTAATCCGCACACCAAGCGAGGCTGACAGAAAGACTTGGTTTAAACTTGACATAAGATTGTCGCATAGACTTTGTCAAGATTCGTATCACAAGGTGCTTCAAGTGCCTTGGTGTGCGGATTATATTGCGAGCCATCAAGGGAGATCGGCACCCGCAATGGGTCTACGCCAAGAGATGAAGTGCGACGCAAGAGAGAAGAGAACTCACCCATGAAAGTAACGTCAAGGCATCATCAAATCCGAATCGGCGGATGAGTAATGCTCGCGAGGCAAGGCGTCCCAGGACAATAATACTTGTCAGACAAGTGACAAAGATGATGCCCGCAATCGCTGGAGCGTCTTTCGTCTCGTTGAGGTAGTCGGCCGTTATTCCCTTGGGGACTCTTCCATCGGCAATGGCCCGGGCGACCCTGGGGTCCGACATTTGGGAGGAGTTTATGCTGCGTCTCGAGTCACGATTTCATGAAGAATAGTTGAGCATAGATCCAGTGCCATCAGTAAGGAAGGAGGCATGAAGGCGAGGGTGGTCAAAACCCTTATACCAAGGCGAGTAAAGCTCCGGGTACAACCTGAACTAGAGATTGACATTTGGGCACCACAGTTTCGCTTCCGCAAGCCAAGACCAAGCACCCTCCCATCCCATCTCATCCCGTTCTTAGAGCAACTCCACCCCATCAGTATCAAGTTTTGGGGAAGAAGAACAAATATTAGTTAAAGCCCAGTGAAAGAGTAGTTAGCCTACAGCACCGGAAGCGGAAGAGCTGACCCGCACGGAAGCTCCGGCAGGTCGCCAAACATCGTGCCCTCTTGTCTTCCTTCAGAGTTTTACCGTGGAAATTGCCCACTCTCTTGCTCTAGAAGAAAGTGGTGTGCTGGAGGTTTCAAACTGGTCTAGTTTAGGTAGTCTAGAGACAGCGTGGCTGCACGACGCCATTACGGGAAGGGAAAGTCGAATTTTAGTTAGATCAAGGCACCCGAAGTTATGACACACATGGCGTAAAGCAGAGTTTGAGCGATGTATTGCTTGAGCCCTCGTTGGTCGAGAAGAAAAAGGAACGCCGCTCGCATATCATAGATTCCATCTCAGCGTATCAAATATAGCAAATGATCAACATTAGATCTTCGAAGAAACTTTCGGAGAAGGTTCAGATCTCTGTGTTGCGCGAGTCTGACAGCATCTGAAACTCTAAATCTGTGCCGCTGTACCTGAGCCATGGCGATGGGATTATTACAGCGGCCATTGACACTCAACATCTGGAAAGGTCATCCCTGTTTCTCAAGGTTCTCGACATGACACTAGCTGGGAGTCCCCTGGGGGCGTCAAACCCTGGCTGCAAAGCGCAACACTTTGCTACTGGGTGTCACTGCACGGCTGTTCCTCCTCAGCCTTTCGGGGATTTAAAATGCCGTTGCCCGTGGTAAGTCAACTCTGTTGGTTCGTTGGAATGGTTCCTAGGCTTCTGGATTGTGTGTGGTGTTGCCAAGCGTTGTTATCAGCCCAGTAGGGTACCATTGGCTTATAAAGAGTTCGACCATTCCCTCAGTAGCACCTTCAGGATTCTAGAAGTCAGTAGGTTGAGAAGATCTAGTGCTACGTTGCTTCGTTCCTTTTTCTCATTTCCTCTGCTAATTCTTTTTTTTTTCGCACTGTTACATAAGTTGAACTTCAGGTTCCAAAACCACCACCGCTATGCCTTGGCTGGTTACTGTGACATCCCGATGGCTCCCGTTCTTAGTTAATCGCGGTTCCCTAGTGCAGCGGCTGTCACTGGATTCTTTTAGCTCAGGCTGAGGACTGAATAATGTTATCAATGTGGACAGACACTACTGACATATTGGTGCTCTTGGTCTTGTTTTATGACAGGGTGTAACAAATGGCCGATTAGCAAATATCACTGTTAGCTTTATTAACATCAAATTTAGTTTGCAATATTTAGTTCAAGATGGAGCAGAAGGATCGTTATCCCAGCTTGTATGGCTCACAATGCAGTTGTTCTCCTGAATCATTAGCTCGATACTAAAAATTTCAGCCGCATTAGTGGACTTTTGCAGCTTCTTGTCTTGTACAAGCTTGATAACAGGGGTCCAACGTCACGGAAATCTCGGGCGGAACTGCAGCGAACATTAAACATGTGATTCCCGTCTATACCCGGGTGGGCACAGTTATATGATCCCTTGCTTTTAAAGACTGTTTTTGGCCGAGACTAAAATCAAGCTGATGCCGTGGTTGCTTCGACATTACGTCTTAGGCCGCATTTACAGCTCTCTGACTTCCAATAGGATTCGTTTCCTCTGCATAACACTGTTGAAATATTAGTTTGACCTCAGGTGCATAGCCGATCAATGTTACAGCTGGCAGTTCGGTTAGTTCAGCGTTGCCTAACTCTAAGCTAAAAATGGCGTTTATAGTGTAGCCCTGCTGGGTAATTCGTAAAAGTAGTGCGTGGTGTGCTCGAACAAGGCACACATAAAATCGTAAACAGCATCCTAGCTCTGTGGAGTAATCACCGTGCCTGGATAATTTCCGTCTTCATTGTTCGTGCGGAGCTGTTCCGTGAAGTCTTGTGGAAGGCCTGCGAATCTTCCCGGTAATGGAATTAAAAAGCCCCCTCTGTCTTTCAGACACACTCGCCTCTGGAAACGTGACATCTTCTGCTTTGTTCAATTGTATTTCTGTCATGAAATATATCATATCCTCGATTGGAATAGAAACTTGCCAATGACCTAAAAGCTCATATCACTCTTGGTCGTGTTCCACTGTGAGATTCGATCTTCGTTTTAGAAATACTTCGAGCCAGTTCCTCTCGCCGGCATCATGCCCATCTAAGATCCAGCTGGCAATGGTTAAATACATTTAAAGATTATGTGCTCATTTCAATATTTACCAATCCTTCCGAAAATGGCGTGAGGGCGCGTCAGCTCTTCCTATCATGGGCCTTGGTCCAGGCACCCTCCATGTATGTAGACAGTGCAGTTACCAGTGAAGTGGTGTTGGGCTTTAGATACCTAGGTATCTAAAAGAGGGTTATAGGCGATAGCAGAATCCATGTAGTAGAGATTTTGATGCATAGCAAGATTCTACTTTTTGGGTAAGTTGACAGGAGATATCGGTGACCCGGTCTTGAACAGAGCCTTAATGTTCTCAAAAGCCTCTTTCTCTCCTCTCTGAAACGCCAGATCCGTCAAACCAGCAACATGAGGCTGAATGACAACTTTGTCACTCGTTTTGAAGTACTCGTTCAAATCAGGCTCGTTCAAAAAGACATCCAGTCCCGCTCGTGTAATCTTCCCGCCTTCCAGGGCCTCGATCAGAGCAGACTCGTCGATGATTGCTCCACGCGCTGTGTTAACGATGAACGCACCATCCTTCATAGCCACGAACTCTTTAGTCGAGATGAGATTTTCGGTTTCTTTGGTAAGAGGACAGTTAATCGAGACAACATCTGACTGGGCGAGCAGGTCGTGAAGAGATGTGCAGTATGTCGCTTCGTACTTGGCTTCTTCCTCAGCGCTCAACTGATTGCGGTTGTAGTACTTGATCTTCATGTTGAAAGCTAACGCCCGCTTCGCAAGACACTTTCCGATAGCACCCATCCCGATAATCCCTAGTGTCATACCCCAGGGATCTCGACTCGGCACGACAGGGCCTCTCCAATTACCCTCGCGCAAAGAACGCTCACCACGATATGTATCCCGAATAACAGCAAGGGCCAAGAAGAAAGCGATGTCAGCCGTAGCTTCAGCAACGGCATCGACACTATTGCATAGCCAAATACTTTTTTCAGTCAACCAGTCCACGCCGAAATCATCATAACCAGCTGCTGCTGAGGCAATTATCTTGCAGTGAGGGGTGAGGTGTTCAAAGATCTTATCAAAGGGACGATAAGGAGGTCTGCCCATTCGTATAATAAAAGCATCTATCGGGCCATGTTTTTTCAGCATCAAAGGGAGTCTTTCTAGTGTCTCTTGGTGGTTGCTGGCGTCGAGAATCTGCGTATGATCTGATTAGTAAAGGTTGAATATGCTATAGTCCACTAGATTCTGGATGGGAGTTTGGGATCGCGAAGTAAACAGAATAGTGGTGACATACATCGTAATCAAATTCCCTTTGAAACTCTTCTATGTATTCGTCGCTGATGAACTCCGGCTTTCCAAGGGCGACTACGCGCGGTTTTCTCTCCGAGTTGGTTCCCGAAAACATAGTTTGGTAATGATGGGCTGGTTAAGCAAATCACTAGGTATTCTGAATAAAAGGGAATCGCCAGTTATTCTGCAATGATCTGGTTAAAAGGAGTGAAGTCTCGTGATTCCCAGGCTGACAGAGCGCAAGTTGATAATCTTGATGGATCACCGGTTCATGTGGAGATGCTCGTCTACCTTCGGCAACCAGAATAGATGCCGATCCAACACTCACGATACTGCCTTGATGCGAAGACAATCCAGCTTCGGCTTCATTCTCATTTCACCTTCCAAGGGAAATTTGCATCGAGTTTAGCGACCAGCGCAAATCTTATGTTCTTGCTAAAGTGTTATGGTGAATGCCATCACCCAATGTTGATGCGAAGATAATCCAGCTTCAAGCATCGTTCTCAATCCCGTGAAACAATCCGCAATAAGTCAAAGCAAAACAAGACAGCTCAACACCACGCTTACTTCTTCTCATAAGGATCCTTGAAGAAAATAACCTGCACGGTAATATCATCCCTCACCTCTCGACTCATAGGCGAATACGTCGTCATAGCCCCCAAGAACAATCCCCTCCTCGATCCTCCAAAGGCATTCTTCACAAGACACACCGCTGCATTGTCCAGATCCTCGATGACTTGATGCTCGGGGGTGGCCTTCCATCCGTCTCCTAGTTTTCCGTCGAACTTTGTCTCTTTGAAGGGCTCGGGCTTGCCGTTCTTCTTGGCAGTTAGCCAACGCGATATGCACGTCACAGCATCTTCGCTGCTGATCATGTCCCACAGACCGTCTGAGCCCATGATGACGAAATCCTCCGTCTGGATCTTGCGTGTCGTGACTTCAGGACGTGCTGTCAGGTAGGGCTGCGTGTCAGTTTTGGGCCGCTGTGCAGTGCCGTAGAAGTCTTCGTGCACTTTGCGGATAAGCTCGTTTGACCATTTCAGTCGGTGGTCGCCAAACGCTCTTGTGATAGCAAGCCCAAAAAGTCGACCAGACTCAGCCTTGATCATGTCCTTGAGCTCCCCAGGGTGCTCCTTGTCCAAGCGCTCTACCTCGGCCTGGTTAAAGCCGGTCTGGTCGATACTGAGAGCATCGGTCTCGTACTTCTTCGCATCTGGCGACCACGCACCGCGAACAGCACGTGAGTCGCCTGTGACGGCGGTACGTAGTGTAGATGTGCTGGGGTCGTAGATGGTTAGAAGCGCACAGGAGCCGGCAATGGCGGGCGCGACGGCTGAGATGACAGCGGCGGAACCTGGATCTTGTCCTGACATGGCTGCAGTCTCCGCGTTGCTGAAGATGCGGTCGTCGAGACGGACAAAGGCCTTCTTGATGGCATCATCGACTAGCTCGCTGGAGCTGGTAGGCGTGAGACCTGCAAGGGCACCAGAAACATAAGGAACAAGAGCTGTGCTCAGTACTTGGGAAGTTGACCATCCTCTGATACACATTAGCATCGCCCACACTCACTATCTCTGGGCAACTCACGCATGTCCATCGTAAACACCAGCATACAGCGTACTCGCCCCACCAACTCCTTTAGCCATCTTGAGGTCCCAATTATCCTCAATCGGGTTGTTACTGCCCAGACGCGCAAAGTCTACACGTCCCTTGACGCCTGCATTCCCATTGAAGACGAAAGTGTGAGCATCCTCACGCAGTTTGGCGTTTGCGTCATCGAGAATGATGGATTTAATCGGAGAGTTAACGGGGATTTGATCCTCGGATGAGAATTCCTTCACGCCGGGAACACTCTCGTTCAGGGTATTTGTATTGCCCGTGCCGCTGAGGAGATATGCCCCGGTACCGACGCCAACAACGGCTACTGATGACCATAGGTAACGTGCGCTGCTGGACGTCGATGTCTGTGTGGAGGAGAATCGCACGCCAATTGATGCTCGCTTGAGCGGCAGGCTTGAGACCCTAAGGGTCCTGGTTGAAGTACGAAACATGTTTCTTCGTTGAGGGTAGTTGTATAGTTGTTTATATCGGTCGGTGAGGGGGTAAAGTGGCACCTTTTATTGTAAGACAGAGTGTGGAGTTGACATCTACTGCCACTTGACTTTTACCTTGGATCGAACCTATCACGATGATAAAAACCTCACCGTCCGTCCTATCTTCCAGAGCATAAAACGCGGTAATTAAATTACAAGATCTACTAGCTAAGATTGGGAGGTGGTATCGAACATCGTAAGTTGAAGCTCTCTTTTATTATCTTACCGGTAGCAGGTGATCATTTAAAGGCGGAGTTGAGGCTGTGCTTACCCTAAAGTAAATTACTTGGTTGATGGTGGAGCTATTTGGACTCAACAGAATGTCTTCTTCAATGAACGAGAGCGGGGAGGGTAAGTACAGTACAGCGTCAGCACAGTCGTAGTTCATTTCACAATTCTGTGCAAAAAGGGTCATCGTTGTAGCCATAGTATCATCACAAAGAAACACAAAGGTATTCATTGCCCAATCCCAGATGTCGCGATATATACAACGCCAAACCATGGAAAGCATGCAGTCCTCAACCGTCTCTACACATCTTTTACTCAGCTGTTGGCAATCTCCTCCTGCTCATCCTCCCAGTCTCCATCCTCCTCCATCTTTTCATTGACCTTGAACTCGGCATCACCCGCAAGGCCCTCGCTGTCAAACTCGTCCACATCCATATCACTGTCGTACTCAAACTCGTCCTCGTCTTCATCGTCGTCCTTCTTGCCATCCTTGGCCTTGGCAGCCTTCTTGCGCTCCACATTCTCCTTCTGCTCTTGCTTTCTGGCGTCCTTCTCCTTGCGACGCTTCTCCCATCGCTTCTCGAGGTCTTTAATCTCATCCTTGCTCTTGTGCACGTACTCGTGCCACATGACCTTGCCGCCGGCGAGGCCTTCCTCGACCTTGGTAAGTCGAAGGCGCATTCGGGGACCTAGTTCGACCAGCTTGACGGCGCGGCGCTCCACGTTCTCCTCTTCCGCCTCAGCCTCGACGTCGTTCTGGGCTGCTGCTTGTCTAGCCTTGGCAGATAAGACCTTTCGGGTTGTAGAGTCCAGAACCTCGACCTCGGCATCTGTGTCCATCTCGCTACCGCTGGTTGCATCTGTCATGTAACCATCACCGTTCTCGCCGCCAATCAGGAAATCCGCTACATCCTCAAGTTTTCCCAAGTTAGGCATCTTGCCCTTTCGGTTCGTCTTTGATGTGACAAATTGCTCGGCAGCGTTCAATCTCCGTAGAGGCTTGGACACCGTGGTCGACTTTGTTGTGATAGCGTAATGGCGGAAATTAATGATGAAAGTACCATCGTCTTCCTCTGATTGCTCGCGGTTCAGCAGCAGTACTCGTCGGATTGACTTGAGAGGTGTAGCTTGAGGGTTGATGGGAGGGAAGAGGGATTGGAAGACGGTCGTAGCAAGGGATTCGAGATGTTTAGGAACCTTCGACTTGCTATCCGAGTCGGGGCGGGTAAAGTTGTTCATGACCAGCTGTAAATGGTTAGCAAAGGGCTTTCTAGCAACGATTGAAGAATCTTCTTACCAGAGGAGGAGTAATAAACTCCTTGCCGCCACCCTTAGGGTGTCTCTGAGCTCGTTGCACATCCTTGCACAGCGAGTATTTTTCCACGCGAAAGTTCATGGTAGGTCCACGAGGTGTCAAAGCCATTCGCAGGTTGGTGTTTCCACTCTCTGACCTCGAAAACAGCATCAAGTGAGTAACGCCCAGAGGGCCACACATGACAGCGTAATCCTTTAGTCTGTTTCCACGCCTCTCCTTCAATCGACTGGCAGTACCAGGTTCCATGACTTTTCGCACATCGGCCGCAAGCTGGCTAACGCTGGAACCGACTTCGCCAGCGCCAATTCGAATGACCATACTCTTGGGATCTTTCGCTGATGCATGACCGGCAGAATCCACATCGGGATTGTTGGCACCCATATGGGTTCTCTTCTTTGTTCGTTTACGCGCCATTGTGATTGTTGTTGAAAATTTGTTGTCTTCAAATTAGTTGCTTGAAGCTGTCTGTCGCAAATGAATGGCAGAAAGAAAAAAAGTTTGGCGGGGACTACGATAAGACTAGCGCGCGTGCGATAACGTATCTCTCCACCAGATGTCGAGGACACGTGACTAGACGCAAGTATCTCTTACCAAAATTGGACTAGTGGGCACACACATCCTTGCAAACTCCACAACCCCACTAAAACTTTTAGAAGTCTTGATCCAAGATGATCTCTTCTTGTCTGAAATTCGTCTGTACACACTCATCGCCCACCATGAACAGCGCAAAAAGATTAAAGGTTGCGCAAGATGCGCCTGCAAAGAAGAAGAAGCTTGCCGTTCGAGAGAAGCCCGCCAAGCCTGATCCTGAGTCCTCTAGCGAGGAAGAATCTGAGGAAGAGTCTGCCACTCTAGAGGAGCCCTCAGCTGAAGAGACGGCTGTTGATGCTCCCAAGAAGACTTTCAAGGACCTGGTATGGCTAATTGGCTCCTGATCTAACCTCCATCGTCTAACAATCATTAGGGTATCGTCGACGCTCTCTGCGAAGCTTGCGAGTCTCTCAACTACACACACCCCACACCCATCCAAGAAAAGTCCATCCCCGTCGCTCTCGAAGGCCGCGACATCATTGGTCTCGCCGAGACAGGTAGTGGAAAGACAGCTGCCTTTGCTCTCCCCGTTCTTCAGGCTCTTCTCGACAAGCCCCAGCCTCTATTTGGCCTCGTCCTCGCCCCGACTCGTGAATTGGCAACCCAGATCGGCCAAGCCTTCGAAGCTCTTGGATCGCTTATTTCGCTACGATGTGCCGTTATCGTGGGAGGTCTTGATATGGTCCCCCAGTCTATTGCCCTGGGAAAGAAGCCCCATATCATTGTGGCGACACCTGGCCGTCTCGTTGACCATCTTGAGAAGACCAAGGGCTTCTCGCTGCGTACGCTCAAGTACCTGATCATGGACGAGGCCGATCGACTTCTCGACATGGACTTCGGACCCAGTATCGACAAGATCCTCAAGTTCATTCCCCGCGAACGCCGTACATACCTTTTCTCCGCTACCATCAGCTCCAAGATTGAGAGCTTGCAGCGTGCCAGTTTGAGGGATCCCGTCCGTGTGAGCATCAGCTCCAACAAGTACCAGACTGTATCAACTCTGCTTCAGCACTACGTCTTCATTCCCCATCCTCAGAAGGACGTTTATCTCATCTACATGGTTAACGAGCACGCCGGCCAGTCCATGATCATCTTCACACGAACAGTCTGGGAGACCCAGCGCATTTCTATCCTGCTACGGACCCTTGGGTTTGGCGCAATCCCTCTTCATGGTCAGCTCTCTCAGACTTCCCGTCTAGGTGCTCTCAACAAGTTCCGTGCCGGCTCACGAGATATCCTGGTTGCTACCGATGTCGCCGCCCGTGGTCTGGATATCCCCTCGGTTGACGTTGTCCTCAACTACGACCTTCCCCAGGACTCCAAGACCTACATCCATCGAGTCGGACGTACCGCTCGTGCTGGTAAGTCTGGCGTTGCCATCAGTCTGGTGACCCAGTACGACGTCGAGATCTACCTGCGCATCGAAGCCGCTCTCGGCAAGAAGCTCCAGGAATACCCAACAGAGAAGGAAGAGGTGTTCACATTCCAGTCTCGAGTCGAAGAAGCGCAACGACATGCTAGAATCGAGATGAAGTCGTTCACCGAGGAGAGAGGCAAGAAGGGCAGCACATTGAAGGGTGGACGCGGCAAGAAGGGTGGCAAGCGAGGAAGAGATGACATGGATAGGGAGGAGGGCTAAAGCTGTAGCTATCGCTGAAATGGAGTTGCGGAAGTTTGGCGTTGTTCAGGGTGGGGGAAAAGTGTCAATGTTGAAGGATTCTTCAATGCTTGTTTCCGTGATTTATTCTCTCTATCTTGCTAGGAACAGATAGGCAACTCATTCGCTACTTAGAATAGTGATGAAGTTAATTGAAGCTATACGATGAATGTGTTGAGGATTGATCCTCTAATTTGTGACTAGCTCGACTAGCAAGCTATCAATCGACCTAGACTGGCAGGTCATGTTTCATTTAAACTGGTATTCACTTAATCACATCACAGCCATTTCAGCTCCTCCACAGCCAAGGCTAGTATGAAACAAACACGGTCCCGTAAGCGGCGACCTTAAACAGGGATGTCGAAGATCCTACAAGTTTGAACTGTCAGTGTCTTAGCCATGAATGGCATCGTGCATTGTCACTTTGTTTCGTCGGTTGTCTTGGGCGCCAATCCCCCTGTTGTTTTAAAGGCGGCCGCTCCCAGAGTTGCACTGCCATGAGATGAAAGGAGCTTTGGTGTAATTAGTTGCGATGTTTGTACTCGTGTAGCAAGTCGTATAAGTTGATTGAAGGCTCGAGTTTGGAACAATTGTTTCTTGCCTGTACTTACATTCGTTTCTTGGTGTATTGACTGCACTGTCCATTCATTCTTTTATATTGACACAACTTATCAAATTCACATTTATTCATTCATCTTCATCTTCATCATGTATACTTCGACTCTTCTTCTTACTCTGGCTGCTTCCGCAAGTGCACATATTGCCTCTTGGAACAAGGGCATGTACTGCAAGGTAGTTCATCCTTTCTTTAGCAATTCGACTTCAAAAAGACTAACTAACACTCCCAGGGCGGCAATGACTCTTCAGTTGACAACTCCAACACCAACCTCGCTGTAAACCCTCTCTACGACCTCCCCAAGTCCAAATGGTGGATGCAAGCCGACCGCGGCTGCGACGTCGTCCCTCCTCCCAAAGGCGAATTTCTTGAGCTTCCAGCAGGCAAATCCTTCCTGACCGAGCTGGCCAACAACCGCGCCTTCACCACGCTCTCTTACAACGGCAAACTGACCACCGATTGGCAAGATGGCAAGAACCGCTCTATGCCGTGGAGAGGACCCGAGGGAGGTTGTCTCATGGATGGCGGTGATGGCTCAGGTGGAGAGTTGCACACCAAGAACATTGAGTCAACCGGTGGAACAGCCTGGGCTATCTCGTACGAGAGCGACATCAGCAAGGTCACCATGGATAACCTTGTTGTCTTCTCTGTGCGATACTACTCTCCTTTCTTTCGCGAGACTTGGTACGACGTGCCAGCCGATATGCCAGCGTGCCCTAAAGAGGGCTGCTACTGTGCCTGGCTCTGGATCCCCGATGGATGTGGCCAGCCAAACATGTACATGCAGAATCACCGCTGCAAAGTCACGGGCAGCACTTCAACTAAGAAGCTCGGCAAGCCCAAGCCCCCCGTTTACTGCCGAGACAATCCTACCAAGTGTGTCCCCGGACCCAAGCAGATGATGGCCTGGCATCAGGCTGAAGGCAACAATGTTAACCCTCCTAACGGCAAGACTCCTACTTACAACCAGCGAATGGGATTCATGGATGGTGCTCAGGATGACATCTTCATCAAGTAGGATCATGTCGGATAGTAGTCGATGTATGAGTAGTACTTCATTCTGGCCCTCTGGAAGGGCAAGCCTTACCTTTTTCACAAAGGTATTAGACAAATATCAATTTTACCAGAATATATTTGAGCCGACGTTTTTACGCCTGTGAGCCGCCCAACAATTGAGAAAAGAAAGATTGCTTCGTTTAGTTCTATTTGATAGTGTTACAGTAGCCATCCCTATTCCACCCCTCTACCCAGAATGCATCCGGTAAACCTCCCTTAAAACGCCAATTCGCTAAATATTATCATTTACCAGGCCTCAGCTCGCATGGAGTCGTCTGCATCCCAATTCTCTGGCCTTTCGGATCCATCGGCCTCGTCTTCCTCTTCGCCGTCCACTAGCTCTGTATCCTCATTGCCCAGAGTTTCTTCACCATCCTCACGGGTTTCGTCCTCTTCTTCCTCTGCTTCCTCAGCACCATCACTCTCCTCAGCTTCTTCATCTCCCTCGCTTTCGCTGTCAGCGTCTTCTCCACTGGATTCGTCTGAATGATGTCCGAGGTTGGGAAACATAAGCCCCGGGGGCACCTCCACGTCGTAGTCTTCGGGCACGTCACTCAGATCACTCTCGTCGTCCGCTGAATCATGAATACTGCCGGGCTCGCTCTCGGCCTTCTCTTCCGCGCCGTGCTCTTCATCGTGTTCTTCTTCGTGATCATCTTCGTGGTCCTCTTCATGCTCCTCTTCGTGATCTTCCTCATTGTCGTCTCCCACATCCTTCATATCCACGTCACCATCATGACCAGCTTCACGGCGGATCTGTGCATCGACTCCTTCATCGTCGCTGCCAGCTTCGCTTGCAGGTTGGTTTGGCGTGTGGCTACCACGCTTACCACTCGAGACACTGCCCACCCGGCTCTTGCTTGACTTCGGTGCTTCCATAGCTCGAATGACAGCTTGTTCGGCCTTTCGCAACACATCAGGCCGTCTGACACCCGCTCTTCTGGCGCGTGGGACAACCTCTTGCTTCTCTGTTTCCATGGGAGTCGCTGTGCCTGTGATACTCTCCTGTCCGTTTGTAGCGTTGAGGATACTGGCGAGAGTGGTCTTGGCCTCTGCTTGTGCTGCTTCGAGTTGGGCTGCAACTTCTTTGGCATGATGCCGCTCCTCCACAACCTTACTAGGGTCTGGTCCAGGCAGGGTTTTGGCAATCTCTGAATAGATACGTGAGTAACAGTCGTTCAGAAGGTCGTCAATGGGTGCCACTTTCATAAGATTAGCATTGAGCTTTTTCAACTCAATTGCATCCTTCATGCAGTTGAACAACGGAACATCAGCGCCATCGCTTGCGGCCCAGGTCGCGATCCTCTCGCCTACTACCTCAAACTCCTCGCTTGATAGTGATTTGAACGCATCATCCATGACTGGTGACACATGGTAACCCTCGCGCAGTAGCTTGAGGTAGGACATACAGCAAGATTGCCATAGATCCGTGAAATGGTAAAAGTCAGCACCCTTCTTGCGAAGACGCCTCAACAACTGCTCCAGATTGACACGGTCCGCCATGATGACCAACAACTTGGTCATAAAGCGAACATACTGTTCCGTATAAACGTGATGCCGGCCAGGCCGTTCCGCATCGCACTTCCAGACGTTCATAACCATGGTCTTAGTAACCATGCTATCCCTAAGGATGCCAAATGCAGCTTTTGCTTCCACGAGTTGGTCACTGGCCTCCGACGTTGGATTATCTTCACAGAACAAGATCCTGGCATGTCTGAAGATGATACGATGTTGCCAGTTAGACTTATCCTTGTCTTTCAGCTTGGAGAGATTGCGAATAATGTACTCCTCCCAGTCTTCGGGTTCTGAAAACGAAGCAAAGTGATCGTCGGGGTTGACAGCCAGACCAAACGGTTGTTCAGATAGAATCGTAGCAGCCTCGCTTGATGGTAGGTCCCCTCGCATCACCAACTTGTGCAAGATAGACACGATCTTGTAATGTGGTTCGAGGATAGGATCACTGTTCCTACCTCTCCGAGCATTGTGCGCTACCTTTACTGCCTTCTTCAGGGTGTTTATCAAGGTTTCTATGCTGATCTTCGAGCGCATATCCTTCACGTCGAGTTCATCGTCGCGAGTCTGATACATCTTCCAGTAGCACTTGGAGAGCATGTAGGGGTTCCTGCGCATGGTTAGCTTGTTTATCGTATATTTCATGGTTATTACTTACTTCCAATCAGTTGGCTTTCGGTCCATAGCCATTCTGAACAGCTTAGCAGCGTATTTCCAGACTTTGTACTCGTTCATCTGTGTATGAAGAATCCTCTTGAAGGTTCCTGCGCCCATATCTTCGATAAAGTATCTCTCTTGATCAGAATGCTGGAATGGTTCCATAGCAAAGGGCTCGCGACTTGAAGCATACATTCGCATGCCAAACTTGTGGTAAAGATCATGCAGAGGGTCGCCGTCATGCGTCTCCACATCCACATTACGAGAATGCGAAAGTGCCAGCGTGTAACAATGAATCGCGTTTCGCTGGAACTTGACTAGTTCAGGGCGTTCCTTATTCATCTTGTCGGCGGTCCATAGAACCGCCTCGTCCAGCTCGTAGTCAAAACATTCTGCCAAGCGGAACCAAGCGTCCCATCTGTCTGCAGTAAACTGGAGCTGGAGACGCAAAAAGGTTGCGCCAATACGCAAGTCATCAGTTGCACCGGGTGTTTGTCGACGATTCAGATCGACGCCCTTGAACTTTGTCAGGGCCATCATGCCAAGCAAAAAGAACCAGCCATGTGTCGCGAGAATAGTTTCCGGTGTGTTTACAGACACTGCGTCTACCGAAACGTCCCCGATTAGAGCTTGGTATAGACGCAAGGGGTGAATCGGCTTTTTCAAGTACTCGGTGAAGTTGCGCAGATTGTGATACATCTGCGGGGTCGACTTGGTCTGACCGATGGTCTGTTGCATGTGGTCGATGGTAGTCTTGAGATCTGACTTGAGAAGGTCCTTTATAGGCATACGGTTGGCAAGAATAGTTACCCTCTCCACAAGCTGCATGGTCTGTCGCTTCTCGAGCTTTTCGGGAGGGCATCCATGATCTTGGACTTCCCAAATGCCTGCTCCTAGCTTCAGGCCATGCAAGTCATAAAGCACTTGTGCAAGGTAGTCTTCCCAATTCTCAATATTCTTCAACTTGAGAAGCTCAACGCGCATGACCTTGAGGAAGATTTTGTTTGAGGCCTTACAAAATTTACGAATGCCAATGACCTGGTGGATGGCAGCAAGGAAGTCAGCGAGGTCTTTTTCGGGTCCGATGATACAGTTATCAGGTGTGATTGCCGCCTTGAACAAGGTGTACTGTAGGCACCAGGCACGAATCTGCATTTCTTTCAACTTGTTCTTGAAAGGAGCTCTCGACGAAGCACTGCCTGGTCGTTCAGTCTTGATTCCAATGCGAAGTTCATCCTCGCACAAGCTCTGAACATGCAGCAAGCAGTTGACCTTTGCGATCGCAGCCGTAGTGGACTTGATATGGGCGGCGTCAATTATCTCAAAAGCAGTGCTGTCATTGAGTGCGGAGTATAGAGCCGTGATCAGAAGCTCGTCGAGTGATTTCAGAGTGCGCATAAAGAGCAACCGTCGAGATTCAGGCGGGGTATCAGCGTATGTTTTACCCTCCAAGTCTGATACAATTAACTCAATGCTCTTGAGACAACAAGAGAATTTCTTGGTAGAGTAATCGATAGCATCGTAGGCAGCTCCAAGACGTGACCACAAGAACAACCTAAGCTCTGTACTGCTGTTGTGAAGGAACTTCCAAAGATCTTGCAGGCTTTGGCTTGCGCAATCAGAAATTGGTTTTTTCTGCTTCCCGGTTGAGCTCGAGTCGTCCCCAGAGTCCGAGGCCTCAGAGTCCGTAATCTCTGACGCCGAATCTTGAACAGGGGCACACACTGATGATGGGTTGAGCACAGGCTCCAACGTTTCGATAACGTGGACCGGATCATCCATGTTATCTTGAAAGAGTCCGAGGAAAAAGTCCATTGTCGTCAGCTTGGAAATTTCACGATCAGCAGCAGCTGGTGAAATCGTTGGCATAACGACGTTGTTTGGTAGCGAAATAGTTGGTATCTTCTCATCTGTCAGATGGTCTCGTAAAGATGTCCACATGAGAAGAATATGCTCGCGCATGGGCTGTTCAGAATGTGAGGACACAAGAACTGAGGCCCATAGGAAACGGGCGGTGAGAGGGTCGTTTGGAGGGCGATCTCGTAAGTGGAGGTATGCTGAAGCAACGTCGAGCCATCGTCCGAGACGATATTTTGTGTCCATCCGAGTTGCATAATCCACAACGCTGCTAGGGTTGGTAATAAGCTCATAGATGTCGATATGAAGTTCAAAAAGCATGGGTACAACATTTTCGAGTTCTGCTAGCCTCTCAGAAGAACCAGCAGCCAATTCCATCTCCTCTGTTATCTTCTGATATAACAACGAATCCTTTCGATTGAGCATTTGCACCACACATAGCTTCATGCTATCGGACCACTTGGCTGTCGCGTAGCTTTGACTGATGGCCCTGACCCATTCGTATGTTACGTCTTCGGCTGTCATCCATGATCTGCATCCTCCGATCTTCCTGGCAAAAGACCTTAATCCTTGGGTTTCGCTAAACACGGGATTTGGAGTCTGATCCTGCGAGCCAGTCTTTGCGTGCTCCAAGAAAGAAGATGGCCCAAGACTGGCTTGCTCATTCTTGTTCAGGAACACCTTGGCGACCTTGTCTTGGAAGTCAACAATAACTGTGTTGAGATCACATGCAGCAAGATTTGTTATCTTTCCGGGCCGGTCTTCAGCATCACATGAATCAATGAGCTCAGTGATAAACTCGAAAGTCGACTTGTCTTCCACACCCAGATTCTCTAGAATGCTCTTGGTCATTTGGAAGAGATTTTGGTCAGCTCCTTGATAGGGCTGCAGTTGATTAGCAATTATGGTGCTGGGGTCGGTGGCTTCCTCAGCTTGAAGTGTTTCTCTTCGTCGAACTCGCTTGCTCCGTTTCTCAATCGTATTTTCTTCTTCCGCGCCGTCTGGCAGTCCTGCTGCAGATTGCGATCGTTTTCTTGTCAATGCCCCATTCGACTCCTTTTGTGTTTCATCTCTGGTTTTTTGACTATCCTCGGTACCTTCGGATGCCGCTTTCTGTTCTTTCGGCTCCTTGTCAGCGGCATCCCTCTCTGGCGACTCTGTTGGTTCAACAGGCCTATCAACTGCAACCTCAATCTCCGAACTGATACTTTCGGTCTCATTCGGTGGTGTTTCCATAGGAACATCTTCCAAGCTACTCTGAACAATCTCGTCGCATATGTCGAAAGCTTCGGGCGACGTCTCATGGCAGTTCATGAGCTCTAGTCCAAGGTCTGCCCAAGATGCCAAAGATTTGGGATTTTGGTGACCAACATCGTCAACTTCGCCCATCTCTGTATCTTGAGCTGTCTGGTCCTCAGCTACAGGAGTCTCAGGTGGTGTTAATGACTTGGTGGGGTCGGGAAGGAAAGGGATGGGATCGAGATGGCGCTTGAGAAGCGCAGGCATCTTCTTCTTGAGCCATGGTGCCATGACCGGGTGCGATAAAGCCATCTCATCACTAAAGAGCTGCAATTGATCTTTCAATTGCTCTCCTGCCATTCCTTCTGCTAATGACGGCGGCTCAACTTCCATCACAGCTGGGTCGTCATCCAACTCAATCCCAGCTTCAAGGCAATACCGCTTGATACGGTTACTGTTCATTGCACCAGCAAATCGGGCAGTCCTTCTCCAGAGCTCGGGATCGGAAGGGTCCTGGTCTAAAGCAGTCATCCAGCTGTTCAAGACTTTTCGTCCACGTTCGTCTTGGTAATTCAGCCGGGTCTTCCCCTTCCATGCCGGGTCCGATTTTGATTCGTCCTTATACTGATCAACAAAGAACTGGCCATAGTTTTTGTGGGAGAGATAAAGTGCCTGGGCTAGGCTTGCTGCAACGCCATCCGCTCCTCCAGCATCGACATCTAATCCCCCATCTGTAAGGGCAGCGTCCAAGTCGGATAACTCTGGTTGGCCGTCTGCATGTCGCTCTGCTCGTTCGTATTCGGTTTTGGCCTCTCGGTATTTAAAAATTTCGGATTCGAAAAGCCCCTTGTATGCAGCCTCTGCAGCTTCGCGCGATCGTGGGCCTTGCGCATGGAGTTTTAGGGCATTTTGGAATCGTTTCAAAGCTTCATCAACCTAGAGCATGTTAGTCTTTGGGTAGGGTTATCGTGCGGTATGCAGAGCTCACATGGATTTCTTTGGTCGTATCAATTTGCTCGTCGTTGTTATCCTCTGGCTCGAGATTAATCGCTTGAAATGCCGGCTACAGGATTCGAGTCAGTACAATGTCACTATCACTACAGAGATTGAGTAACTTACCATATTTGCGGTCGCGATTCTCTCGAAGCAAAGGCCGACATTCGTGGATAATAACAACTTCTACCTCGAGCTGGTTGATCTGGTGTTTAGTTTTGGAGACACTTCAACTTTCTTGGCATCCGTTTAATTGACCAAAGCGCGTTCCAAGACGCGGATCATGTCAGCCTCATTAAGCCACATTCTTAGGGAACTGGACTAGGACGTCGACACGTGGATGTGGCGGTGTTTAGAGTTGCACGTCCCCCCCAAATGCCCAAATGGAAGGGAGATGGCCCGCCCTAACCCAGTACGTAGCTCCAGCTATCAAGGAGCAAGGCCAGATCTTAGGGACCAGCAGCGGTTGGCTTCAACATCTTACCCCAGCTCCGCAATCCTCGAACAAAGAACCCCCTCTATTACCGTCCTCCTGTTTCTCTCATTATTCACCACAGGAGTCAATTTGTGCCGATTCTCACTTCTAACCCGCCGCCAATCCTCGTTAGCGATTACGAGGAGCTCATCGCCATGGTCGCGCCAGCGGTTCCTGAGTGAGCGCAACTACCGAGATATCTGACTGGCGTCATATAGCTAATTTCCAACCAGAATCACCGAGGAGATTCTCCACGAGTCGATCGATGCCCGAACCGAATCTCTTGCTGGCCTTCGCGAGCTTGGCCCTCCCGATCTCGTACACCTACTCAAGCACGCTGTCCGAAACCCAGCCAAACAGGTAGGCTCGCTCGTTCGCTCGGCGCAAGGGAGACAAAGAACTAATTTCTGAAGACTGGAGTATACCATCATGTCACCGGCGTCGACGCATCTTCTTCGGCTAGTTTAGCAGCATACATCAATACCTTGACCTACAAAGAATCCGGGCCTAATGCGACAAACAAGATTGTCGAAGGTGTCTACTGGTACGTCATACGTCGTGTGCGCTTCGACTCATCGCCGAGTGTAGGTTCTAACTTGTCACAGCTGTTACAATGCCTTTTCACGACTTGACATGCGCGTTCACGTATCGATTCCCGGAACCGTAGAAAGCTACTGCGTCGACGAACGAGGCGAGAAGAGAAAGGCTTCAGAGGAGCTCTGGCTAGAAACCTACCTATGCAGTGTCCTCCGAGCCTACTCATACGCAGACGACGGCAGTGGTGATACCATCCGAAAGATCATGGGTGTCAGAAGATTCAACCCTGTCACAAACACCGAGACCGAGCATCGTTTTCTTCATGCAGCAGAACAACTCTTCTTCAGGGGTACGCTACCTCAAACCCGACTACTCTACCCAAGCTAACTTTATAGGATGGCAATTGGGCTCCGATTCTGTAGTCCAAGTCCCTACTAATGTGTCCAATCACTTGACCACTGGACTTCTAAAATATCTCGAGACGACTGGCCGTTACGCCTCTGGAATCAACCTATTCGAAAAGCTCCGAACGCAGAGCGTCGAGGTTTCTTCGCTACTATCCAAGGTCATGTTCATGGGGCACGAGGAAGTTGCCGGTGTTAGGACTCTACATCAGTCTTTGCAAGAAACTCCGATGGACTATGTCATGCTCGACACCCAAGCTGAATTCCTTTTGGCCAAGGCCAAAAATGCGTCTACCCCTGAGCTCAGAGAAGAGAGACTGAAAATGTCGCTTGGCTGTGCGGATCGAGCGACCGTTGCTGCCCCGACTGAGTTTAGCACCTGGGCTAGATTGGCTCAGGTCTACGTGGCGATGGAGGATTGGGACAACGCGCTCACCATCCTCAACTCATGCCCCATGTTCACTTACCAAGACAAGGACACGCCTTTAATGCCTGAACCAAAGGAAGTTCACCTACCAACCCTTCCCGAAACTCGCCTTGATGAGATTGATAGCGAGCCCGAGTCGCGGTACTCGGAACAGGTCGATCCCAGCTTGCTCAACCTGCGAGCAGCATCTTACAGAGGCACTTTCAAAAAGGCGTACGACATTTTGACCGAGATGACTGCTAAGATTGGTTGGGACCAGCTCCTGAAGATTCGCAGTAACGTATTTGTGATGGAGGACGAGTACCGCACGGAGAAGCAGGAGGCCACTCAGCCACCTGCCTCGACAAAACGAAGTCCTAGTACGGATGGTTTAAGAGGTACACCTGAACAAACTGTCAACCATGACGACGAGGCACCAAGCGAAACCATAGAAAAGCCTGTCGAGGCTGTATCCGAAGTTGACGCTGATGAGGACACTGATACCCCTACCACCAATGGCAATGGCGAACAGAACATTGAGAAGCCTTCAAACGTGATTGACCCTGGCGAGGCGAAGGCAGATAGCGAGGTAGGTCCGGTCACTATAGACTGCAGAAAAGAAGTTAACAGGCGACAGGCTACCAAGAACGACGAGAATCTTTCCAAACTCAACACTAAGCGTCTTTGTGAACGCTGGTTGGATAGTCTCTTCATGGTGCTCTACGAAGACCTTCGTGTTTACACGATCTGGCGCACTCAGATGGCCCAATATCGCGCCCAGCAGATGCAGTACAAGAAGTCTGCAGAGGAGTGGGAAATTCTGGGTTCTCTCGCAGAGCGTCTTCAGCATGTTGACGAAGCCGTCGAGGCTTACCGCGCATGCCTATCGATCCGCTTTAGCCCCAAGGCTCTAGCTGGAATTCTCCGTGTCTTCGAGAAGACAAAGAGCACACGGGAGACAGTGGCATCTGTCATCCGACTAGTGACATGGCAGTACCGGTGGTACAGCGAGTTCAGCCCCGAGCTGCTGCACACGATACGGACCCTAATCGAGGACGAGGGAGCAGTCAAGGTCAGGAGTATCATCCAGGCGACGAGCTTACCCCAGAATGTTCTGGATCTGACACATCACTATGCTGCGCTGTGCGCGACATTCAGGAGCAGCGGTACCGACGGTTAGGAATGAGCGATATGGTCTGTTTCAGGTCTGTTTCAAAAGGATGTTTGTCGGGCAACGGTTACATATACATTTAGAATGTATGGTGTAGGGGAGCAAATTAATTCACGATCAAAGTCCCTTTGAAAGGGTTGAACAGTTTTCTTTCATGTGATTCATGCTCTGGTGATGTGGCCAGGCGTCGTAGGTTGGGGGAGTTGTGATAACCAAAAGGAGTAATAAAAGCATGACTTCGATGGTGTGTTTACGTTTGCTCCTGTTGCAGAGCTATTGTCGTCGCCCTTACCCAGGTTTATCCAGCTGTACATCATGAGATTAGACGATGAAACAATGAGCCTGGCCCTCTTATGTGGTACAGTCTTAGGACGACCGCCGTATAAACCTACATATTATACTGCTAGGATTGTGCATATTGCTATTATAGCCATCCAAGCCTAGTTCTGGTAATGCCACTATTGTGATGACCCTATGTCCATTCCAGATCTCCTTTATCCTGAACTTGCCACAGACCAGCTATTCATCTGTCAATGCTTACTCGTCATCCCCAAAGAACACCTTGATCGGCAAGAACCCATCATTGACGACCTTGAACCGCTCTTTAATCCCATCCAACGCCACCATATCACTGTTGGTCAACTCCCAGCCGTCTAAATCCAAGTTAGACTCAATTCTCGAGGGCGTGACGCTCTTGGGAACGACACTCCAGCCCTTCTGCAGACCCCACTGCAGTAACACTTGCTGTGGTGTCTTTTTTTTTGCCTCGGCGATACTGAGTAATGGCTCGTTGCGATACAGGACTGAATGGGCTGATCCTAGACATGAATAAGCTTCAGTGTGGATGCCTTGAGAAGCGTTATATGCCACCAGCTTTGGGGATGGGTTGCAGGGATGTAACTCGATCTGGTTGACTGCAGGTACAATCTAAAAAGTCAGCCAGTTATACTTCTTTGGTAGCCAAGGGACTTACATCGGTAGAGGGACTATTCAGGAGCTTTTCCAGGTGCTGGATCCCAAAGTTCGATACGCCAATGTTGCGAACCTTGCCCTCGTCCACCAACTCCTGCATCTCAACCCAAGTATCGACATAATCCCAGTCCTGGTAACAAACCGCTGGATTTGCTGCATCCCTCGAACAAGGCCAGTGAATCAGATACATGTCAAAATAGTCCAGTCCAAGATTTCGTAGACTCCTATCGACACATTGACGGGCATGCTTGTGCCAGTTGTTTCGGAGTTTTCCTGACACCCAAATTTCCTCGCGCGGAATTTCAGAGGCGCGGATGCCGGCTCCTACCTCTCGTTCGTTGCCGTAAGCCAGCGCTGTATCGATGTGACGGTAGCCAGCGCGGAGAGCTGTCTCTACAGCTTTCGAGACTTGGGAACGGTTAGATCGCCATGTCCCGAGACCGATGGCGGGCATCTCGTCGCCTGTGTTGAGCGTGAAGGTACGGCTTGTTGGAGTTAGTGAGATATCATTTTGTCAAGATAGAACGACTTACAAGACTTGAGTCATGGCTACCGATTGTAAAACACTCGGAATGGTATCTTGATAGGATAAACTTGTCGATCAGGGGGAGGGTATGAGTATTTTCTTGCTTGTCACTTTGAGTTGTTGTCAAGGGTGAACTTGAGGATAACAATTCTGGTCAACATAAATAGTCAGTATCAGCATAGACCCTCATTCATTTCTCTCTATTCACTCGTCTTCAAGCAATGAATACGAAGCTTTGTATGTGGTTATCCAACCTCTTGTTGCATGTCTTTGATGAGCATATTCACATTCCCACGTCTTCAAAGAGACACCAAATTAGCCCGAAGAAATGATATGAGAAACATGTCTCACTGCTCTATAAACTTCAAGATTTAGGTGCATGCTCGGATCTATTCACGATATGAGTGGATGTGTCGTACGTTGCATGATTAATTGAGTCTTTCCACTGAGTCTAAAAAGCTCGAACTTCACTTCCAAGTAAGATCTCAGGTTATGTTTCCTATATACAGTATAAACAATTGATGAGAGTTCTATGACTAGGTATTTTTTTGACGACATGGTCGATTATAAAAAGGCACAACTCAACGTTTAACTTATCACAATGTGTGCATACAAGCAGGACTAGACTTCGGGGTCAAATAAGATGGCAGTGATCGTTAATATTACCAGTAAATAACCAATCATGAGAGACAGAATGAATCCAAAACGTGAAAAAGCAAAGCAAAAATTCCATCATCGACATAAACGTTGCCCATAAACCCTAGGTAATCTCTGGTACTAAATGGATGTCAAGCAACTCCTTCCAAGCCCATTAAACCATGGTCCTTTAACCGTAGCCTCCAATCCAACCCAACAAATGCTTGTTTTTGTGTTTTTTCCTTTCTTTTCTGATCTATGTCGCCAGTTTTTTTGGTTTGTTATTCCGTGTTCGCCATCACATAATTATAGCCTCCTATGCGCCCCAGTTCCAAACCCCTTTTTTACCCATCCGGTACCTCACTCCTATACTTAAGAGAAACTCATATTCTAAACCAGACACCTTCTACCATCGGGAGCGATTCTTCCTCGAAGCTCTCGTCGCTCTCTTTCTAACCTCGCCGTCTGCTTCTCCAGCGCGCGGATTCTTTCGCGCGCTAGGTCGAGCACCTCGGCTTTGCTCACGCGGCGGTCATTTGCGATGCCGCCTTCTGTGCCTGGGGCAGGGAGCACGGCAAGCAGACGCTCAAAGTGAGTGTTGAGGCGCTTGCGGTATTGCTGCTCGACCTGGTTATGGGCAGCTCGTGCCTTGACCTCCTCAGTCGTCTCGCTGGGATGTCGAGGCTGAGCAGCTGCGGCTCCGCGCTTCTTGGGGGCTCGCGAAGCAGTGCGGAGCTGAGTAGGGTTGCGCTTGTTTGTGTCCTTCTTCGCCCTTGTTTTGGTCGATGTAGAACGCTTGCGCTTCTTGCTCGCAGGCTCCGAGTCGTCATCGTAGTCATCGTCATCCTGGTTATCTTCCTCGGGCTCAGACTCGACAGGGGATAGCTCATCTGCCATGGGCGGGGTGGGGAGGAATGTTGCTGCCGGGGAGACATGAGCGGGCCATACAGCGCCCAAGGAGGGACTGGCGGAGGAGAGGTCGTACCCTTCTGAGAAGGCGGATGAGGTGCGATGGGGTGGATGGACGGGGAACTGGCCCGGCGTCGCGGGATGGATAGCGTAGCCATTGGAGGAGAAGTCTCCAAAGGAACGGTCAAGGTAGGCAAGGTCTGTTAGAGGAGAAGGGAAGACGGTGTTATCGAGACTGGACGTCTCTGGAGACTGAAGAGGGTTCTGTTGCTGACACGCTGGTTAGAAGTGTCTCTCTGGACGTGGGAGATGAGTAGGGACTTACTGTAGAAGCCTCATACGAAGCATCCAGGCCAGAGAAGGGCATGGCGGTAGTGTCGATGCTGTTCATCCAGTCATCGGACATGCGTCCAAAACGCGCCGTAGCGTCTCCGTCGCCGGCGGTCTCGAGGAAAGTCGAGCTCATCATCATGGTGGGCCGATATTTAACGGTTGTCTGCAAATACTAGAACTAGCACGAGGTTGTCCTTGAACCCCGTCATCACGGAAGGGCAAGTGGCACAACGATCCCGAAGACGTTTTCGGTTTCTCTCTATGCTGCTGCTGTTTGTTGCTGTGTGTTTTCTGTTTAAAGAGAAATAATAAGAAAGGGGGGTTCTTGTTATAGGCAGTTAAGAAGGCGGCAGACTCGTAGTCTCGAGGCTGGTCGGTTGTCTTTTGCTGTTGACAAGCCACAAGCCATAACGGAGCTACTCTGGTTTCTTGTTTGTTCTTCTGGGTTTGTTTTCTCGTCTTTCCTGGCTGTTTCGGAGGAGGTGGACAGAGTAGACGGAAGACCCGGGGTTTACAGAGGAGGATAGAGCAAGGCAAGATTCACAACTACAAATCCGGGCTGAGCTGGTGCCCTTTTATACAGCGTCTAACTGGGTCCCTAGTGCCCAAGATCAAAACTCAGCAAAAACGCCAAGACCAAATTCGCTCGAAAAATACCACCGTGCATAGAGTCGAGTAGCAGAAAGATGGAGGGGGTGGTGCCAAAGTATGTAGTATGTGCAGTAAGAGGGCCAAGGGGGGGCCATTACGACACTGAGGCTGGGCCTGGGGGAAAAAGATAGACGGAACGAAGCCGTGACCGGAGAATGGAACGGATGCTTGACCAATGTGATGCATCACAACTTGACCACGAACGGACCTTCGCTTAAGTGAGAGGAAGAGCGTGCGGCATGGGCGTGAAAGTGAAAGCTTGGAAGGGGAAAGATGTTACGAGAGCACACGAGCCAATCTGAAGTTTGACAACTTACACGCCTGAGTCAAGTTGCGCGAGTAAGCCAATGGCCTCGGCGAAGCTGGTCTTGGCACCTGTCAAGGATGGGCATTCTGTTAGTAAATCCGGGCCCTTGGCCACGTAAGAGGAACTGTCTGAGGTTTTCCTAAGCAGAACTGATCGCTTTATTGTCGTAATATCCAGAACTCATAAGCCAGGCATGCATTCGAGAGAGTCGATCGTGAGGAAGAGGAAGAGTATAATCAACCCTCATGATGCAAAAACATGTCGTCTGCTTTATCGACAAATCGGGCAAAAATTAAGGATTTAACTCGGGGTGGCCTGAGTTTATCCCCAGAACTATAGTGGACCCTCACCCCGGCCCATCCTTGTAAGATGGGGAATCGTTGACTAACCTCAATCTCGTTTGCCTTGGAAGCAGCCGTGGGGAATAGGTTCTTTATGGCGATACATGTTAAGTTTTGCTTTCCGCCCTGTGGTTTTTTGAAGCGGATGGTCACGAGGTCCGAGAGGATTTCCCTTACCACGTTCGTGCTGTTGGTTCTTGGGTAATAGGAATCGAGTATGGAGAGTAAAAGAGTGGGATAGTGTGTCACGATGTTGTATCTATGCCATCATTGACGTCTTGTTGAGACTCTTTTGACTTATGGTGAAAGATACTGAGGCTATGACTCAACCAGAGATCCCCCACTAGGTACGTGCAATCACATCCTGCTTGTGAAGACTTGGCTAAATTAATTGCAGTTCCTGCCAGATGTTGCGTGGTATGGGCATTGGCGTGCGTCGGACCACCCCATAAGGGCTGTGTCTGTGATCTTCTCTTTTCTTCTTCCAGAAAGTTAAAGAATCCGGGGTAAAGGATGAGTGGTTGAGAGCCCCCGTCATCTGCTGTCAATAGCCGTCGACCGTGGGAGAGCAACGTCAGACCGTTCGAATTCTTCGAGAATTCGATGCTGTCGTACCCTATACAACCGGAGTAACAGTTCCATACCCAAATCATTTTGTCTCTAAGCGACGACTGCGTCTTCCTCGGTCACTCTCGAGTGACTATTCCTCCACGATAGGATAGCTACAAATGGCCTGCATAAAACACCCAGACAAATACAGTGGGTAGGCAAAAGGTCTCACAGCTTCCTCTCTTCTAAACTTTGTTCAAGAAAATACATATTATAATAAACTCTCTTAATCTACATATAATCTTATATAATTGTATCCTAAGATTATTTAGAAATAATCTTTAATTATTATTATTTTATATATTCCTACTTCATAGTTGCGTCGTTGTCGGAATTTTTGCACAGAACTGTACGTATCCTACGACAACACCCCCTTCAACCCCAAGAACAAAACATCATGACACTCAGTCAGACCTCAACCTTCCCTCAGCCCTACCCGTTGCGGAGTACCTCATGCCATCTGAACCAATAACAACACCATGGCAGGGGTTTACGTCCTATTTTCATGACATTTCCGCCCAGGAAAAGAGACGTCTTGTTGTTTATTTTAGAACACAATCCGATCGTGCCTACACGTGGTTTCGGACGATCGGTAAGTGGACACTGCGAGGGTAGATCAAGATTGGGATCTTGGGATCTGCCTTGGCTAGATCTTTGTACCATGGGTGATGTGTTGTTTTGCATGATCATGAAATAACGGTCTTGACTGACTTCTGGGGGATGGCATGTATGACACCGTGGGTATGGAGACCACATGGACTGGTAGTTTCATGATAATGCAACACCCGGCTTGCATCAACATTCATTCTACACACAGCTCCCCCTATACTCAAACACCGCATACGGAAACGACAGTGACGTATCATTGATCACAACGCATTGTCAACGGAAATGTTCAATGAATTGATATAACCAGAGTAAAAGGAACGAATTGCTATACAATAAGAGAGTCCCCGCAGAACGATATTACTCGTCACCACCAGCTGTGACTGCCTTGGGTTCCGGAGTCTCTGTAGCAGCAGGCGCAGCAGCTGTCTTGACATCCTCCTTGGCTGGGACAGAGGCATCGGCAGTATCTTCATCACCCTCAGCATCCTCCTCGTCGCCTTCAGCCTCAGCCTCTTCATCTTCCTCCTCTTCCTCTTCTTCCTCGGCATCGCCATTGGTTTCTTCAACTTCTGCCTCGGCCGTCTTGCGCTTCTTTACAGGAGGCTCGACTGAGATAGTATGGTCAGCATTTGATTCTGTATACCATGTTTCCTATTGGTAACTTGACGGTAGATGGACTGGAGCGGATAAGGTGAACGGAGGTGGGGCAGTTCCAATAACATCATCAGCAACTTACCCTTTTCGTCAGCGCCTTCGTCTTCATCGTCTTCCTCTTCCTCCTCGACATCTTCATCCTCTTCGCTCTGTTCTTCTTCGTCTGCGGTGGAGACGTACCTATTGCATCAATGCGGTCAGCCAACATCGTCATCCAAACGCAATCATGGTCGATACGGAACAGTCGCAGCATCGCAAGAAGCTAAGCAGCATTGGAATGGAGGCATAGATGCGATGCGACTGTGAACATTGCGAACGGCGCGTGTGAATGACTTCAATCGCGCGGGAAATCGCATCGCGTTGAGGCGCATTTCGTTGTATAGCATGCGACGACATCAGCTCCGCGCGCCGCGCAACTAGCCAACGTGCGATTGGGCAATTGGCAGTTTCCCAAGAAAACACCACAAAAGACTACATCCATGGATAGAAAAGGAAAGCGAATGGTACATACTCCTCTTCCTCCTCGCCGTCATCTTCTTCAGGGAGGGAGACAAGCTCCTCCTCCTCGTCTTGCTTTCTCTTGCGGGACATGGTGATAGTTACTGGACTGGCTGTAGTTTGATAATGCGATTGACAGTTCTGAAAGAACAAGTCGCTTCTCTCGGGGGCGAGGGAGGGTTTTTGTAGGTTGGACAAGGCACAGCACGAGATAGAGAAGCTAAGCAACGCAGGAACAGAATGGAAGAGAGGAGAGAGAGGAAGAGAGCCAGGGGGAGTGGGAGCGCCAAAGGGTGGGAGAGGCTGCGCAGCCCAGAGGACGTGAGGAGCTGGAGGGCGACAGTGACAGTGGCAGTAACAGTAACAGCAACAACGATAAACAGCCCGAGAGCTTGTGTGAGAGCTTCTAGCCTAGCCAATTGCAATTGGCAGTCATCCCATCACTGGATACACTCCATGACAGTATGTGGGATATCACTAACAGAACCCAGGTAGGTATACTTGGGAATGCAAGGGAACAATGCGATAAGTCTAGGTACCGTCCCACGAGCTTGTCATCCAGGGACGGATTGGGTGTCCAGCTTTGTTGGTGTGGACAAGCTCCGGGAGGTAAGCTGCACTGCAAGGCATAGCAACGCAGGGCAAGCTCTGTTTGCGAACCACCAGCCCTCCAGTCTCCAGCCTCCAGCCTCCATACAGGAGAAGGTCGATCAGGACGACAGCCATAGCCAAAGACGCGCAACAGACCAGCTTAGCAGGTGTCCAATCAAGATAGAGCTAGTGCAGTGGCTAATAGTTGCCTGAACCCGGAAAGCATCGAGGGGGGCTCTCTGGCTTTCGGATTTTGGGTTTTGCCTTTCCCGCGTCACTAGTTAGTACATCATAATGGCGAGGTCAAGGTCAACGGCTGTGGGAAATACGACTTTGAAAGCCAGAGAGCGGGGGAATGGCTCAGCGCGACGTGAGAGAGCCTGGGGATGCGGGCACTTGGCCTGATTCCAAGTGGCTGGGCAAACGACTACTCGATCGATATACAAGGTGACGTAGGACTTTCACATTGTAGCTGGAGCTGAGGACTCAAGGAACCTGGGGTCTTTTGTCTGTTATTGTTGGTTATCATGCCTTAATTCTCTCATCCGACAACAGCAGTCCCTCACAATACTGGAGGGAAAATACAACGCGAGTCGAGTCAATTACGGTCACCATTTCGCATGTGCCTACGTCCACTTGCAAGCTGTCGAAGCAAGGGCGAACGGAGCTGCAAGCTCTGTAATATCTCACTTCACCATGATCAAAAGCTTGGGGAGCTCGGGCCTGCTTCTGGGAATAAAGCCGGAGCGGATAACGGCACAGGTTTCTCCGGCGTTGGTTGTTGTTGCGAAAAGTGAGTCTGTGAGACGAAAGTGCCCCTGAGCCGAAGCCCGAAGCCGGAGGTTTCGGGGATTCAACTACTTAACACACAAGGTTGGCGTCATGGATGCGAGGTGATGTGATGGATGACACTGAGGGGAAGCTTGAGCACCATCCGGCCGGTCACGTGTGTTGGCTTGTTGTTGGCCAAGGTCTAGGTTAGGTAGATAGGTAGGCACGTAGACAGAATCTGAGGGTTTGCTGTGATACATCAGATTTTGAGTATCGTTGACGTAATGATTGCTTTTTTCACCGGATAATGAATGTTGTATTTACTGTTGTTCGTCAAGATAACAATCGCGCGATCTGACGCGTAATATCAACCGCCGCTCGCCTGCATAACGCTCGATTCGCGGTCTAGAGAGTACAGCAATGTGGTCGATTCCACACGGCTGGCTGGCTGGACGACGAGACGTAACAATCCTGATATCACTCAATTCAGAGTATTAAGAGCCATGAGAATCAAGTATTTAAGATCGCTAAAATGCCGAAAGTACATGCATATACCGAGAGATAATCTGTAGTGTTGTTGAGGCTTGCCGTGGTGATACACCATGCCACGTCAGTGGAAGTGATTTAAGAGACCCTTTGTCTATAATTCGTAATCTATCCCAGCAGGTAGACATGAGTACTGAAACAGCCATGTAAGCTGGAGGCTTTCCCAAAGGAATGAAGCTCAAAGACCCTGTCCTCTGCCATGACCCTATGCATCCTACTCGAGTCTAGCTTTGGCCGTATACTCACCACCATGGCGTAGCCAAGACGGGAAACCGTTACTTTGTAATCGCCCCAGGCTGGATCTCATAAATGAGACCGGGATACTAGTGCTGAAGGAGGCGTAATCCGTTGGATTGTCAACCTGGAGTGGTGGACGTGCCCTGTGTCCTAATTACTATAACTCGACGCGTACGTAGCACTGTTTTGTTTTGCGTTAGTAAACAAAAAACTGTCCTTCCCAGGGCGACGGGTATTAAGACGACTAAGCAGGCATCACGACCCAGCGGTTCGGACTGGGCATTATTAGTAGCCTGGTGCCGAGATGAGATCAGGCAATAGATCTATGGATCTCAGAAACATGTTAGTAGACTTGTCTCACGTGTTATTAACGCATGTCTTTTACAATGTCTCTGCTCTGCTCTGGAATGTGGAAGTGCGTGTCTCCAATTGTGTAATCACACCTCTAAAGCGATTTCTCTCACCACACGCAACTCTGACGAGTTCATGTCTAAGCCTCTGCGATCCTGCAATTAATTAAGCTTGGACGGACCGACAAATTGTCAGCATTTGTCTTCACATGCTGGTAAGCCTCATTCGCCTAGTGAGAACCTGTCACTGGGCTCGTGCTCAACAGAAACCCCACCAAAAAGCGGAGAGCTTTTAGCTAAATTCTTCAGAGGTTTCCAGAAAACCACGCTCTGTTCGGTAGGGAGTCAATCAATCTTATTACCGATCTTTGCGAATTTTGGGTTGACTTGCCTGACTGGAGCTTTGTTTATTTACCCGTAGCTGCGGAGTAAGTGAGATTAAGCACCATTTAATGTCCTGCGCAAGTGCATACTACTACTACGAGATACTTCAACATATGGAGTTGGGAATGTGATCCAGGTTCTTCTCCATCTTGTGCATCTTACCATGCTGAGGTCACTGTGGCATTCAGGAGAAACGATTCTGGAGTGGAGAGGGCGCAGAGAATCGCCGAGTGTAAAGGCGGTGTTGAGACTCTTACCGTTGACGAGATAACCACGGAGGCTCGGGGGTATGGAGCGAGACGAGTTGACAGTTACATAATCCCTGCCTATCATCTCGATTCCATGTAGATCCCAGAGTTGGAAGTCGACCAGAAGCTCACCGGAACGCAAGGGTGTGAATCCTGCGCTGGTGATCTTCCTGGTCCTCCGCATGAAATCGAATTCAATCGCTGGGACAATGGGAGCAGTAAATCGTGAGTAAATCGAGATCTGGCGTGGTTAGCATCGACTTCTATCCATTCATTCACATTGCGATACGTCACCAGCGCCATGCAACACAACACGACCCCAGGGACATATCCGCAGGCTCGGAGCAGCTAAGTTTGCTGGGATTAAAGATGCGAATTACGGTACGGAGTACTACTGTTGGATGTTTCTGTTATGCCTTGGAAGTTGCAGGCCCCTTGACGTAATTCAGCGAGCGGATAATATCGCGAACACGGGTGAAATGTTTTCATTAATTTCCAAATGTTTGGCTTAGCTAACGCGCATGGGGTGATAAAAAAGAAGAGCCAGGTGCCCCTGCAGATGCAGCAGCCCATATTCTGACGGAGTAAGATCCAGGAACGAAATGAATCTAATTGGTCGTGTTTTCCCTCATCACCCACTCTGCATCTGTCTCTTGACGCCATCAACTGGTCAACCTTTTTGTGCTTGCCTACAGACTCCAGTGCAGGAATAAGCCTAGCAGAACCTTTCCACACTAGCAAAAGGGAGATGACTACCCGATGTGGGTAATGTGGTTGTTTGGGCCTGACGCTTGTATTGTATTGGGACGACGGAAGAGACGTTAACGTTGACGGGAGGAACCCGTCGAGACGGTGCAGCGCCTTTGGGTCGGGCCCTTCGCCGGACCAAAGGCTAACGACAATTGGAGTGACGGGGGCTTGGAACGGTGGTTTCTAAATCTTTCTACGCGAATAGTAGATGGAGACGATATCCAGAATCGCTAAACACTCAACACTTGATTCTCATGTGAAGACCCCTTTTGTTCCGCTTCAGCTATGAATTGTTGAGGTGGTGCAACTGCTACTGCTACTGCTACCGTAACACGCGGCACAGCTGAGCGCAACACACCATGAGTTGGGAATTGACATGACAAAAGGCTGTTTTGGAGAGAGGGGCAGGTTTAATTTGATCTCATAGTCGAGAGGGGAAGGTCGCTTCAAATCCAATGAGGCTTGTTTGAATGAGACGAACCAAAGGGATGGATGATATGCTGCATGATATAGGCCGCGTCTAAACTAGAGTTGATGTAGTCCACCATCATAGCGCGGGTTGTAGATGGGGATTATTGATTTGAGTTTGTGAGAAGTGATAGTGATATCGACTATGTAGGTCGTTGCTCCCGTGCGTTCTTTCTGTTGACTCTGTACCTTTCTTTGAGATTCGTGATCATTCAGTAGAAACTTAGACATCCGTAGGAACCTGTTTCTTCGCCTCTTAGCCTAGACTCTGTGTTGTAGGCGTAGACTGTTCCATTCGGGAACTCACTCTCCCTCCCTTTTGAACATTCTCGGATTCACAATCGTCATTCTCGCATGTGGTATAGATGACACAGCCGTTGTTGAACCCCTGTTTCTCACAAGCTTTTGGCGCTTCAACACCAACAAATATACCGTTAGAGACAACATCTACCATTCTTTCGACTACAGAGCACACCCTTCAGCAATGCTATTTCGTCTGTTCTGTTTCTCTATTTTCCCATCAAACCACATACCTGGTCCAGTCTACTACCCTGGTCGCCGCACCTGGATCCCCGCCATCTAGGCCTTGAGTCAAATGACTCGATATTGGCCCCCTCTCACCAACAATTTAGCGTGCCAAAAAGGCCTTCCCAGCTGAAAGGGACGAGAAGTTGCCTTTCCCCGGGGATCGTTCCAGCCAATCGTGTTGCTGTAGTTCGTCTGTTAGTTCTGCTTGGTGGCCTCTGATCGGCTCATTTTCTTTTTGTCGTCCAAGATGGATGCACAAACAGCCACAGGCCAAACGGAAAAGACACCGCTTGGACGTTGAAATCCACGAGGCACACAGTTGGCACACCACCACCATAAACAACCCAACGGTAACGGTAGCACATATTGGCAGGCCTCGTTCGCTGCTTGTACCTTTTTGTCCACCCCATCTCCCCCCCCCCTTTGGAAAGCGGAAATACATCATTTTGCCTTCTTTTTGACGTGATTCTTGGAGGGTCCTTGAGACTTGGTCTCGTCTCGTTTCTTCTTTCCCCCGCGCCACCTGCTACAGCAATTGACGCTCTTGAGTCGCTCTCCCTTGTCTCATTTCTATTCCCTGGATTACTCTCATCACCAAAACCTAAATCCGTCCGGGCTGTCAACTGCGGCCAAGAAATCTTTTCCCTCTACTCTCCCATCAAGCAGCAACACCAACAAAGCTCACGACCGAGCTTCTGCCTTTGCCATTTAGCTTCTCGGTTTCCAAGTTTGTTAATCGATTGCAATTCCGATCCTCGGATCAATCACTTGTTCGGGTACATCTCTTCGCCCTTTAGACCAGAATTCTTATTACAGCAGTGCCCGAGCTCCCCTGGTAGCGACGGTACCCCGGTAGTTTTTGGCCTGGGGCTGCAGCACATCCTGGTTGTTGAAATTCAACCTACTCTGTACCCGCCCTGCCAATCCGGCTTCCCCGTCCCTGTAACAGCGACCAGCAACGCTCGACTGTTCTGCGCAGGGTGCTTTCTTGTGTATGTGCGAGTTTTTCGCTCTGACTCTGCAGGACAAGCACAGGCTGAAGCCATTCATTCATTCTCCAAATCACTTTCAACACGGCGCCGGCTGGGTTGTTTTGTCTGTTCAAGGCAAGATTCGGCGTTCCTTCTTTTACCGTGGGGTCCCGACTTTGCTCCATCGTTTTCCAGTGGAACTAAGTTGTACCTTTAACCAACCCAACGCACACTGAATCGCATTTCTCGAAACCGACGATTCTTGCATTCGTTTTTCAACACCGACCGACTTCTTGGTTAGATAGCTCTGCTTGTGACTGAGCCCGTTTCTGTCTTTTGTGCAGCTGAATTCGAAACTCGGAACGATACTCGACCCATTTTCACGATCCGCCGAACCTGCAGCAAACACCACTTTTCGTTCTGGACCGACCCCGACTTTGCCAAATTCCAGTTGCAGATCCAATCCGGCACTCTATTTCAAACCTGACAGTGATGGCCAAGAGCTTTTGCTTCTTTTTCTCGCATCCAACCACTTCATTTCCACATACTTTCACTGCTACGATCGGCGCACCTTGCAGGAGACGGCAGCAAAGTAATTAACCAGACGTCACCACCCTGACCACCAACGAAACATCAACGACGATAACGACTTTGATACCCTCGAATACGAAACAATCCGTTTTGCGAACTACACTACAACTGCCCGCTGGGCGACCACAGTTTTGTTTTTGCCAGCCTCTGGCGCCCAGCAGCAGCATCCTGATTCTCCGACCGCCAAGTGCATCACACCATGTCACCCCTCGCCATCTCTGTACCCGACGCACCGGGCTCGCCAAATGCAACCCGAACAAAATTTGCCTTTTACGGTAATCGTCAACGAGACAGCGAAAACAGCCTTATGCCAGGTGCTTCAACAAGTGATGCATCGCCTTATGCCTCACCGATGACTTCGCCCATGATGTCGCCATTGGCGTCACCTCGGATTCAGATCAAGCCATTTGGGGCGGCGTACCGCCATACTCGCCAGCCATCCGATGAGTCGCTGTCACATCTGCCTCCTCTGCCAATGTCACCAAGATGGGATTCAATGTCTAACCCTTCAAAATTCATGCTCGGACAATCAATATCTCAGCGTGCAGCATCTCCATTCGATTCTCCACATTCACCTTCACCACTAAGTTACGATACCGCAGCAAGCACTCCTGTGGAATCCCGAAACGCTTCTCCGACATTTCTGACGTCCAAATCGTCACTGGCTGACCTTCGCGCCTACGACAGCCTTCCACTCACCGTGGAGAACTTCTCGCGGCCGCGGAAGCAAAGTATCCGCCAGCCAATCGCAGACGCGACTAAGCCACGACCCGCTATAAACCCAGCTACCGCTACCGCTTCTCACCCCACGGGCCTCAATCCTGCAGACCAGTACCTGGAGCTTGTTGCACCCTCGCAGCATCCCTTATGGCCTCCTACACGTCCTCGCGGTCCTTCAGTTTCGTCTTGCCAGTCTTCTTCTACATATCACTCGGCCATCTCCCCACCCTCCAACGACTTTTATGACCCACGAGCCCCCCGTGTTCGGACCGCGAATGGTGCGACATCCTCCGCCGCACGGCCACCTTTAAACTTTTCTAACACAGGGTCGGCTTCACCAAGTCCTGTGGCCGCCCCGTGGATGAGTGGTGAAGAATTCCGTTCGAGCTTCCGCTCTCAGTACACAGAATCAACAGCTCCCGGAACAGCCGTCACTGAACGAAGCAGCGTTCTTACAAAGAACAGCTCTGTTGCATCATATCCTGGCCCAGAAGGCGAGGCAGAGTCGCAAGCCAACCCCGATCACGAGCTTGACCCAAACCACGACGAGCCCAGTCTCGAGGATGTTATGGGCATGTACGAGCAAGGCTTTGATGACGACGAAGACGAAGTGAATTACACAAACAATAGCAGAAAGTCGCGACTTGTAAGATCTGTGTCAGCCATGGACAAGCGCCGAAGTATCAGAGACGAAGAAGACGACGAAGACTTTCCCTCGCGCGAGGTTCAAGATTCCACTTCGACACTTGATATGGAAATTCGAATGTCCAAGATGATTTTTACACATCCAGCATTCACATCATCCGTGCCTCACATCGCAGAAAACTACGGTCGCGGAATGCTCGAAAAGCGAGATTCTGCCAAGTCTTTGGACTCTGAGCCATCTGTCAGCTCTCAAAATCCTCCCGCGGGTACCGAGCCTATTTCCGCACAATCCCCATCTATCACCACCCCTCTCTCACCTGTACTTCATCCTGTTGAGCGAGCCGAATCCCCTGAATCTACAATGGACCCTGGCCACGCATCAGAGCCTGTACCAGAATCAGCACCTGAGCCTATTTCTGCACCTGCCCCCAAGCCTTTGCTTGCACCTGAGCCAGCTCCTGTATCTCCACCTGTTGCTGCACCTGAATTTGTCGAACCTGAAGATCCCAGCTGTCGTGACCGATACGGCTTCAAGAAGGAGAACCAATATGTGACCCGAAAGCAATACGACACCTGGAATGATGGATATACCGAGTACCTGGCTCGCCGACGGAAGAAGTGGAATGCCTACCTCAAGGACAATGCTCTAATGACAGATCACCCAAACCGATTCCCTGCTCCTAATGCAAAGACGAAACGATTCGTCCGTAAGGGCATTCCTCCGGATTGGCGCGGCGCAGCATGGTTCTACTATGCAGGCGGGCCAGCCATTCTATCTAAGCACTCGGGTCTCTACGATAAGCTAACCACTAAGCGAGCTAAGGACGTCGATTCTGAAGCTATCGAGCGAGATCTACATCGCACATTCCCCGACAATATTAAGTTCAAGCCTCCTGGCGGTGGGATGGAGACGGCATCAAGCAGCACCAGAGGAAGCCAGTCAACGATGGACGATTCTACTCGCAGCTCCAGCCCGCTACCAAGCGTTGAGGGAGAGACACCTATTATCACATCTCTCCGTCGTGTTCTTCATGCTTTCGCCGTGTACAACCCCCGAATTGGATATTGTCAGAGCTTGAACTTCCTTGCTGGTCTTCTGCTCCTTTTTGTCGAAACTGAAGAGCAATGCTTTTGGCTTCTGAACGTTATCACACGCATCTACCTTCCTGGCACTCACGAGATGAGTCTTGAGGGTTCCAAGATTGATTTGGGCGTTCTTATGACAGAGATGCGCACTTCGATGCCTGCTGTCTGGGACAAGGTTGGCGGAGAGCTTGAGGCTGACCCCAACTCGAGGCCATCAACAAGCAAGTCGATCCGCCTTACTCGCTCCCGTCGCAAGGAACTTGCCCGCATGTCAACGCCTACAGACCGACTCCCGCCGATCACGCTTTGTATGACAGCATGGTTCATGAGCTGCTTCATCGGAACACTCCCGATCGAGACCACTCTGCGAGTATGGGATGTGTTTTTCTACGAGGGCTCTAAGACTCTCTTCCGCATTGCTTTGGCTATCTTCAAGCTAGGCGAGAACGAGATCCGATCCGTGGCTGACCCAATGGAAATGTTTGGTGTGGTGCAATCGATGCCTCGCCGGCTAATCGACGCCAATGGCCTTATGGAAGCGTGTTTCAAGCGGCGGAATGGCTTCGGGCATCTCAGTCAGGTCCAGATTGATGAGAAACGTCAGCAGAGACGAGCCAAGGCGCAACTCGATCGAGTCCGTCAAGGCAAGACATGGAACGTGGGATAATAGGAGAAGGAGGACAACCACCAGTCATCTGCTCCGACACGAAACTTTACGGAAATTAAACGTTTGGGTCACATACCACACACTACATACCTCATCATATCTCACTATACCCATTACACACATACACATCACATACACACTCCTTCAATATCTCTTTACTATCAATCTTCTCTCTCATTTCGGCACACCCGGCTCATACCACAACGGTTATGGAAGCCACCGAACTTAATCATGGAACGGCGTTTCAATGGAAGGCATGGTCTACTTATCGATTTAGCCCGCATTGTGTCTGCATTTTTCTCCTTTATTTTCTTCCTACCTGGACTCTTCTTTCATTTTCTTTTTTGTTAACTACCCCTTACATCGGGAAGTTTGTTTACTATGTCTCAGCGGAGAGGGATCAGCGTTGGACGGCTGGAATGCACAGGACGGAATGGTACCCAAAAAGGAACATTGTTTTATACTGAATGACGATGGTTTACGGCTGCATTGCGATAAGACAAAAAAGCACCACCACACCCAGACCACTCTTTCATGAGGGGAAGGCTTCCCACTATACGATGGATGGCACGGGTGAAAGGGCTGGCAAAGCTTAGGCGGTGTCTGGTTTTCATATAGATGGGGGGAAATACGTATGAACTGGTTAGAACTGTATTGTTGAGGAGTAGATTTGGGGAATATTTTTTTTGATACCCTAATGGAATGAAAGATAATTACATGACGCTCATTTACCAGTGTGTGATCTATTGATGATTTGCAGTGATATTTATTGTCCAAAATGCTCCGATCCTGACGGAGACAGGTGATCGGTGTGATATAGTGTTACACGACCCTTTTCGCTGTTGTGTTTTCTTGTCAAATTTCGATTAGACTATGTCTCATAAATCTCAATGGTACCAAAAGTCATGATCAAGCGCAGGCGAGGTTGTTTATGTACCCGACGCGAGTCCTCACCATATTGGCCATTGGGTCACGCCATTAGCTAGGAATGTTGACCACGCTCCTAAGTCATTCTGGGGGTCTCGCATTTTCTCAGTCCAATGCATGTATTCGTTACTGCTCCTGTTATCGCTGTTCTCGTCCTAGTACTGCCTTACTCTACACAGTAGGAGGGAAGATAGGCTGGCCCTTGGCGTATTGCTCAACCTCCTGCTTGGCTGCCTGGTTGAACGCGGGACGGTCACTCTGGTACTGCTGCGCAATCCGCTCCTCGAGAGGACTGTCAAGCTGCGGCTCCTCCAGGAGGTTGCGGAGGGCCTCGAGGACGGAGTTGAGCTTCGTGCTTGGCTTCCAGGCGTCTGGCTTCAGAAGGCCAAGGCAGATGTTGCCGAGGCTGTCGTTTGTGATGTTGGGGTGGTAGATGCGGGTGCAGAACTTGACGACGGGGGGCTTGAACGGGTAGTCGGTGGGAAGGCTGATGACGATGCCGAACTTGCCTGGATAGTAGGGCGTCGAGTCTGGTGCCGTGAGGGTGACGTGCCAGGTGTGGATGGAGCTTTCGTTGGCAAGGGCGACTTCAAAGCCCTCGGGGGGACTTTGGGAAATTTCGGCGAATTCCTAAGCGTTCGGATATGTTAGTTGATGGACTGAGGCTTTAGAAAGGGCAGAGGAAAGATGTGCCTTTGTGATACGCTTGCTAGACATTGCGATGGTGCTGTCGAGCGAAGTGCTTATAAGATGCGGTGATGCTTTTGCGGGAACCTTTTCCTCCTCTCGTGGAAAATATCGTCTTATTTTCTTCTTAAGCGACCTCTAGTACCACGATGATAGCTTTGGCTGGCGGATGCTATTGGGACTGAAGTGACGGGATGCTTAATGTGTTTTATGTTGCAGGTTTCAGGACGAAGTTGAAGTTGGAGAAGTGGGAGGAGAGGGAAGAAAGACAAGGGTATGACGATGGTGGGGTAGCAAAAAGCTGGAGCTGGAGGCAACAGCTGTGACTTCTGTTGTGATACGCTGTAAATGCAGCTGGATAGCACAGCAGCTTGTGATAAAGAACAATAAGGTACTCAAGCATATAAGGATATACCTTTATTTGTTGAATGGTTTCACGGGTTGTAAGATATTTTGTGCTGCACAATCAGGTTCAATGGCTATATCTCAGAGGCATTGAGTCTTGATTTAAGCACTTGGTGGGAACGCCCGCAATGCATACCATCAGATTGTCTAATCAAGAATAGAAGGTAGAGTGCATGCAGTTGGTTGTTTGAACAAGATGTCTTGGACTCAGGAGTGAACTGACAAGACAGAACGCTGCTTAAATTATAATTCGACTTTCGCCGCATCGTTTAACATAGCGTGGCTCTGGCTGTACCAGCTTTAGCTAAGAGTAAAGCTTTGATAGAATAACCTTTGTTAAACCCACAGTAATTAGTTCATAAAAGATAGTACAGGTACATAAAGAAAAGACCAGGCACGGAATGATGAGTTCAGGCAAATAAACGAAGCACCTCTCCTGACAGGGTGCAGTAAGGTATGAATGTTAGGTATGGCACCTGCTTGCGTTTAGAGCGAAGCAGAGGGAGACGGCATTTTATGAATCTCAATATTATAAACCAATTTGTCGCTGGTTTGTTTGGCATTTTATTTAAATGACATGTACGGATACTGTCATGGTTATTATAATTATTTGTGTAACTCCTCAAAATGTAGTAACTCTCTTAGTATAGCGGATATCTTTGTCTAGCCTTGAGGACAGTAAGTAAAGATATATAGAATGGCCAACGACAAAAGACTTACATGAAGGGTATCAGATACGTTATGGAATGGATGTGCAGGATTTGGCCAAACGAGCCTTGCGTAGCCGGATATCGTCCAATGAGGTAACAAGAAGCAGATCATTAACCAAGTCTCATAGTTTGGCTTTCGTATCGTCTTGCCCCTGCTCTTCCTCTTCTTCCCTCATCACAGCAGCGACACTCTGCCTCAACTGCTCCGCCAACACAACCGCTTCGTCATCATCCAGCTCCTCTCTCTTTCCCCTCCCGAACATGGTAAAACTCTCGCTGAATCTCCCACTGGCTCTTATCTCAGGCCGAGGGATGATATGAAAGTGCATGTGAGGCACGACCTGCGCGGCAGCAGCTCCATTGTTCTGCACCACGTTCCAATCTTCGACGCCTGTCGCACGCGCCATGGCTTTTGAGAGTACACGCAGATACTGGCCGAGCTGGGCGGATTCAGAGGCCGTCACGTCGCTGAGCTTGGGGCGATGAGGGCGTGTGCAGAGAAGAAGATGGCCGCGGCTCAGGGGGAGGATGTCGAGAAAGGCGACGAGGATTGGCGTTGAGAGGACAATGAAGGACGCGGGTGATACGAGCTCGGGGTTGATGAGGGAGGATGTTGATGGTGGGGGATTTAAGGGATCAAAGGGCTCAAAGACGGATGAGATTGTGCAGAATGGACATGATGTTGGAGGAGCCGAAGGGTCAAACATGGTTGATTATAACGTTGAGATATAGATTGCGAGTCGGGATTAGCTGAGATAAAGAAGAACTGTTAAGAGATTGAGTGAAGTGATAATGAACGATGTCGATGTAAGAGTCTGTGTTGCAAGTCCATGAGAATGAAAAGAGAGATCGATTTAACGGAACCGAGGTTGAGATGAGATTGAGATGGGATGTGAATCGTGATGGACTGGGGCTGCCCAGGGATTGGAGATCGGGACTGGGGTTCCATTGCATTAATTTAGTGCATTTATTTAGTGGAGGTTGTCACTGTGGGGTGGTTTAACTGCGCGCTATGTTTAGATCTTGTTTATAACTGATACCTTCAATGACAATGATGCTTCTTGAAGTCGATGAGTAACTTGTTATGAATTGAGTAATGATGATAGATGACGATTCTTAAGTACGGGAATGGCTTGGTAATGTTAAGAGAGACCACCTAGTATTCTGGACTTTTCTGTTGGCTCAAAATTCTGTTCAAAACTTTAAGAGAAGACCATTAGGTTGATATCGGGTCGTCTTACCAACTCGACCATCTATCTGCCTAGTCAAAGCATGTATACCGTGTTTTTCAAGAGTATCTGTTCGATCTAGTTCAAGTTGATTCAGATCGTCATAATTCTATCTCATCTCTGACTTGGAGCTACAGCTGCAAAGCATTCATGACAGACCCTTGCACGTGTCCTTTGATGAATGCCACTATGTACATAGAAAAGAGAAAAGATCTTTCTGTATCAGTATAGACCTATTGAAGATATCAATAGGCAGTATCTCAACACAGCTGAAGCTATTCACCCACCAAGCAATCATCCTCTCCTGGCATCCTCCCGTCACAACCAACAGGTACGTACCCATTAAACAACACCCCACTCACCGCCAAAATTCTGCCGTCCAAACTTTCCCATCACCGCCTTCCATGACCAAGCAACCTCCAATCTTTTCCTCCACCAGAAGCAACAGCAATACCCACCATCACCCAAACTCATAAATCACCAAACCACACACGCCAAAATGCCCCGCGAAGAGTACCAAGTCCCTACCGCCTCCGCCGGCCAGCGCGGCGCCACCCGCGAGGCCCACGAGATCCGACATGTCATGTCCTACATCTGCGGTGACTGCGGCGGCAGCGTCACCCTCGGCAAGGACGCGCTCGTCGCGTGCCCTCACTGCGCGGGTCGTATTCTCTACAAGGAGCGCACCAAGCGGTAAGCAGAACTTCTTGCGCTTTGCCTGAGGATATGTTACTAACGACGATTGCAGAATGGTTCAGTTCGAGGCCCGATAGAAAATTACAACGATATTTGCATTACCAAGCGCAGGAAAAACTTGCAAGAGAATAAAGACCGAGGGTGTTGTGGCATTTTGGTATTTTCAAGATGGGAGTTAAGGGGTCTGGGAATTACGTTGGAATGAAAAATAGACAATGCGACACGATTTGCGCATGACACACAAGACATGGTTTGCATGATACTTCTTTGTTTTCCTTCAAAGCCGCCCTGTGATATCTAACCTGCAAAACTAAACCGGATAAATCCCGATGAACCCTTAGAACGCCACTATATGCTACTTTTTGTCTTCCATTATTTGTTCTGAGTGTAGAGGTACTTGGCGAAACTCGCGTCTGCCATGACGGAGTCCTCGTTATCGCCCATGGCCGCCTGGTATCGCTCCTGAAGACCCTGCTTCTGAATCTCCTCGTCGGAATCGGTATCGTTATCATCGCTGGCAACTTCCGCCTCATCCTCCTCCTTTGCTACCGGCAGACCACCAACCGACATTCCCTGCATCATCTTATCCAGCTCCTTCTCTCGGGTGGCCTTCTTTTGCTCCTCACGCTCTGCCCTCTTTCTCTCGAGTTCTGGAAGGTAGTCGCGCAAAAACTCCTGCCTCTTCTCCTCGACAGCCTCGAAGAATTCATCCACGCCAGTACCCAATCGCGAACTGACACCGACAACACTGAGATGCGCATAGAACTCCTCCAACATGAGACTCATCGAGTTGAGTAGGCTGCCCATGTATCCGCTTCCACCGTGACCACCACCCTCGGCACCACCCCGCTCATCAGACTCTTCATCCTTTCGTAGAGCGTCCTGGAATGCTTCGAAATCGGTCATCCACTCCTTTGCAAACTCAGCATCCTTGACATCAGTCTTATTGAAGACGAGAATCATGGGGAGCTTGGTCTTGTAAAGGATAGAGCAGGCGTAAAGCATGTTGGACATGAAGGTCGAAGTCGACGCAGTTCGTGGGGTATCGATAATATAGGCGATGACAGTAGGGAAAGACGACGCTAGCGACTCGAGAAGAATAGTTCCAGAGGCGGACCAGACGAAAACCTCGATTTGACCAGGTGTGTCGACAAGAATTCTATCAATAGGTTTGCGATCGGGCTTCTCGGGGTCGGGTTGAGCGCGCTTCTCGAGCAAGTTGACGATCTGGTCGACCTTTGTAGCGAAGAGGTTAAGCGACGTCAAAATTCCACCGTTAGGACCAAGGTTGTACTGCTTCATAACCTCCTCATAGTTGACTGAGTCGCGAATATCGATGTTGGCCTCGAAGGGTACAGACAAGACAGCGGGATCGAGGTTGATGACATATGGAGGAGTGTCGTTCTGGTGGAGGTGAGCATTAATACGACGCATAAAGGTGGTCTTTCCAGATCCTAAGTAAGGTTAGAGACAGCGCCGCGCAGTGATCATGACCATAACTTGCCTGCCATGCCAACGCAGACAATAGCGACGGGAGGCGAGTTCGCCGCAGGAGCCGCCTCGCCTGTAGCGGCAGTTTCGGCTGTGGAGGATGCCATAACTAAAGAATCTGCTTTAATATATAGGGAACGAGGGTGTAGAGTTTGGCGCTTGGGCTGAATATTAAGGTCGGGCTTGGTGTTTTTGGAGAGAATGGAAGGAATGAAAAGTGACGAAATGGAGACTTCAAAAATTTGGGCGCGGTCAACGTTGATGTGGATGCCCCGCGCGGGGTCATTCGCTGGAAGGCAGTGGCCGATATAATTCCAGCTGAATAAGCCTGAGATGTCTTAGTTATTATACCTTAGTTATCACTGCAAGATGGAAAATGATATTATGTTGGACATTTTATGTCTGTTGGGATAGGAATCGCATCGAGTGATCTTGAACTATGTCAATCTTTGAAACTAAACATCCAGGCTACCTGTTGAATACTGAACTGGCAACATCGACATTCAAATAAACTTGTATGTAGTTTTGAGTGTACATTAATCTCATTGCAAGATGCTAACAAAGCTTTATGTAATATAAGCCGATACTAATACTCTGTTCTGACTGTTCACTCTTGACCTTGGGTTCGACAATCTCAAAATCTCTAACAAAGATCCTTGAGTCCAGAAGAAACCGGCCCCACTTCTCGGTGAAGCCCCCACTTAGATCCGACATCCCACCTCAGACCTTAAAAAAAAGTTGTCCAGCATAGCATGGGGATCTTTTACATCTTCAACACCAACAAAACTATCGCCAACAACTCTCTTTCCAACACCCCAACCTAACCCACCAACACAACTAATACTACCTTTTAATATACACGGAAGAGTCATTGACTCTCTAGCCTTTTACAATGGCCGCCGACGAAGCCCAAATGCCGTTTATCCGCAACCTCGCTTCAAGCGGTCCGTCTCTCAAAACCAGCTTCTCGTGGTGTCAAATCTTGCTAACTCATGCGCAGACCGCAAGCTACGAATTTCTTCTCTAGAGACTCTCACATCTTTCCTCTCTACGCGCTCAACTATCTCCGACGTCGACGCCCAGAAGCTCTGGAAGGGTCTGTTCTATGCGCTATGGATGACCGACCGTCCCCTGCCCCAGCAGCGTCTCGCGACCGACCTCGCCAACCTCCTCCACACCCTGAAACCCGAATGCGCTATTCCCTGGCTACGTGGCTTCTGGGCTGTCGTGGGCATTCAGTGGACAGGTATTGATGTCTACCGCCTTGAGAAGTTCCTTCTTCTCGTCCGTCGCGTTTTCGCCTCGCATGTGCGCTTCCTCCGGGAGCGTGGCTGGAATGACGCCGATGTCGAGGCTATTGTCGGGGTTCTAGCCGAGTATCCTTTCGACAAGGAGGGCGATATGCGCAAGACCCCTGTGGGAATTAGACTGCATGCGATGGACATCTGGGTCGATGAGCTGGAGCGCGAGGAGGCGCTTAAGCACCCTGAGGCCGAGGCCTTTGTGAAGACCTTGGGAGAGGTTGTTCTTGCGCTAAAGACATGTCCTGTGAAGCCTGTGAGGCAGCGCGCCGTCGAGTGTTACGAGGACGAGAGGTTGCCGTGGGTTCAGGCTGCCAGTGGTGATGAGCAGGAGGACGATGATGAGTGGGGTGGTATTGATGATTAAAAGCCAATCTTTGTAGGCGCATGGCGTTAGGATCCGGGAAAAATGTACTGCGGGTTACAACCGCGTTCTTTATAGGGGCTAGAGGTTGATACCATCTGAAAATATCACCACCATCTATTGTCATTACTACCAAGACTTCGAGAATGCCACTTCAAACGCCCGCTTCGGGATATCCATATTACAAGCAACGTAAACTGCCTTTTTGGGTACATGCTAAACCACCACTCATCATTATAGACAGGGAGGCATATTACCAAACCCTCTGGTCTCCTCCGATAGTCTCTTCTTCGTCGATGCTGATATCGTAACCCATCTCCCTCGCCTCCTGCTGCCGCTCTTGTTCCTGTCGTGTTCGTCGCCACGCATCCCACTTAGCCCGCTGCTCCGGGGTCTCCACGCGAGGTTTAACAAGACCCTTCTTGCGGAGTCGTCGACGATGCTGACGCTTCTGCTCAAACGTGAGCCCCTGAACATCGATGTCGGTGATTTTGCGATCGTAGTAAAAGTCCTTGAAGTCGGCGAGCCAATCCGCTACCTCCTCCTTGGCTTGATCGGCCATGATGCGCCCACGACCTGCTGTGGTCCACTGGTCCAGCTTCACGGGGATTGCGTTGCCAAAGGTAGGATCGTCGACTGACCAAACGCATGGGGTGCTGCCACAACGGGTTGGACGGCAGAATTTGGCGCACGTGGCTGATTCGAGTGCATACCAGAGTGCGAAGAGAAAAAGAACAAGACCGAGAAGAGTGAAGCGGAAGTATGGCTTGCGGTGGTAGAGTGGTGGAACAGGAAAGCGAACGTAGGATACCGTTTTGGCATCAGAATGCGTAATGTAGGCGAGGTCTGCGCCGTGACTGTCGTGGAGGGTGGCCATCTTTTCAGGCAACGGCTCGGGCTTGATGATTTCAAGGAGGTTCTTCTCAGACTCTTCCTCCTTGGGTACCTTCAACTCGGCAGACTTCTCTTCGGCTGCTTTATCCTCCGCTGCTTGATGTTCGGCAGCCTTGTTCTTGATATTGACCTGATCGGAGAGACGCTCAATACCTCTTGCAGCAGTGTGAATGCCGTATAGGCTACTTTTAAGCGTATTGTTCATGCGCGTGAGGCGGTCTAGATCCGAGTTATCGTTGGATTGGGGGTCGATCTGGTTGGTTCGCGTGTTGAGTTTGGTATCAAGCTCCAAGTCGAAGTCGAAATCGTCGTCAAGTGAGGTGTTTTGGGGTAACTGATCAAGAAGGGCTTCAACTTGTTGAGATGGGGCTTTGCGGCCAAGGAGGACCTCTTCAAGATCATCCAATGTTGAATCCTCAATGTGATGAGCACGTTGAAGCTCTTTGAGGTCGTCTTTGACCGATGGAAGCCTTGCTGAGTTTTTAAGTGTTCCACGACGCCGTGAAAGAGAACGAGTGCGCCGTCTTCTCGCCCCGCTCGACGAAGTTCTGGTGCTAGGTTTGTCGTCCGTCCCAGGATCTGATGCTGTGTCCCTGTCGCTACCACTTATCACATGATCCGTCTTCTTATCACGGAACGATGCAGATCTTTGTCGCGGCGGCCTTTCTTCTCTCTTTGGTCTTTCTTGTTTGTCCTTTATTTCGAACTTTTCCACCTTGACGGTTGCAGGTGTTTCCACATATGCGCCTGTAACCTTCGGGGTGGGCATAGTCAGGGGATCTGGCTTTGGTGCCCGAGGAGTCGCTTCAAGTTCCCTATCATCTTCAGACTCTGGCTCTGGCGACGACGCCCTCGCAGAGCCCTTTTCAGACTGATTGTCGCCAGGCGCAAAGAGGCTGGCTTCCGCTTCGATGCGGTCCGTGGGATCCGGCTCTGAATTCATGGATTTCTTGCTCTTAACAGATTCCGTGGAACGACTTCGAGATAAGCCAGCAAATCCGACTCTAGGTTTTGTATCAGAATCTCGGTTTGAGCGATGTTGCCGGTTGCGCAAGCCATTGCTAGTAGCAGGCACGGGAATTGTAGATGCAGTGTCAGGTTTGGGATCCGAAAGTAAAGAGGTGGGTTTGTCACTGTCAGGCAGCTGTCGCGGCTCAGTTTCTGGCGCGGGACTAGAACTGGTAGCTCTGGCCAGGAGCCGTAACACGTCCCGGGAGTCAGTACGTCTGTGTGACAGGCCAGGTCGTGCACGATCTGCATCATCCTTAGAGTCACTATCCTCCTTTTGACGCGATTCTACACTTGGTCGCTGCGATTTGTATATAGTCACGGGCGTATCTGGTATCCTCTCACCAATCATCTCAAAAGCAGACTTTGGCCGAGGCGGTTCTTTCGTTTCGATTTCAGTTGTCTTTCCCTCAGGAACCATCCCTCGGCTCGCCTGAGGTCGATTTTCTTCTGGAGAGCGTGAGCGACTCATTGCATTTTGCTCGCGAATCTCGCCCAATCTAATTGAGGCTATCGACCTCCTGGGAATACCTTTGACCTCCCTCTGTCGTATCTCGTCTAGTTTGGTATTTCTTGGCCTCGGTGCATTTCTATCAGGAATAGGTATTTGATGCTCAACCTTTTCCTCACGCTCTCGTATCTCGTCTATTTTTGTATTATGGGGTCGCGATGGTTCAAGGGGAATATCGCTTCCTGTCTTGACCTCCCGCGACCGAATCTCGTCGAGTTTGGTGTTGCGCGCTCCAGGTGGCGCAACTCTTGTCCGCGAGTTGATATCGATTTCACTGCCTTCGTCAAAATGGATTCGGTTCGCAAAAGGACGTGCACCCATGCGAAGCCTTGGGCTATCCGAGATTTGTAAGTCTCCAGCTGTAAAGTCCTCGTCTACCTGCCATGCGAAGCTTTTTTCCGGGGAGCCTTCCCCATTGGGCTGCGAGTGGGCTGGCTCGTTGTGATCTTCCGGTCCCTCGATCGATGGCAACAGGTCATCTATACCGGGTACAAGTGCTGGAATGCGCCCCTGATTTGTCAGGTCATCTTTCGAAGGCATGTGTCGCAACAAATTCGAGCCCATTTGTGGTCTTCCAGCCGAACTTCCTGGCCGGGATTCAACCTTGACTCCATTGGCAGGTGCGTTCTCCTCCGTAGGCTCTTTACGCCCGAAAGAAAGTCCCGCCCGCGACTTCCCGTAGAAGCTGCGTTGTCGCGGCGATGCAATTTGGGAGGGCGAATTCTTTGCTTCAGGTATTCTAGACGCTGCGAGCGAACCTCGCGAAAAAGGCCGACTTGGTGCTTTTGTGTCCAGATGATCGTGACTCAACATCTGCCGTATCTGGTTCCTTTCCCCCTCGTTCTTCTCGCGCCATACTCGAGGGGCTGGACTCGGTGACGCATCGACAGCTTGGCTTCCTTCGCTTTCGTTATCGCTCTCAGCTTCCTTCGTAGCAAGGCGAAAGGCATCGGACATGGAGAGTCGTTTTCGAGTGGAAGAGGAAAACCCTGGTGTAGGTAGTCTGCTCTCGCGAGATCCAACGCTGCCTGCGCTCCCCCTCCTATCGAAATCCGAGATTGTCGATCGCGCAAATCCATTGCTTTGTATACTAGAGCGAAGCTTCGAATTGCTTTGTTGTGACTGATCGTTCTCCTTATTCTTGTCGGTGCCCCGCGGGATGTTGCTTGCGAAAAGAGGTTTCCTGCCAGACTGCTTCACAACAAGCTGACTAGATCGCTCCATGAACGAGCTCCTGTCACGATCCATTGGGGAGGTGGTTTCGGGGATTATATGTAATTATGGTGTTGTTGATAGCACATTATTCGTCGTCGTGGGGCAGCGCGATCATTGCATCGCGACGGCGATGACGGGCAAGCAGTTGGACAGACAAGTAGATAGCTGAAAGAAAAGGCAGAAAGAAAAGGCCGTGGAGGTATGTTTGGGTATGTCCGTACAAGTTGGATATTTGTACAAGTGTCGTATGTTATACAGTAGCGAATAAAAACACCAACAGCGCGCAAAAAGTCGAATGATTAAATGTTTTTGTCGGGTCGTGGTTTAACGCGTTGTATCCGTAGGGTCGCGAAGCGGCCAGGCATGGGTCTTTGTCTTAGCGTCCGTCCCGTCACCGCCGTCAATGACGGTGGAGTCTCACCGTTTCCGTCAATCCGGTGCTGCTACTCTACTGCTCTATACTCCGTACCACATAAGGATGTCGTCGCCAGATGATTCATTTTCCAATTACCTATTGCCCTATTCTTACTTGAACATCTCTCGGAGAATTTCGAGTCATCCTTGAGACTCTTTTATTACTCTGAACTCATCAGCATCATTCAAAGGCTAGGTTATGTAGGAAGAAGAATCCTTACGCATAACGAGTACCGTATCGACTCATAAACCCGTTGCGCCCTATGGATCATTTAAGCCCTCGTCTGTGTCTATGGTTCGTAGGATCAGAAACAAGCATCCGGCGTGGAATGCGCCATCTAACGTTAGACTAATTACCTCTCATCCGCAAATTCACATGATGGCGTTGTCCTTTTGAAGTTGGCAATGATCGTTGCCTACCAAGGTAGGTAGGTAGTTAACCACCAATAGTTCTCCACAAACCGCAGACTCCCTATCAACTGTAGCCTTTAAAGATAAAATAACCTGCTTGGCTTACGTGAGACGGGATCCCATGTCCCTCGTTCATCCCATTTAATCTAGTTTTCGTAACATTATGACGACGCTTTGTAGGTATGACTCAAGTGGAGTTTTGAACTTAAAGAGCCAAAACACCACCTTTTTACCAGATACTACAAGAGATAGTATCAAGAAGCATTCAATTTAGCTTTACTTCTCTCTAATCAACATGGCATCCACTGACCTTTGTGCCGTTCGACGCTTAGGTCTTCTGTAAGTTATTCACCATCTTCGCATTCACAACGACTAACACATCATTAGAGAGACTGGGTCTTCCGCCTATCATCTAATGGGACTATATCGTTGCGTTGTTGTATCAGCACGATATGCACTCCCTCCGGACACTTCTCCTTCAAATGATGCTATACTCGCAGCCATGGGAAATCTGATCAACGATAACCCTATACTGCGAGTAGGCATCCAAGGTGAAGGTGACATAAAAGCCTTCTTTACTCATATTACTGAGATGAAGCTCCACGATTTTGTCGAGTTTCGCACTTGCTCCGAGGAGAATTATGAGAAGGCTTTGGAAGATGTTCATTGCTGGTGTCATGACCAGTTCTGGCAGGATATCGAGACTCGGCCTCCGTGGCGGGCGATTGTCCTCAGACCAGGGGAAACACCTGGTTTTGAAGATATAGTTTTTGCATTTCATCATTCTCTTATGGATGGCATGAGCGGCAGGTTGTTTCATGAGAAGCTTCTTGCTCATCTGAACGATCTTCCTCCAAACCCATCATCCCAGGACGTTCTGCAATTCCCGGAACTACCAACCCTCCCTGAGCCTCAAGAAAAGGTTATCGACTATACAACCACTCTAGGCTTCCGGGTCTCCAAGTTCTGGGCTAGAAACCGGCCTTCTTTCCTTACACCCGCGCCCAAACCGATTTGGTTTGGTGAACCCATCGACTTTGATCGCCCGCATAAAACTCGTCTGCGTTCTGTAGATATCCCAGCTGAAGTGGTGTCGAGTGCCCTTGCAGCTGCACGTTCTCACGGAACCTCCATTACTGGTCTTTTGCACACTCTCATCTTGGTATCGCTATCACGGCATGTCCCAGATGCACCAGGCTTTGCGTCTTCTACACCTATGAGTATGCGCCCGTATATATCCCCTAGTGCCGACCCTTCTCTCAAAGAAGCGTTGTTTGGATGCGTGACTGGCATGAACCACGAGCATCCTCCATCAGAAACCTCCCACTTTCGAAACCCACAGGGTGATATAGATGATCATATCTGGTCCTACGCAAGAAAGGTCAGGACCGAGCTCAAAGAAAAGGCATCCACATTCCCAGTCAACGACGACATCCAGGCTTTGGCCAGCGTTACAGATTGGCCAGCACTACTGCAAAAGAAAGACGGCAAGCCGCGCCTCCGATCATGGGAACTTAGCAACGTTGGTACTCTTGCTCCTGTCGATGGGGAAAGGAGTATTTCGCGTGCGCTGTTCACGAATGGGGTCATGGTAGCTAGTGATCCCATGAGTATTAGTGTGGTGAGTGTTAAGAACAGTTCTTTGACACTGGGTATAACATGGTGTGACGGTGTTGTCGATGACAAAGTCATGGAGAATTTAGCACAAGACTTAGATGTGTTTATGAAGCGACTGCATGAGGTGGGAAAGATTAGTGATGCTTAATAAGAAGCTGAAATGCTTGAAGGTCTACAGGCACCATCCAGTTAGGTAGACAACAGACATTTTTCAGTTATAAATGGTAGGGCTATTGTGCATTAAAACGTATAATCCAAAAAGTTCTATTCTTCTTGCAGGTGTGCCCAGATCATCTCACATCAGTCCACCTCATATCACAACAATTCAAAGGATTCCTGTCCCAGTCTATCCAAACGCCGCGCAAATTTATGCAATGAAAATTCCCCTTTATTTTAGACAGATCTACCATCCCTCGCCGGGGTTTCTTTGACGGTTGCTGCCTCGGAAGTAGTCGTATGTAGCAGCATCAGGCTCTGCCTCATGCTGGGCAAGACCACTGTAACCTTGAGGTCCGCCGCCCATAGCGCTGACCGAAGGCCCGGGTGATTGAGCTGGTGTTGGGCGACCTGGTGTGTTTAGGTTGCTACTATAGGCAGGTGCTGCAGCGTTCTGAATCAGTCCCAGGCCGGATGAGCTTCCGTTATTGTGAGAGTACAACGGACTTCGGCCGCGGCTGATAGGCTCTGCACCCAAGGTGGTTTGCTGCGTAAATCCGGCGTGAGGAGGGGCCCCCGGGCGGTATGCCCCATAGCTCATGTCGCTGGTGTTACTGGCAAGAGACATCAATCGCTGCTGCTGAGCCGGTCCACCTGCAAAAGGAGAACCAGAACGGCCAGCACCGACAGGTGTACCAGGACGAGAACCACGTTCGCTACCATCCAGAGATCCAGGGGTACCAGGACGTCCAATCTCGCCAGGGCGGCCATAAATCTCACCTCCACCATGATCCTCAGCAAATTCGGCTCGGTTCTTGTAATATTCAAAATCCATCTGAGTGTCAGACACAAACTCAAAGCCGGGGACGTTACTGGCACTCTTCCCGGGCCGTCCTTTCTGCATAGGATCAAGAGAAACCATGTCGGAGTAACCACTCATAGTCATCATATCGTCAGTATTCGCGTCTCTACCATCACTGAGGCGACCCTTGTAGATGGCGGGAAGAAGATTTTGCGCGCTCGAGTGAACCATAGGGGTGATCAAAGGTCGGTAAAGTGCTGGGTGGCCGAATCGGTTCGCCAATCGTTCACTTCGCATACGGTTTTCCATTGGATCAATTCCATTCTCAGGCTTCTTAGTAACATCGACAATGTTGTAGTATGTGATCTTGATGTTGAAAGCACGATTGCAGTAGATCTTGAAGATAATCAAGATGAATGGCAAGGGCACGAGACTGAAGAACTCAATATGAGACCCCTGGTTACCACGCACCCAGCAAGTCAACATGACTACAAGGTTGGAAAGAATCGTTGCAAAGATGAAGCGATTGAAGATGACGCGCCAGAATGCTCCACCAGATTCGGTCTTGGTGACAAAGCGGTAAAGAAGGAGATACTTCTTGAGCCACGAATCGATGAGGAAGTAAAGAGCTGTTGCCGGAAGGACCAAAGGTTGGATACCGGCAAAGCACATAGTTACTGTAGCGTAGTAAAGGAAGTAATTGTAGTAACTGGCGTACTCGAAAGGCGGTGGGGCCGTGAGTTCAATAAGCTCTCGAGGTGTTGGGCTTGAGAACTTCTTCAGGAAGAAAGCCTGGACTAAAGGCCAGGCTTGGGCCAGATCAATAGCTGCACCCAGTTGACGCTGAAGCAAGTAAGTGACCCAGAATGGGCTGGTGTTGCAGAGAGCTTCAAATAGCGCGGCTGCAATGTTGTTCTTCTTGATAGACTCCCAAACATCCTCCTTAACCGACCCAGTTGTGTCCCGAACAACGTTAGACACGAATGACCAGATAACACTGAAGATGGAAAAGATAATCAAGTTGTTGAAGACGAAGAAGAAGTAAAGCTTGGCCAAAACGTGCCTCTCTCGTCCTGTCTTAGTCTGATCACCAGCCTTGATGGAAAGACGACGGAAGATGATGGGGAGGACAAGGTAGGTCAGAGACATGATAGCTGGCGCGAGAACGCCTTGAATTGCACCCCAGATCTTGGGATGGGTAGCAAGCTCCGTTCTGAACGCGGGCCAGACCTTGCCCAGATTCTGCAGGTTGACGAGAAAAACGGCGATGCCAAGGTTAGGAACAATCCAGATAAGAGTCAGGAGAGTGATCCAGAAGTTGTTGACCAAGCGTCTTCGTCCTCGCGTGCTGCTGTACAAGGGCATGTTTTCCCAGATGATGTCGTTAGGACGAGGCGCAAGCTTGACCGTAGCACCAACCGGCTTCTTGTTGCGACAAGCATAAGCGATACCATGAGCTTCGGCGATATCCGAGTAACTGGCAAAACCGTAGGGCATTGAGCCTCGCTTGTCCACCGTCGAGCGTACTTGCTTGATAATGACCTCGAGGTCACGAATTCGCTGGGTGTAGTATTCAATGGCATCCACCTTTTGACCCTTGGGATAAGTTCCGTATGATCGGTCCTTCTTGGATGGCTTGCACATGGGGCGCGCAACGGGAACGTTATTGGGATCTTTGAGGTACTTAGCCAAGACCTTCTCAAGCTTGCGAACGGCGTGGTCGTGCTGTGCGATGATGTCCGGGAGTTCCTTGACGTTTCGGGCAACGGCAGTTCGAGCGAAAGATGAGTTGGGGGCGATTTGATCAATGATTCTCGCAATGCCCTCGTCGGAGCAGCCTTTCTTGGGAATATCGAAGACCTGCGATTTAAGATAAGTTTGTGCTGCTTAGCAGAATTTTATGCTTTTCTCACCATCAAAGTACGAGAGTGAAGACTCTTTTGGTAGTCCTCGCTCTCGAAATATTTCCGCCGGAGTTGAAGAACCTTCCTGTAATTGAACCAAAGGAAACCAATTACAATGAAGTTAAAGCACCAAGCGATGATGACCTGTGACCAGATGGCCGGGGCAAATACGGTAAGTGGAGTAATGTTGATAACCCAGTTCGTGTTCTTTGGGCCCTGGTATTCCTGCCATCTCGTGATGTTGATAGGCAGAAGAATTCCAACACCAGTAAGACATAGAGTGAGAAACATATTGCGGCACATGCGGACAAAACGGAGGAAGATGGTAGCATCCATACCAATCAAAGGCACAAGCTGCTCCTCATTAGTATGCCACAGTGTCGTGATCCACGACCACGGTGCCTTTCCTATAGGAGGCGGTACGTGCTTCTCGTCGGCATGTTTCAATTTGGGGGCGTAGATGGCCTGGTGGTAAGGTCGCAAGATCGAAAAGACGATGGCGATGCCGAGTGTGACGGGAATCGAGGTAGCCAAAGCTGAGTATAGCGAGGCAGCTTGAAGCTAAGAAATGGAGGGTTAGCAGGGTGCGGAATTGATGTTAGTAAAGCCGTAAGGCGTACCTGTCCACTGAAAGGTTCCTGGAGAAGATCCAGCAACTGATGACCGGCATCCTTCTCTTGCCGGCCATGAAGGCGGGCTGAACCATCCATACTAAGCGCGCGAGCTCCGCCCGTTGGCGACGGCGTTGAATTTTAACTCAACTATGTAACGACCGTCAAAGTGTATTGCGCGGATGAGCTGCCAAGATGTCCGATTTCGACGTTAGCCACGTGTGTATGAGGTAGAATCGACTTGAACGGCGTAGTTAAGGAAGAATCTCGTATTCGCAGGGATTGAAATGACGGGTCGCAAGAGAGATGAGAGTTGGCGAAGCGCAGTCTATGAGGATGACGGGACAGGTTATCAACGTTCAATATCCAGCGCTCCAGCGCCAATTAACAGATTGATTGTCGTCAACAAAGAGCCCTTCTTGAATGAACGAGAGTCGCTATGTTGATAATAGATCTGGTAGGTCCGTGAGCGAGAGAATGGAGCGCCAATAAGGGGCGAAACGATCGAGATGGCGTCACGCAGAAACAAGCGACGATGATGGAGAAAGGATAAAAGAGAGGGACAAAGGAATTGGGTAGCTTCCGATAATACGGAGAGATAGCAGATAACGTAAGGTGAGGGAGGTAAAGAAGTTAAAGGATAAAAGTAGGGCTGGGGGTGGAGGGTCTGTCCCCGACTAAGGACTAAGGAGCCATGACATTGACATGGGATGGGGATGGATATCGGTATGGATCCGTATTATCATGGGGGAGACACTTTTTCTTTTTTGGGGAGAAGAGCCAAAGCCAAAGTGAACGCCAAAGCGAAACTAGCAAAGGAGGAAGCCATCAACGGAAAAAGCTTGGCATCCAATCCCGACCAATATGGCAGCGACTCTCACCCAAAGCCAATAAAAAGTCCCCTGTTTTAGAGAGCTGCAGTCAGGCGCTAGTTGTCTTAATTGTTATGGAAGACGCCATAGAATGATCGAGACTGCTGGTGATCATCGCTGTCAACTGATCTACTCTACAATGGACGGTTAGGTTATTTTCCAGCAGTTGCAGAATTTTACAACAACAAAAAAAACATCAACATTTGACCTCGTACTACACCCACGCATGAACGCCCTCCAAACGCTGATTCGTCCCTGAGAAAGAAGACAATCCAAAGAGTCACCCTCTTTTTTTGTTTACCCTGGCACGCGGCCTCCGTGGGGATAATACGTACCGAACTGTAGGCCTGCTGCTATTTTTGACGCCTCCCGACCCGCTGTAGTGGAGATCCCCTTCAACTGTCGCACGGGCCGGGGAGCCATTTTGAAGCCTCATCGGCCAATCATCGCCCTTCTCTTAGCTTATGCATTCGCCACGCCCACTCGGTCTTTGCCCCTGCATGGTTTTCATGGGTCCCTAGATGGTTGTTTTTCTGGCCCTGAAGAAAACTGATGGGAATACGAACATACCAGCGCTTCTGCTGCAGCGTGGTATTCCATAAAAGGAAAGTGATGGGATGTTTGTTGCAAAGGAACTTGTGTCAATGTTCTCATCAACGACGACGATCGATCTATGTTACACATGTTCTTTCAGATCCTTCAACTTGTCTTTCAACGCGGCCTTTTCAAGACATGACACGCATTGGTACTCTGTACCTGGCATGAATTAATATAATATTCAGCCCAGCTGTAATTTGTCCCGTGCCATCTGTTTCTGACACTGACGCCCCTACCGCCTTGAATCTTCCTTTTCTTACTCACCCAAACAGTCTACGTAGTAATAACTCCCCTTCCCCCCATAACCATTCTGCCATTATCGTCCAAACTCGTATGGATCCTACACGTCGCTAGCATGCCTCAACGATGTACCGGCATCCCATTCGCCACTTCGATTATACCAAGTAAAATAGTTCATGTCCAATGACATATCCGTACAGATATGACGCGCAACCGATCGCAATTGGGAAAACAAATCCAGTCAAATCGGGAATTTCACAGTCGTCTCAATAATGGAGACTCAAGCTACCAAAGCTTGTTGAAGCCTCTGAAACCACTAGCCAGGAAAAAGAAGAGAAAATTCTCTTTATTTATTTTTTGTATTTATGGCTCGACGGCATGTTGTCGCCGTAAAACATTAGATCACATGGAATAGCTTTATGTCATAGACTGGACTCGCTCGTAGATACATTACAACTGCGAGAAAAGTCCGGTGATAAAAGCAAACTACAAGCAGATGCCTAATTCACTGGATGTAGGTAAAGCTTTGCCCTACCGGCATAATTGCTCTCGATATTATATGAGCTCAGTTATATCAGCAGCAAGCATCAGATAACACATCTACAACACAGCCGAACTCTTGGGTAAGCCGTAGGCTGTATGATCACTTATGATAAGCTTCTAGTTGCATTGGGAAGAGAATAGTCATCCGCGAATATCAGAAAGCAAGCCTTTGTCCAAATTTAGTGTTATGATAGCAAACAAAGATCAAAATGAAGCACAAATGGTCTTGTAGCTCTAGCCTTTGAGTTGAGATAACGTCGTAAGTCATTCGATTGAGTGATGCGCAGAAGGTGCATATACGCATCTCTTCCCGAGATATTCACCAGGTGTTCTTCAAGTCTTTCGCGCTAGTTGTTGATTTGTATTCAGTTGTAGTTGCTAAAAGCTAGGTAATATGGAGGATCGTCCTGATCGGGTTTCCACATCTGCATCCGCCTCACAAACAGAATCTTCGGGCAGCTTTTGGTGACGTTCCGTGTCCCATTACGTCTCTGTGGGGTGAAACGTCAGCGTCTTGCTCTTGAATGCCACGAGGGTCCCTGTTTTGCGCGTGTGGATTCCATGGATAAAACGAGTATCAAAGCTGGCACCTGGCTTTGAAGAGGACAGAAATACTTGGGCCATTCCAGTACCGGCTCAGGTCGGTACTTACCTGAACCTTTGTATCCCATTGGCCATTTGGTCAAACTTTTTTTTGTAAACCACCGGGCTTTGTAGCCTCCCGGCTTGTCAGCGAAGCGGGCACCGTGAGAAACCCGGAGCTAACGCTGTTGAAACATACAAAAATGGATATGATCCTAGTGGCTGTTAAGACCTGTATCTCAACAAGCATCAGTTCAATGTTGATGTCATGGGTCCGTGAAATATCAGCTGCGGATGGTTTTGTGTCAGATAAATCGTGTATGGGCTAAGACTGTCACAGGGTAGGTAGGTGAATCTAGTCTCATCCTCAGCTAAGATTCCGTGCTTTAGGTTCGAGGCTTAGGTGTACTTCAGCTCTTGGGAACAAGCCTTGCAGCATAGCCGCACCTATAAAAATCCAACCTATTCGATGAGACTGCAGATATCTCAAACGTCGCATTGAGTAAATGTGTACCTACCTAGGTAAAGACATGCTGGCTCAAACTCCACTTCTCCGGAACCGGTGATGTTGGATGCCGAAAGTGCCAGGCTTTGATGAGACCGGATGAATGGACATCAGGTGCAAGGATTACTCTGTAATTAGTTTGTTTTTATTCTCTTTGAAACGAGATAGGGGACTTAGCTAGGGATACCTGATCTGGCGCCAGCGGGAGCTTCGAAGCGGGCAGCGACATGGTAAAGGTGCTCTTTGCAATATAACACTTTATGATATAATATCCTAAATCTTTAGTAGAAGAACTCGAAGTTATTATATAAATTGTAATGAGTTGATGTAAGTCGGTATTGCTAATCTGGTGTAATAAATAGAGTGAACTGGAGTATCCTACTATGTTACTGTTTGAGCCTTCGCAGAGTACAATGGCCGGATGTGCTTACGTATAAGATCGTCAGAGGTGATTGTTAACAACTGAGACTCAATTCATCGAGTCTACTTGATCTACAAAATTAGATATCCATTCACCTCTACCCCCAGAAACCCCTTTCCAAAGTTGGTCAATGACAACAAACCCCACTTGTAACTCTCAGCGCTTCAAAGGGAGCCAGCATATACATCATACTCTGCACAATGAAGTCGCACATAGTGCAAGACAAATAGCAAATGGTTACTTTAGTTCCTATAGCATTCGAATGAATCAACACTAGGGGATTAAGTTATGCGCCCTCTGTTCCGATCCTTCTTGATGGCCGAAAACCCGTGACACTCTTTTCTCGAGTAACATACTGGTGTTTCGTTGCGGTAGAGCATAGCGGTGATCAGATGAGTAGGAACAGCCGACAGGACATAGTCATCCAAAGAGCATCCAGGAGGCTGGCAGTGATATCGCAATGGGGACCCCAGAGGTAAGTGATGTAAGTCTGTGGAGGAATGTCAGTGTTGGTCCGAAGAAAGGACATGGAGATCAAAGCAGGGTAAGAGTAGGACCGACGTATCCCGGAGTACAAGTGCAATAGGAAGAAACAAGTCTGAATATACTTACAAACATGTCTTCTGGGGGTTATCACTATCCGTCTAGGTACTTATAAGTTGAAATGAAGACGAGTATTGCTTCCTTGGGGTAACGCTGTCCTTAGGTGTTTTGCCAGTTGTAGAAAAGAGAAGCATGATTCATGTCGATTGTCCTTGCCATTTCAGGTAAGTTGAAGAAAAGAAGAGTGATCGTGCACCAACAACCTCAATCTCAACCACCAGCCTGAAAGTTAGCAGTGATGTTCTGCTGGCGGGTGACTTCTCTTCCCGAATCGTTAGGCGGGCTGAGGAAGACTGTGGATGGAATCTCGTCTTGGTGCAAGAGACGCGAATCTCTCCCAGTACCTGATCTTACAGACTTCCACTGCGTGTCCCTCAGTGCAGCTTGGAAGGCTCCGGCCTCGGCAGCGGGGGGTTCATAGTGGCGGTCGACCTCCACGAAACTGAACGCTCCGGCGTATCGGCGTACTGGGGGTGTCTACGTTATAGCAGCTAGGGCATACTCCGGCTGCCAGCAGATGGGCTCTGTGAATGACTGGCCGCTGGCTAGACCTGAAAACTAGAGTATCGGGAGGTAACCTCACGCTGCGGACACCGAAATGGTAGAAGTAGTGTGCTGTGTCCTCCTCGTGGGCAGTGGTAGAAAGGAGGTGATTGGAAGAGTAGGAATAGCAATTGAGATAAGTCGTCTAAGGAATATCCAGGAGGCCAGCAATAAGTTTGCAGTGCCTCAATAAAGAGTCGTTGTGACCTTGGTCTTCTGATTTGTGGGCCTGATACCTACCTTGACGGCACGGTATACCTTGCTCCTACGGAGTAAGTGCCGTAGCTGTTGGCGTCTGCTAGGGTCCCTGTTAATTGCTTTGAGAAGTGCCTCTTGGCTGTACCGAAATTCCCCTCTGTAGGCCCTAGCTACGTCGCTGTTATCGGCTGGCCGAAGGTCCTTACGGAAGGGCATGAAGGTGGGTACGTTGACTGACATGTCGGCTGCGATTGAGGTCAGCTTTGTTGATCCAATTCGGTCGGGTCGACTTACGGGTGAGTTGGAGGTGTATGTGTCCCGTCTTTTAGAGTTATCCGTGACTGACCTTTAGCGGAGGCTTGGTGGTTGCTTGTCGCGATCTTCTTCTCGTGTAGGTGCGGGTGGGTTGATTGAAGTGGAGTGTGGAGAGGGAAAAGTGGCCCTAGCAGGGGGTTTTATGTCATTGAGAAGTAGAGTTGTGGCTGATATGGTGGGTAACCTTATTGAATTTGAGATATTGTTGCTTTTCGGTCTGTGTAGGGACCTTTATTGTTGATATTTTTGTGGGTTTAATTGGGACAGCTGGATCTCTTTTTTAAAGGTGCTACCAGACTTAATGTAAATAAAGAGTCGTTTGAGGAGTATTGAGGAAACCGGCAGTAATATCGCAGTGGGGCCTTAGTAAAGAGTCGTCGTCGTTTAAGGAGTATCCAGGAGACCGGCAGTAATATCGCAGTGGGGCCAAGGCGCAGTTGTAGATTGAGAACAGTAGACGCCACAATCGTCTATAATAAATAAAGCATCCCGGGAGGCAGGGTCCACGAGATATTGTACGAATAACACATTCTGCAACTCTGTTTCTATGTCAGCAATCTGATGCGCAATGTTTATGAGAGACGTACCCACCTCAGAACGAAGATATCGTAGATAGAGTGCTTTTTTCCAGGCCGAAGTCTAAGTTGAAGTCCAAGTCAGGATGAAAACGAAGACGAAGGAGATTCGAGGCCCGGAGGGCCAAAATAATATCGCAGTGGGGCCCCGGCTGGACCGAAGTACCGGGCTTGTCGAGGGACTGGGCCGTCATCCCCAGTTAAATAAGGCCGCGAAGAAGGTCAAACAGGCGTCGGCGAACCTCTTCCTGTTCCATCGCCACTCGGAAGACTTCAAAGAAGCCTCGTCGCAGCTCTGGCGTGAACCAACCAAGCGCCCCTACAAACAACCCTGCCCCAACAAGGTTGCTATGGGTCAGGCACCAGTCCCAAAGGTAATCGATAAAAAACTGTGAGGGAATGTCAGTGATGGTCCGGAAGAAGGATTAAGAGAGCAAAGCATATCAGGACTGGAGCTGAAGCTATTCGGGAATAGTGGGAATAAGCAAATCTGGATATACTTACAAACATTGCTTCTCAGGGTTAACGCTGTCCTATAGGTTTGTTGTTTGAAGAAAAGAAGAATCATCATGCGCCAGAGAACCTGTTGATCTATCCTGCTTCAGAGCGACTTCCCTTTTCGAATCATCGGCGGGTTGAGGAAGGACATGGTCATCTTGACAGCCCTGCAGACTACACATATAGGAAGGTTCGGTCATCCCTCTTACGCTGAGATTCGTTTGTCAGGGACTCAGGGGAAGGCTCAGACCCTCAGAAGCAGGTCAAGATAGGTAGGTACGGTGGGCGAGCGAGAGTTCTGATAATTTACTCTTCTATCTTGTCTAATATCACCAAATATAGGTAGATGAGCCTCTTAGTACTGTAGATTTCATATTTGGATTTCATATCTCCATCTCTAGCAACAGAAAACTCGACACGTCCCTAGGTGTCTCATTGGTGAATCTCTGCACATGACTATAACTAAGGCCATGAATCGCAAAGAAACCTGAGAATTTACAAAGTGGCAGATAGTGAGATGTACATAATTCTTATATGATATCTGATTGCTAAGACAAAGTGATCCGTCTCCATTTTCTTTTTCAATGCCTGTCTCGTTTCTGCACCCTGCCTAGCCTTTTTGTGTTCCGAGACTGTTCAATTCGACGCGAGTTGGCGTGCTGTACGGGCGGTTACAAAGGCCGACAGAATATATATCAAGGCACCGCAGCTTAGCTTTGCCTTCCAAAAAGCTTTGGTCAATGGGTCATTGGTCTCGGGTGTGTTAGAGAAGATATCCCAGCTTCTCTGGTCAATTGCAACCAGTATTGCAAATGTGTGCAAGATGACTTGACAACCGAGCCATATCCTGAAACAGCCCTTGTGGGAAATGTAATACCATGCTTGGCCGATGTAGCTGAGATGCGACGGGGCAAGTGGAACTGGGTCTCTGTCGCAGTAGGCGCGGAAGAACGCGGCTGATATGAGACCAGATACGATGGCAACGACTGTGAGAAAGCCCATCTTTGAAGTTGTGGTTGAAAGTGTGACAAAGTGTGAAGTTTCTGAGGTAGAGGGTTCCTGAATAGGGGTCTGCAGATAAGATTATTAGAAACGTGTAAGCGGGCACAGTTGAATTGTTTTACTCACAGATGGGAACCGTGTGTAAATGTAGTTGAGAGGTTGGAGTAAAAGTAAAAGTGAGAATGTAGGTGTAATTGAAGGGTTTGGCCAGCGGATAAAGAGTCTGGGGATGGGATATTTATACTGAAGAAGTAGACTTTCTTTTTAACCTTTCTGTTGTAGGATTGAGGGCATTGTTACCAGGCAGAAGTTAAGTTTTAATCTTTGACTCCGAGATTACCTAGATCGAGTAGTTTTGCCTCCGGAATCTAAAAGAAAGTAAAGTTCAAGTCATTGTGCTTGACACTTCAAAATGTCAGAAATAGGGGTACAGCGACAGGCCAGGTCGAGCCAAAGACATTCGACGGCAGCCACAAATTCGGAGATGGAGCTTAACTGAAGTAATCCGGGGGTATTTACGGAGGATTGGGAGTCAGACTCTATACTTAGTTTTGCTTCAGGAACAGAGCCCAAAGCCAAATCTGATCTTGCGGATTTGGTGGCTCCGGCCTCGGCAGTAACAGAAGCTTAAGTTAAGATTCTCAGCCAACATGCTTCACATCATGAGAAGCTTCGTCCTCCAGAACTTAACTGCGATAGTATAAATACGAGGCGTCCGCTTGTTGACCCTCAATTCTGCAGAATTCCTTAACCTTACTCTTCCATCTCAACCACCAGCACCTCAATCACGAAATCACACGCGAAACAACTACCAAGCTGCCTATCAACAAAACCCTTATATATCTCATCTCAGGATATCTCGAAATGGACTTCGAAAGTTACACAAGGTCTAGACGAGATCTATCAAGGCGATTGAGACTCTACTTCCCCCAATACCTCCCTGGTACCCTCTTACCACCTGCTCCTCGTCACTGGGACCCGATTCGCAAAGCCATGTACTACGCGTTCAGCAAGCGATGCGGGACTATCTTCTTCTCGATTGTGTGCTATGTCTGGGCAGTGAAACTTTTCTTCAGGGTTTCTCACGGGCTTCAGGGCAATCCCATGACGATAGCACCTGTCCTCAGGGTGGCTCACAGGGGAATGTTTGCAATGCCCGCGTATATGTTTGTTGGCTGGCTTATACGCGTTTGGCTTGTCTCGGCTTGGATCACGGCGTATGAGACATGATCTATTTGGGTTGGAACCGATTGTTCGGGTGGTTTGGGGCTTGTTGTCAGTTTTGAGTCATGAAGGTATTATTCTAGGTTCGAATAAACCAAGGAAGCACCAAGCCGGTCTGAATGACACATTAAACACTCAACTTCACCTCACTCTGTTCTTCGCATCTTCGTGGGGCCAAACTCTCTCTCGCCTTACAACCAACGGCAAATAATAGACGCGGGCTACGTATATCTCTGTGGAGGGGGAAATGGCTCTAAATTATAGAAGTCAGTTGTTTACTGATTTATTCGCCCAGGGACTTCCTACAATGTGCCTTACGTGTCTATGAGTGCCTTCTTAAAGATTGCCTTGTTCATGAAGTTCAGGGTTTACTCCACTTCGCCGTGGACCCCAAAAGTGCCGGTCAATTAAGAAAACAATGGGTCTTCGGCACTTGAGTAGGCCCTGTTTTGCTAGTCATGCTGGACTGCTCAGAACGTGGGAGGCAAATGAATGCAAGCAATGTTTACTACTTAACGCATGAATATACATATAACCCTTGAACCAGGCAGATACCGGCAAAGCTGTTCCTTTCCCGGCTCCCATCTGCCATTTTCGCCGTCCTGTTCTCAAATCATGTGCTGCTTAACACTCATAAACCGTTATAAGAGATGAAGAAAAGCCTGTAAGCCCGGATCACTGCTGGGCCTCAACGGGGCCCTGACTTCGCGTCTTGCGTGCTGTCTTTCCAACAGCAGGGACAACTTTCTTGTCCTTCTTGGCGGCCTTGCCATTCTCTTGCTTACCGTTCAGCGGGGCATCGTCGGTGGCCGTAGGCTCATCTGCGACGTCTTGGACACGAGCCTTCTTTTCAGCGGGCTCCTCCGAAGAGGACTTCTCTGCAGCAGAGAGAGCAGAGGAGCCATTGGTTGCGGCTGGGGGCTCCTCAGCCTTGCGCTTTTCACCAGCGGCGACTTCAGCAACATCGTTGACTTCAGGCTTGCTGGCGCCGTTGATGGCTTCGGACTTGTCGCCAGTAGGCTTGTCCGTCATGGAGACATCCTTCAGAGCTGAGGTAGGAGGCGCGGAGGCCGCATCAGCATCTGTAGTCACAAATGCATTCTCATCATCGTTTTTGGGGGTAGATTCCTTGGGCTCCTCCTCGATGTTGAGCACGGGTCGCGGGGTACCGCCAGCTGGAGTCATGTTGTTGATGGGCGTCTGTGGTACAGAGGCGATTTCGACAGGCTTGGGCGGAGCGCTGAGACCACCAGCACTACCAACGGGCTTGCTGACCTCCGGTTTGGCGGTTTCTAAGGAATCTTTCGTGGTGTCCATGGTGGGAGCGCCAGCCTCGGCTTCGGGGGCCGTTGGTTCGGGCGCGCCAACTAGCGAATGTCAGCTCAATGCTCGATGCTGCATCATGGAAGTCTCGACAACTGTCGCAAACATGCCAATTGCACAGCGCTACATCTCACGCGATGGAAGAGAGGCCATTGACTTGGCTGGCGATGGAACATACCTTTGTCTATGGCTGGAGCGATTCCGTCCGACATGATGATGACGTAACAATTGCTGTCGCAACTCGAGTCTCGCTTACAAGCGCAAGTGTAGGTATGCGACACGGCAAAGTCAACAATGGGTGAGATATATATGCAATACGGTTATTGGGATCGCGGGTGTGATAATGGTGCGTCACGATGTTGATGGAGGAAAGAAGTCAAGTTGGGGATGAGACATGGAGAGCATGAGCGAAGGAGTAGAGCACGAGGTCACGACGGTTCCACAAACCATCCCTATCCATAGCTAGAAACAGAAGCAGCAAAGCAGCGAGAGAAGCCAGAAGAGCAACTGGGTATGGGTAGCTCCGAAGCGGAGGGCGCACAAACAATATCGAGGTTCCTCGCCCGCGAGAAATGAGGGACGAGGAACATGGACGGGATGGACAAGGGCTAGGAAGCTGGTAGAGAGGTGCACGCATTGGGTCAAGATCAAAGCGCCCTTTCGTCACTGGTTTGTAAGTTTGTGGACTGTGAGATTAGCCCAAGGAACACCCGTACTTGACGGTGTGAACTTTGACGATCGGGACGGACTTGGTCGTCACCTAGGATTGGATCCCCAGCTGCGAGCTTCCTTGTTCTTGTTCCCCGCAAGAAAGCTTTGGTGGGTCTGCAGTCGAGAGCCTAGAGAGCTTTGTTAGACCAAAGCCACCCGATCTAAAGCCGGAACCAGTGAGACACAGGCTTAGTATCGGTACTTGACAGGAGCGAGGTTGGTGAGGAGGTTCTGTTCTCTGAGCTGACTGCCTACGTGGAGGAGCTGCGATGAAGGCGAGTGAGTGGTGTCGAAGCTGCCGAATAACGGCGACGTAATAGTGTTAAGCAATACCAACGATTCACCAACAGCTGCAAAACAGCATCAAATGACTCTCATGCATCGATCTGACCCCAGCATGACATGACGGCAGAACGACAATCCCAAGAAATGACCTGCATGTTGTGGGTTCTAAAACCGTGTTAGCAGATCGGCATCGGCCAAACCAAAGACTTGTACCTCACCAGCCACACCAAGTCACCACCACCACCACAGCCACACTCCCACTCAGCATTCAGGGGCACTGGTGCAATCTGGCTCCCGCTATCGTGAGCTTAGTCATTTTTTGGAATGCCCCCCATCGCCAGCTTCAAGGTGTCCCCTTAGAGTGGCTTGACGCGAATAACGACAAGACAACCTATCAACGCGAACGCCCGAATTTTCCACGCTCCTTTTTCGCTCGAGATTCTACCTCGATCTACATTTTCTTCAGGTCATCTCTTCGCCTTCCTACCGTATCCTTCGAAGCGACAATCGCCCCCTTTTTACAACCCCGTCCATCATGGCTGCAAAGGCGAACAAGTACTCGGTTATCTTGCCGACGTACAATGAGCGAAAGAACCTGCCCATCATCACCTGGTTGTTAAACCGCACTTTTACTGAGAAGTACGTATACTTTTGTTCTTAATCTCTGCCTTGAATGGAAGGCTAATTGGAGTAGCAACCTCGACTGGGAACTCATCATCGTCGACGATGGATCCCCCGATGGAACCCAAGAAGTTGCCCAGCAGCTCGTAAAGGTCTACTCCCCACACGTCCTCCTGAAGCCCCGAGCCGGCAAGCTTGGTCTCGGCACGGCCTACGTCCACGGTCTCCAGTTCGTCACCGGCAACTTCGTCATCATCATGGACGCCGACTTCTCCCACCACCCCAAGTTCATCCCCCAGATGGTTGCTCTCCAGGACAAGGGCAACTACGATATCGTCACCGGCACCCGCTACGCTGGCGATGGTGGTGTCTTCGGCTGGGATCTCAAGCGCAAGTTTGTCAGCCGCGGCGCCAACCTGTTCGCCGATACCGTTCTGCGCCCTGGCGTGAGCGACCTGACTGGTAGTTTCCGACTGTACAAGCGTGCTGCCCTGGAGAAGGCCATTGCTACCACCGAGAGCAAGGGATACAGTTTCCAGATGGAGCTTATGGTCCGAGCAAAGGCTATGGGCTGCACTGTCGCTGAGGTTCCTATCTCGTTCGTCGACCGTCTGTACGGTGAGAGCAAGTTGGGAGGCGACGAGATCGTTCAATATGCTCAGGGTGTTTTCAACCTGTGGCTCAAGGTCTAAGGATGGGAATGATAGGCAGAAAATGAACACATCATGTGGGATGGGGGCGTTTGGGGAAGTATAGTACCGTTTAATCTAATACCACGTTTCTTCGTCACATTGATGTCTCTCGACAGAAGTTGGGGTTGTTCTTTACTTGCAGTCTATATGGGTATCTACATGTTTCGTCCTCCTGTCACCATGATAGTCTGACCTGTTACATACGAAAACAATGGACTCGCCACAGCCAGTACAGCGCTCGCAGCCTCAGTCGCAGTACCTGCTCTCCTAAGCGGAATATCCGCATGAGCAGCTTCTCCAGCAGCCTGCTTCTGCTTGGCCGGGATGCCCAACGCAATCTTCTCACCATCTGGCCCAGTGATGAACGCACCATCCTCCTTGGCTGCGGTCAACCTTGTGAGAATATGTCCAAACGCAACAGTGTTCGCCCTCACACCGAACGCAGGACCCCATTCCTTTGCGATCGTCTTAGTAAAGCCTGTGATGCCCGCCTTTGCCACAGAATAATTGAGTTGTCCAGCATTTCCATGCACACCTGACGTGGATGAGATATTGACAATGCAGCGAGGAGCGCCATCGCGCACGCGGAAGTAAGGCGCTGCGGCTCGTACAAGAGCGAAAGGAGCGGTGCAATGTAGAGCCATGATGGTATCCCATTGCTTATCCGTCATCTTGTGAATGACGCCGTCCCACGTATAACCTGCATTGTTGACGATGATGTTGATCTTGCCATTGCCAAAGTCCGCAGCGCTTTTTACCAGAGCGTCGATGTACTCCTGCTTAAGGATATCTCCAGGCACAGCTAGGGCCTTGCCACCAGCTTTGTTGATGCTATCAGCAACAGCATTGCATTTCTCTATTAGACTTGGAGTTAGATGGGTATGTATCACAATGATGAATCTTGGTCACTCACCTGCATCAATATCCGCGACAATAACCTTCGCGCCCTCTTTGGCGAATAATCTTGCTGCTTCTGCGCCGATTCCTTGGCCGCTGCCAGTGATGATGGCTACCTGGCCTGTGAGAAGACCTTGTGGGTAGTTGAGATGACCAGCAAGTTGATTGACGCGATCCGACATGTTGATAGTATTGACTGGGTCTGTAAATAGTAAGAAGTGAGAACTCAAACTGTTGGACAAGAACAACAAGTCGTGGATATTTCCCCAGATCCAGGCCTTTAATGATCCTTGAGATCAGCGGGATCTACGTCCGTGCCGAGGTTCAGCGGTCGGAGTGTGGGGTAGCCCCGGACAAGGAGTTTCAACAACTTGATCGACGAATATTATTTACTACATATCTACCAAGCTATAGTGGCTGGGTAAAGGGTTTAATAACTTTCGTTCAGTCTAAGAGTTCAATCAAAGGAGTGCTGGTCTGTCTGTTAGTAAAGTGTTGGAAATCAGATCTGCGATGTTCTTCAAACAGTACAGTACAGAGTTAACCCACTTTGTCTCGAAGGAAAGCTCCAATATCCCTGATAAGGGCCATCTTGAGCGGTTTGAGTGAGTGCTTTTGGTTGTAGATTCCATCATGGATGTACTGCCGTTCGGAAAGCACGATGCTGAATGCCGTCACCTTCTTCGTCTCCTCAAATAATCTCTCCCATGCACAGCTTGGCCTTCACTTACAAGCCTCACCTTTCATCCCAATAAAGAAATAATCTCAGAATGTCTAGCAACTCGACGCATCCATTCCGCCTCCAGGATCTTCCTGTGGATATCATCTTTATCATCATAAATTATCTGGAGCTGTGCGACTTGTTCCTTCTCTCGCAGACTTCCGGAGCTATGCGATATTTCGCAAAAAGAGACTGGAAAGCCGAGATTAACAATAAAGGCTTGAAACATAAACTCGATTTCCTTTCTAGCCTTGCCTACGCCTTGCCAGATCGCTGGGTGTGTGGATACAGCGTTTGTCTTTGCGAAGTCGATCCCCACGATGTCCCGGCCGCAAACCCGTTCCCATGGGACGACGACATGGCGCCGGATTGGCGTGGCTCATACAAGCTCCAGCCTCACCATGTGCAGTTGGCCTTGAATTACGATCGTCTTGGCGGAGTGTATGAAACCACACTCAAGAAAATGATTCTTTCTACTAACAAGACAACCTACGAAGATACGCCGGGAGGGTCATACATCAAATACACGGCAGCGCCCGCAATTATCGGTGACTGCTTTCACCTTCTTGAAACTTGGGAAATGAACGCGAAAGAGAGTTTAGCCTCCAACCATAAATGGAATACACCTATCCTGTTTGACGTGTGTCCACACACATACATCCTTGGTCGCGCAATGAAAGATCCGTGCTACAATATGGGGCTGTACGACTGGTTTTTGTATGGAGAATACGTGGATGGGATATCGGCGAGGCCACCGCCAAAGTCGCCACCAGGACGCAGACAAATAGGTGCATGTGCGTTCTGTTGCACGACCTACAATTTCTTGATCATTGACGCGGAACATATTGAGGTGAAAGCGTTGCACGATTACGGTTCGTTCAGTCCACCTGATAACAATCTTTGGAGAAGACGATATCCAAATCAGTTCAGTCCCGATGATTGGGAACCCTTCATTGGATTCCGTATCAGGATATATTCATTCCACGGGTTGATCGATTTCCAACTAGAAAACCTCGATGATTCAACTGATGACGGACGTCTCGACAAATACCATATCGAGCGGTTTGCCAAACCCGAATTTAGGCGCCCTACTTATCTCTCTGTTGCTCGGAGATCAGTTGATCCTGAGTAGATCACCGTATAATCGAAGCCTCTCTATCAAACCAACCGAACTACCCTCCAGAAACAAGTCGACGATCAACTTGATATGGCCAAATATCCATGTATGACAAAAGAGGGCTCTAAGAAAGAAAGTTCCATGTTGCGGACTAATGCCGATTAATTACAACTACAGTTTAAAATCATTATTTGTCTTTTCCCATCCTGCAGACGACGCTTCTAAGCCGGCCACTCTCTCTGTCAGCCTGATCTTCATGTTCTTATGTCTCTCGGTACACAATTCGTACATAGTCGACAAGTTGAACAACAGCGTATGCGATGACCGTCCCGATTCGACGAGTTCTTCCAAGATTGCTCGTCCCTGAGAGGGATTAGCGTATTGTTAGTTAGTTAGTCACTTAATGGAACATACCTCTTGTATTCTTCCAAGATATAACAAGCACACTGCCATGTTGACGCCGACCATCTCATCGTCCATGCTCTCCTTTAACTCCTTCCATACCTCAAGCGCGCTCTTATACTCAGCATCCGCCATTTCAGACAGCGCAATGATGAGCTTTTCTGCATTCTCATCATTAGCGACAGCTTGGCGTGCACAAAGTCTGGCGCTGTCTGAATCGCCAAGATGCAGCCACATCAGTGCCTTTGTAAGTGCCATCTTTCCGTCGCCCACGTCCCGAAGAGTGTTCAAATGATGCGCGGCGCCCGTCAGATCTTCGAGCTCAATGAGAGCCCCTGCAACTTGAATACCAAGGTCGTGGAGGCGCGCTTTCCAAAGTTCTCTTGCCGAATTGTCGTGCTGAGTGGATGCTTTGTTGATGTGGTCACGAGCCTCGCGGGCAAGGTCGTGGTAGCTCATGACAGCTCGTCGATAATCGCCAAAACCGAGAGATTGAAGGCGTACATTAAGAACTCGGAGTTCCCAAGGTGCTAGATGCTCTCCGGTTGTATCATCTACATACTTTCTGATATCGTTCAGATCTTCCAAGGCTTTTACCTCCTGGGCAGCCAGGGGAGTTGCATCAATCAGAGTCAGACATGCCAGCCGAGTGTAAAGAAGGTCAAATATCCTCTTGTAGTCCGTAGGATCGATACTCCCGTTGGCTCCAGAGCCTGTGAGCTCCTGAACTGCAGCAATAGCAGCTGCTCTGAAGTGACCATTGGCAAGGAGCTCTTCGATGGGGGCTTCAGGGTTAGGCTGCTTCTGTGGGTTACGGAAAGCGACTGGGATATTGAGGGGAGTTAGAGGGTGGTAAATCTCTGGTCGGAGCAGAAATGAAAAGTTCTTTGGCTTCGCTTCACCAAGTTGTGAGACTGGTGTCGCTGTGGATGAGCGTGGATGAGGTGATGAGATCCTGTTTCGATGTGTGGCTACACGTTGTTGAGGGGTAACTTGCTGTGGTGAGAGTAGTGGGTCACTGCAATCGGAGTCAACGTCCGCGAAGCTTCATGATTTGAATGAGTGCTCACTCATCAAGATCGAGAGGTCCTTTAGTAGAGGATCTGGGCCGGGCTGAAGTAAAGTTAGCGGTGATAACGCTCCAATGTTAACGATGCTTGTCATTGAGCGTGCTGCAACAATCAACAGCAAGAAATCTTCAGAGACATACTCTTGGTAATAGACTTATTTCTGGAGTGTCCTTGACTCCCTGTTCTTTGCGGTTCACTCATGGCCTCTTATTTGATGATTTGTCGCTGTTCCTTGATGAAGTGAAGCCGTGAGCTTGCTGCTTCATGGGATGTGCGGATAATCATCGGGTAGCAGCAGCGGACAACGTCAGCTCTCGACTTCGCCCATCATCACGGGTTTTGGGAACCTCCTGCAAACAACTCACACTACTGAGAAAGACCTCCATTGTTTACTTCTGTATTATTAGGAGCAATCTACATAATTTATCTAAGCGCAATCATGTTCAAATCCTCTCAATATCGAGCAAATGTCTTCGAAAAGTTGGCCTCATCGGCTACCAATCTAGCAATCCATCGTCAAGCAATCAGTGGTATTTGCGATGCTTGCATCCCTTGACACGCACAGTAAACCCAACCTTTGTTCGACTAAAGCAATAAAGACAAAGACCCTTTGGCTTGTTACCGCGCAGAAGTCTCTGAACACGCTGTTCCTCAATTGCCACTACCCGCAGTTAGCTTTCCCAATGGCAAATGGTTTGTAAGACTAGGCGTAACTTACAGCAAAGTCTCAGGCCAAGCACTTTGTCCGGCATGCCTACAATGTAGCCCAAGTGGGACTCCTGGTCTTGTTTGACAAGTTTCTTGCTAAAGTTAAAGAAAGCATCCGAGTTCTTGAACCAGAATGCTGCAGTTGTGAGCTGCCAGGTCTCTTCTGGATCGTCTGTCCAGGCATGCTTTGTAAACCAATACGAAGTTGCAAAGGTGAAGCGTGAAGCCATATCATACTTGTCAGCAACAATGGCGACCTTTTGAATCTCGACCGTCTCGTAGTTCTTTGCCGAAGGATCGGCTCCGTACAGCGCCCGAATGGTGTTGTAAAAGGCTTGGGCATCGTCATCTGGCAGCTCGAGGACCATTTCGGAATCTTCGTTCTGCATGCTTCTCAGGCGATTTCCTTCCTCGAAGCTGGGTCCGAACATTACAGAAAATATAGGGGAAATCTCGCAAAGAAAGCTCGACGTTATCATGAAGTATCTTCTGCTGGGGCCGACTGCCAGAAGCAAATCTCCCTTGGGGATCAATTCCTCGACGATGGGTATATCTGAGCTTTGATGAAGAGAATGGTCTTGGCTCAGCTCAGTAGACTGCTCTAACCCCGAGTTAGTACTTGACCAAGCATAGCGTGCGGATTGGAAGAAAGGGGTGTCTTCGTTACCCAGAAAGGGGAGAGGGGTTTCGACAGGACACATCTTGTGTGGAGAGAGAGTAGAGTGCAAGTGATGGGTTTGAAGCTGTCCAAAAGCTTAGAGCATTGCCCATGGTAAATATACTTGACGGTGTGGCTCGGGAGGGGGTGATTCAGGCCGAGTTCATCTCAATGGCTCATATTCAGGTCCTGGGCCGTCATATCTTCACTTACAGTTCCGCTCCCGGCAAGAAGAACCCAGCTATCGTGGTGAATGGTGAATTCCTAAACACGGGTTCAGGTAGCTCCAGGCAGTGAACTGTGAAACCTCCAACGATCAGGCCATACCCATGGGCTTACTGAAAACATCAACATCTGTACAAATGTCGGTTCTGGGCAAACTCCCCATCGGTAACCAGTACTTGATTTGGCGATAGCTATGCTACTCCATGTAGCTGTTATCTTGAACTTGTTTGGCCTCATGGCAAGGGCATTATGACTTTGAGTACCTAGCCTCAAGGCCAGAGAAGAGTACAGAGTCGGACGTAGACACCTGAACAGGAGTGACTTCTGGATTCATATGTCTTGTTACTGGTAAGGAGTGTCACTATATTTCACCCAACGCCAGCTGCTGGCAGTGCCAGAACACTTGCACCGTTGCTCCGCCTGCGCACATCCTCCCAAACTACTCGTGCCCAGCTTTTCAAAACAAGGATAAACAACTGCACTTATCTCCCCTCCTTCATCTTTCAATCTTCTCAACACTATTTCTGAATCCTTGAGTGAGCTGAAGATGAGCGTTCCTTCGCCCGCACCCACTGATCAGAGCACCACAGGTGTGACTGTCTCTCGTATGTCAACCAAAAAGTTCTTACGACTCCATACTAACCATTTCTCAGCAGAGACAATCTTCCAGGTTGGCGAGGATGGAGACATCATGCTTGTGGTCGGCCCAAATAAGGTCAAGATCCAAGTGTTTTCGAGCTTCCTCAAGTACATTTCGCCCGTCTTTCGAGCGATGCTTGACTCCCCGATGAGCGAAGGGGAGGCCTTTCGTAACAGAGTTAACAATTCTCCTATCGAAATTATACTACCCGAAGACAATGCACGAGCGATGTCCCAGATGCTGCGAGGTCTTTATGGTGTTGGCCCTTCCTGCCCGCACACCAAGAGCGACGTGAGAAGGGTCGTCATCCTGGCCGACAAATACGACATGATGAAGCAGCTCAAGTATTTTGGGGTCTACTGGATGAGAGCTCTAGGCAGCGTCTCTGGTCCAACTTCCCTTCAGTGTCAATGGGATATTCTCATCACGGCATACATGCTTAAAGAAGATAACTTCTTCTTCTTCGCGAGTAAGGCAATTACCAAAACCAAAGGGAGCCTCTTAAAGTACGCGATGAGCACCCACGACAGGGAGCTTGGTCTGAGACTTGGCAGTAAGTTCATGCCACATATCTATCACAAGAGCCACATACTGATATTGAATAAGTGGCCATAGAAGAAGTACGTGGAGTTGTCAAGAGTTTCAAAGGGCTGGAGATGGGGGTTTGCTTGGACTGCTTCATCCAATCAACAGACTCTTTTACCAAGAAGCTCGACAAGTGCAAGTCCACCGACAAACACTTCAATCCAGCATTGCTTTGAAGTTTTTGGGGTATGTCTTACCTGTTTTCTGGTATGCCCCGACTATAAGTTCCCGGGTTTGGAGAGAGGCTAAGCGGAAAAGAACATAAGACACATGGAAGGCTTTGGGGTCACACTGATTGGAGGCAATGAGTTGAGGTAGAGGGTGTGTAGTTTCTAAGTAGGTATGCAATACATCACCTAGACACTTGCTCCCACGAAACAAATCCTTTTATCACCTACCAGGTCAATACTAGACCAAACGGTTTGTTTCGGGATTGATTGTTGAAAAGGCAACGTCCCCCATGACCAATTCATTGCCATTCTTAACATGCTTGTGATCACGCTCCTACTCTGTCATGATCCCATGTGGCCATTCCCGTAATGGCAATAGGTTGGTAAGAGGAACTACTAGCAAAGCTTTGCTTAGATATGTATACAAACCCGTGTTGACAAATATGATGATCGTGAATAGGTGCAGACCAGATGTGCCGTCTCCAAGTCTCAACACATAGGTGATCTGAGTGCTGGCCTACAAACACGGCACTCTCAGCCGGTAGGATCTATTGATGAGATACGAACATCCCTCGTATCTCTTGGTTTAATGTCAGATTCCTTTCTTCTCCCTTCTCCATCCTCTATGTATAAAATGCTGGACCACTCTTATTTTCTCGATCACATTAGTAGTACTCTAATGAAAATTAGAATAGAAGAAAGGGCTACCTTGACTCTTTCAATATCCTTCCTTATCCCAGGGCTTTAGTACTGATATTTAGTGGCAACTAAGAATAACAACGATTCTTTCATCTCATACAGAGACATCGTTCGTATATTCAGACTTAAAAAACGGCGAATGCGACCCGACCTATATTTGCTTTCTCCTTACATATATACCCAGCGGTTAATATTTTACGATAAGTACTTAAAAGTTGTTAGTATAAGCTGGCACTGGGCAGACACTGCAGGCTATAATTCACTGGTAGCCTTCTTGAATCAAGTCTAGCATTCCCTCTTGTTTATTTTTCTTTCTCCAACACTGCCTTGCTTCTTATATCAACAAAGAGAGAATACAAAATTTGAAATCATGGAAGAACACACTTGTGGTTCAAGTAAGTTCTAGGCTCGCTACGGTGATTTTCAATGCTGACAGTCCTTTGGCCGCTCAGACTCTGCCAACATGATCACAAACGGGAACGTCATCCTCATAATCAGTCGTGGGGAACTACGCATTCGGGTCACATCACACTTTCTTTGCGAGATTTCTGACGTTTTCAACGCGATGCTCAACGGCAACTTCGCTGAGGGTATCAGGTTGCGTAACCAGAGCGAGTCCGAGCCCACAAGCATCCCTCTTCCCGAAGACAGCGGTAAAGCTATGGCCCACGCGCTCAAAACACTTTATGGTGCAGACCCAAGCATGCTACAGCTAAGCCCAAGTGAGATCAAGGCAGTGGCTTTGATTGCCGACAAGTACAATATGACGGCACGTTTCGCCATGGCTGGCACTGCCTGGATGGCTCGCATCCCAGCCATGGCTGAAGATCGGTGGAAGATGACTGTCGCCGCATACTGGCTTGGATTACAAGAACCCTTTAGAGTTATGAGTCAAGCATATCTAGAGAAGATCAATCACGCCGATATCTTCCGTTTGGCAAATGAGACTGCCGACGTAGCTCTGGGTTTGAAGCTCGGCAGTAAGTCATCTTTAATGCACTGGTCTACTCGAACAAATCACTGACATGTACAACAGTGGCCCTTCTTCTGCTACACAACGCCCTGAGAGAAAGTACAATTCATCGCGAGGGAGGCCTATGTCTCCGCTGCTTTCGCATATCGAAGAATGATCCACTGGGTATGCAGCCGGGCTGCCCCTTTCCCACCAGTCACCGAATTGGGGGGTAATTCGATTTGGAAGCCAGATATTAGTGGCTAGACATTAGAGCCTGACTGTCGAATCCGATGGAATATTTCTCGTAATCGAGGATGGGATATTATGGAATGTCAAATCAGCTTCCTTTCTTTATTTTACTAAGCTCTATAGCCCCATTGTACCTAGAGTAAACATGTCTACCACAGGTGCCGGCCTTCATACCGACACTCAGGCTGTCTCTGTACATAACAAGTCTGTGCTGTACGGAAACAATCAAGGCAAAGTCCTATCTCATCTCCGCGATAAGCGTTCGCTAGGCGGACTTGTTCAATTGCCACTATCGTTGTTTTGTTAGTACTGGGACATAAATAGACATGTCTCAAAGAAGACTTACAAGCCAACCTCAGTCCAAGGTTCTGGTCTTCGAGCTCCAGTGCATGCTCCAAAAGTGAGATGTTTGTTCGAAGTAGATACTGGCTCATCGTGTAGAACGGCTTTGCCAGGCCGAACCAGTACGAAGCTATAAGGAGATCCCAACCCGCTTGGCGATCGGACAGGTCCATGGTCGAGGGTGCGGCAGCTAACCACAGTGTGGCCATTGGGAGAAATCTTGTCGTCATGTCATATTTATCAGCGAATATGCTGATGTCTCTTATAGTTCTTGCTGGAATTCTGAATGATTCGGGATTCGCCCCGTACAAAGCTTGGAGGCCGAAGTACACCGCTGCAGGATCGTCGACTGGTAATTTGATCGGGACAGGGTTAAGGCCAGTGTTGTCGCGAAGAGCCTGTCCTTCTTCCATGTTGGACGAGAACATCGCTCGGAAGAATGGGGATATGTGTCCCAAGAACTCAGATCCAGCCTGGATCTCCATCTCGTTTTGTCCAACGATGAGCATTATGTTTCCACCAGGGATCACGACCGAGGGAGTGGTGTCATCTACAATAAACTGTAAGTCACTGTGCTTTGACGTTGTGCGTGTATTGACGTACCTTGGTCTTTCTCTTGTCCCGAAGTGGCTCGAGGATTCTCTTGTGACATCTTCTTTTACGTGTCTGGCGAAGGCTCAACTAAAGAATAAGTAGTTCTAGGATGAGGTTATGTGGTTTGCTCGAGTCTGCGCTTTGTCAAAGAATATAAAGTCTTGCGTTGATGCTTCGTGAAGAATCAACATGAGACCCTGATTTGTGCGTATGTATGTTTGCTCAAGGAGGAGAAAGAAAATAAAACTATAGGAGAGGAGAAAAGTGAGTGAAGGTGCTGGTGACGGAGGTCGCACTGGGAAGACTGCCATCTGCTGCCAGCTGGCAGGTCCTTCTTATCAACATGATACTATCTATATATAGGTAACCCATTGTCCCGGGAACTCATTCGATCAATACATGGGCTTTACTTGAACTCTTATATGTTTCAGGCAGTGTGTTGAGGTCTTGTTACTTTAAGGCAAGCACATTATAACATTCTGATTGTCTGTTGCTGTAAATTGAACAATCACCCATTTCAAATTGTTTAGTTCTCTCTGAAGTGTCTAGAATACCGACTTTGTTCCAACTTGATGTGCATAAGCGCACTTCATCGTAAAGTGGGTGCCCCCTGTATTATGTAGATGTTGGCTCAACGGCTGTGTTTGTGATACTCATAATATCAACGGAACCATCCAATTCCGCAACAAGTTTACGGAAAATCCTGAGTATGGACTTCTGTATATTCTCAATTATGAGTCAAGAATGGTAGACTTCATCTTTAGTGAAGGTTTGACCACTTGCTGAGTCGGAGTCTTGGGTCATCACAGCGTCACTAACAAGTTTGGCTTGTGTTACGTTGCAAGCGCGGGACAATGCAAACTTCAAATACGCGATGAGCTGAACTCATAAAGACATTATTTTCTATTTCCTGGCGTCAAGGTGTTAGCTGTCTCTTTGATAAGCTTGTTCTGGCAAGTGTTCGTGCCTTGACAATAGGAATCACTCAATGTCACTATCAAACACATCTCGTTATAACGCCAGCTCTCAAATCTCTCCAAATCTCTCTAAATCTCTCCAAATCTCTCTAAATCTCTTCAAATCTCTCTAAATCTCAACACTGCTAGTCACTGTATGCCACCTGCCTGCCACTGGCAATTTACACTTCGGTCTCGTAATAGATAGGCACCGCCAATTTGCGAGTTTCTAGCTCCTTCGACCTGCCCCTTTACTTTATTCTCCTACCTCTACATCTTGCAACCTTCAAAGTCATCATACAACTTCGGCACCTTCCACCATGGCTGAACCAAACCCAGCCAAACGCAAAAGGGACGAAGAGGAAGAGGAAGAGATACAGTCATCATACTTCCACAATTTCGAGAAGTTCGCACGCTTCGCAGATGTCACTTTCATCGCACAGAATGAATCACAGGATGAAATGCGAGTGTGTGTCAACTCGGTCATTATGAAAAACGCTTCACCTGTCTTCGAAGCCATGCTCGGTCCACACTTCAAGGAAGGTCATGCTCTCGCCCAAGCAAGAAGCGGACCAGTTGAAATCGCACTGCCTGAAGACGACGCCGTCGCATTCGGCCACATCTGCCAGGTTCTTCATTGCCAGGCCGATACGAACCTTTTGGAGCCGTGCCCCGAGTTGCTTCTCAGCATTTGGATTGTCGTTCAAAAGTACGACTTGAAAAACGCCGTAAAACTTTCCATGGGACATTGGGTCTGGCGACAACTTGAGTGGCGTTCGGGGCTTGAAGACCTATGGTTTTTAGCACTATTGTGCTCTCAGATCGGAGAAACAAACGCTTTTCGATCTGTTACCCAACAACTCATGCTCTCCGGCAATTTATCATTCGTGAAATTAGCAACAAAACTAGAAGCATGGACCAAAGGAATCATTCCTGGTCGAGTCATTTACAAGCTTGCAGGTTGGTTTGTTCTTGTTGAAACCTAGAAGTACAGGACTGAGTAATTAATCTTCATTCATAGGAAACCTACAAGCAACACGGAACGCAGTGTTGCACAGGTTTACAAGGTCTCTATACAGCGAGCTCCCTGCATATTTTAGAAACTCGGATTGTTCAAGGGCCAAAAAGACAAAGATGGCATATTTCAAACACATAGAGGACCACAATGACAACTTATCCATCTTGTCCCTTCTGGATGAAAACTCATCTCTACAGGAAATCGTACCTATTTGGTCGTCGATAGACGCATGGGCGGCTGACAATGACTGCTGCTGGTGCGGATATTGCTTCGTCAGCATTTCTGAACTCCGAAAGAGGATCAAGGAGATAGAGGCAGAGAAGGTTGAAGGGCTTTGCCTCAACTGCTTCAATGCTGTAGGAGAATGCACCGAGCATGAATCTCACTAGTGCAGATGGCCCGCTCTGAGTGGACGGCTATAAGGATAGTCTTTTTCGGGACATCACAAATTGAGGATATCTTAATAACACTAGCCTCTCGAAGTCAAAGCTTGTAATAAGTAGTAGGATCTTAGGTGTGATTTATACTAATTCCTAATAGAATTCTAAAGATATAATGAATTTATTATAATTTAGAAAAGGTCTATAAAAGAAGAAGTAATATTTAAGTAGATTTTATAAATTATATTATACTTAATAGACTTTATATATAATTTTTATATAAGATGTAAAGAATAATATAAGTTTAAAAAAAACTTGTAATAATTTATATAAAATCTAGAACAGAGGAAACTATTTAGACATTTACAGGCCTACTATAGTAAAGCTCTTAAAAAGCTTTTCTATTAAAGAAGGGCTACAACCAGTAACAGTAATATAACAAGATTTATAAATAATAAACCTGAAATAGTAATGCAGTACTTTAGAAACCTAGATAATGAATGTCTGAATCAATATTATACAATGTGACAAGAAACGAATTTAGTTCTCAAGGTAGAGAAAATCTTAGTACGTTAAACAACGTCACGTCACTGCACGTACACTTCATCATACAACTCACTATCTGCTGAAAACGCAGTCGCAGAATACCTTAGGATAAAGTAACGATATTTTTGAAAAGATTGCCACTAATGGCAATGTTATTTTCGTGTTTGACGGCGGCTTCAAAAAGCTCCAGGTGCACTTCTTTATCATGCAACATGCATCAAGGACGTTACGTTCTCTGCTATGCTTGGGGAAAAAAACTTTGAAGAAGGCCGCCCTAGCAAGCAACCTATTGAGATCCCTTTGTCTGAAGCTGATTTCGAAGCAATGAAGCTTGTCTGTAACGCCATTCACACTCCTGTTCAAACTAAGCTACATACCCTGAACGTGGGCAAATTGGCCCAGATTTATGAGGCTACCAACGAGTACGATCTCGTCGATGCTGTCTCCCTCTCGTTCGAATGAGGAAAATGCAGGGACGTGTAAAGGGTGTTCAACAGCATTGTCCGTGTTAGCACTGGTCACATCAATTATCAACGCGCAGCACACAATCACGATGCTCTGAAGCCATGGCTTCACTCGCATCGGTATATACTAATTGACTTTATGAGATACCAATCAAAGGCCTGGTTCCTATCCAAAATATAATGGGCTCTCTTACAAGGCTGCGTTCTGTCGGTGAGACTACATGATTTTAAGGTACTAAGTTAACTTTTACTCCCAGGTTCGTGGTGGAGCTTTAGTGCAACGGGCTTCTGTAGCGATGATAAAGAGCTTCTCCACTGAAATTTGTACAAGCGCACTTCACCTCAGCACTCCAATCTTCTTAATCACATATTCACTATGAGGACTCGAACGTCCAATCGCACAAAACGATACACAGTCGAAAAGTACGACTTCGAAGGTAGTTCCGACGAAGAAAATCTCAGACGCGCCGCCAAAAAGGCAGAGCGTGATGAAAACTTTGATGAGACTGCTGCTGCAGAGGAAAGCGCCGACGAGGAAGAGCTCGCTCTCGACCCAGAGCAGGAGAATGAGGAGAACGAAGATCCAGAGTCCGAAGGCCCCGTGAGCGAACCAGATGGCATCCCTGACAGATTTGCGCGCCAGCGTGTAAGACCCATCAGGCCTTTCAACGTGCGCGCCGCAGGCCTGACGGGCTATCTCGACCTGGAGCCTGTAGCAGATGGACGCATAGTGAGGTCGTACTGGGGACCGTATGATCGTGGTTTCAAAGGCAAACAACTCGTCGAGGCGTGGTATGGGCGACATGAGGATGGCGTCAAGCTCGTCAAGGGTATGCTGGATCGCTGGATGGACTGGACAGTTTTGCCTCCCAAAACTCAGGGCGATGAGGAGCAGAAGGACAGAGCTGTTTGGTCGCCTAATTTCTTCGAAAGAGAGGCTTACAGCGCCGAGCATTGGTACGAACGCGTCAGGGAAAGCCTGCCCGAAGCCAACGCGCGGATACGACTTTCGGTAGAGGAAGCTCAGCTGTACCGTTTTCAGACAGAACCAATGCCTGTATTGTTGGGGCCGGTCACGGCACCGCAAGAGATCAAGTTCGAGGCTGGTGATGCATACTCAATTTCTCAGAACGGACTTCCCACAGCACATGGCACCACTCCCGTTGGATGGATGTTGGACGCTGGTGGGATTGTCACTGGGATGGACTGGGCACCTCTACACAGTGCCAACGCACCACAGCTTCTCGCCCTATGTGTGATCCCTCATTCTGATCAAGAGCTCTATGACTACGAACAGGAGTCTCAGAGGCCTGACTTTCAGAAGTACGGCGTTGTTCAGTTGTGGGAGTTTGTTGGTGAAAGGCAAGAAGATGGCTTCGCGCGACCTTCATCGCAATTACCAACGTTGCGTAAGACGATATGTCTCGAACATGGGCGAGCCAGGAGAGTAAAATGGAGTCCGGCGTGTGGTTTCCTGGCAATACTCTGCGATGATGGAGATGTCTACGTGATCGAGGCTGGCGATGACGGAGAAGGGGGTTATGGTACGTCAATTTAGAAGAAACCATGACACTTCACTAACACTCTTTAGAAAAGGTCGTGGAGCCCATAGCTGTGTTTGGCTTCCCAGATGAAGACGTCAAGGCAACAAGTTTCACGTGGATCAACTTCAACCGGTTAGTGGTAGGCTATACTGACGGTTCTATTGCTATCTGGTCCCTTCGTCCTCATCGCCTCCTTTCCAGGCATCCCGTCCACCATAATATTGTGGTCGATCTTGTCTCAGGATATCCGGCTATGCCTTATCTCATCGCTTCTACTCCCGTTGGCGGAACTGTCAAGCTACTGGACCTTCGTGCTCCAAGCTTTGAGTCCACTGAAGTCCAGAATCTTATCGTCGGGACGCAGCCAAATTTACTCGGGTACAGCGATCATTTGTTAGGCTTCTACTCCATGTACCCATCTGCGGGCGTGCTCAACACCCATGTCGGCTTCATGCACCATTCGCAATTCCCCGTTGCTCGTCGTGTTTTCACAGGGGAAAGCTTTCCCTCCTGTCTCGCTGTTGGACGAACACATCCATACCTACTTATCGGCTCTCTGGACGGCTCACTCTGGGCCATCAATCCTCAGGTCGAACTCTTTACCACTAGGCGTGAACCTACAGATCGCATTCGCATCTTTCATCACGAGCATCGACCTGCAAAGCTCTTCCCAGATGGCTCCCCTGCAGCGGCGCGAGGAGTTTCAAGAGTGGCAACGGGTTTCATTTTGGAGCGCAGTCTCACCAAGCATTCGACCCACAAACCTCCTGTCAAGAAAGGGAAGAAGCCGAAGAAGAAGGAGACCGATACAGCTGTCGGCGATGACGAGGAAGAAGATGGCGGAGCGATTATGGATCCTACTCGAGCCATCATCTATGAGCCTCTGACGAGAATCACAGTGGCTGAGTGGAACCCTAACGAAGAATACGGGTGTTGGGCCGCAGTAGCCATGGGATCAGGTTTGGTGAGGATCATGGATCTCGGCTTGGCAGAACCAGAAGGGTAGTCTACTTAGTCCATGAGACATTGAGAACCCATGATGGTGTGGTGGTAGTCGAAAGCCTTGGCCATGCCGTAAAAGTGAGTAACGGCTGCAAGGATGACGAAGACGTGAAAGATCTGATGCGAGTTTCCCCAGATGTCAAAGGAACCAGGTGCGCTTCTCTCGGGCCAACGAGCCTGTTCAGTCAGTTAGTGATTGCAAGCAAAAGACAGAGAACGGACGTACCGCATAGAGGACAGCGCCGAAGATGTACATGGCGCCGTGGAGGACAACCCAGCTGAGACTCATCCGTTCTTCAAGACCTTGAAGACCGTAGATGCAGGATCCGTGGATAACAGGAACGACACCAGAGACTCCGAGACCAATGAACATTGCTGTACGGTATGGACGCCACGTGGGAGTACGGAAGCGCTCGATCCATGAAACGAGTCCACAGCCAGTGCCCAGAATACAGATCTAGTCCAGTTAGCGAGGTTATCTAGTATCAGTCCACGATAATCACTTACCACCCAGAGATATGCCGTCATCAGGTTAGGCAGGCAGAAGAAACCGTAGTACAGAGCGGGAACATAGCTTCCAACAATCAAAGCCACGATGCCTGTGTAATCCAGTTTGTTCCCCCATTTCGCGACAGTAGCGCTGTGATTGAGCAAGGTATGAAACGTGGCACTCATACCCAGACACACCACGGCGCCTCCAAAGAAGCATGCAAAGACGAGGACATCAGTGCTACTGGCACTCGCGTATCGAGGTCGAACAACTCGGTCAACGTAGGCTGCACTAGCGAGGAAGACTATGGCGCCGAGGAGGTGAGACCAGATGTTGACAGACTCATTGTGCATGTAGAAGAGCGAGCGGAAAGAATGGGCGTAGGAGTTTTGGGATTGACGATAGCCAGAGAGGATAAAGGTATTGTCGCGACGCCAGTCGGGGAGGTCGTCCCACAGGAGGAGCAGAGAGTTCTCGACCTTTGATTCAATCTTTTTAGCGGCATCAATGAGGTTGTCTGTGGCTGAAGGCCGGCGATTGCGAGCGCCATTGAGTTTAGTGTCGGCCATCTTTGAATGAGGCTATCCAGAGCTTCTTTGAACGAGTGCAGCTGGACCAAGAATGCTTGCAAATATATCACCAGAAGTTAGATCTGTTAGTCTGTCTCTATAATTGAGTCTGATAGACCGCTTATATACAAAACGAGTTCCACTTGCCCGGTAGTAATGGAGTCATTAATTGTTGTGTTGTTGGCAAGGGTGGTTTTGTTGGGACAAGCACATGAAAAGACACGCAGCATGCTCCGAGGCTAAAAGTCGATCGTGGATGAAAGAAGGCCTCTAGAAACGCCGTAGAAGGCCCACTACAGGTGGTAAAGGGTCCTATTTTTGGTGGAAGTTATGATGGGCTTCAGTGGAATGGAATTGTTCATGAGTTCTGTGGAATTTAACAAGCGAGCTCGACTAATACAGTGGAGGGATGCGGAGGGATCGCCATCGTATCATTAAAGTTCTAGCATTTTTAAGGGTGCAATCAAATATTGAGTCACAAAACATAGCAGAGACTGCTGGTCAGCATTTGGGTCAGCATTAGAATTCATTTCTCGTTAGCCATCGCGCGATATATCGTATCGTCTGTAGGCGCCAATGTCTAAAACGCCAAAAACACGCAGGCTAACTGGTGCGCTCGTGTCATCCAGAGCCTTTACGACCCTCACAGGCCTTGCTTTCTCGCCTCTAGAAAACAGCGAGATGCTTATTTCTTTCCGCTCTTCTTGATGCCCTGGCCACCGGTGTTGAGGGGACCCTTGCCGCCAGCCTTGGCTGCAAGCTCCTTGCGCGCCTTCTCGTCTGTAAAAAAGAGTGTCTGTTAGCAAGCTATTTTCTGTGTGTTCGTGCTATTCGGAGTATGCGTACCGGCGCGCTTCTTCTCGAGGTAAGCCAGATCATCCTCGTCGAGGTCCTTCTGGGCCTTCTTGGCCTGCTTCAAAGGCTTGACCTTGCCGCCTGTGATTTGGAGGGGTTAGTTTTCTGCTTCTGTAGAGATGTGGCATGTCTGTAGGGAGTCAACGAACCTTCTCTGTTAGCGCCACCCATTTTGATGTGTGTAAAGTGAAAGAGAGTATTGAGATGTGTTTAAAAAGGAGGCTGAGTTGCGGTTGTAGAAACAAAGATTGTCGCGAGAGAGAAAAGTTGCCTCCCGCTTATTCACTTTTGTCCAGGCCTTTCGCGCCCGCCGCCAGCGGTGAGCCCACTTTAGACTGCGGGGATAGGCTCGATAAGATGGATAAGGGTCTTTCGGGGCTTATCTAATCCGGGAACTGGTCGGCTTTTCCACTTTCGCTGTAGCCTCCAACCTTCAGTTTCACTGTTACGTCAAAAGTCTGGAGATCCAGATCATAACATTTGACATTGCGGCATCCGACCTGTTTAGGCTCACAACATCTACATCCGCTTCACGATCTTCAATCCACTTCTTGTTTCCATCTGGACTACGTGCCAGTTTTCCCTTCTTCGCTTCATTGCTTATCCCTATCGACACTGAGCCTTTGCGAGTCACTGATCCGGTTGGGCTCTTTTCCCATTGCACTTTGCATCCCCTAGTTCCCAGCGCTGACACTGTTTCTTCTTTTCTCTTATCAAAGAGCTGAAGGATTCAAAGAGTACCGTCGTCATCATGGCGTCAAGTTCGGACGAAGGCGAGATCGTCGAGAATGTCGCTGAAGATTTGAAGGCAACTTCACTGCAGCACACTGGAGGAAGCTGTGTTGACCGTCAAGACAGACAAAAAAGTAGACTTTCGACTCCGGACCACGACTCGGCTTCTAGATACAGCAACAATTCACGACGAAGTATTTCACCCCGTGGTTACAAGCGATCGCATGACGAAAGAGAAAGAGATAGAGACCATCGGAACCCCAGAACCCGCGATCAAGACCACAGGAACTTTCGCAACAACTACGAGGATGCTCGACGCGACGACCATCGTAAGCCTCGTGGACAATACGATGACCCCGACCGACCTGCTTCGCGCGGATCCAACTATAACCACGGTGGCCGCGATCGGAGCCGTGACCGAGACAACTACCGCGATGGGGACCGAGATCGGTATTCCAACAAACGACCTCGAAACAGGAGTCGCTCTCCTAACAGATCCCGACACGCAGATAGAGGCAGGTTTGATCGTTTTGTGAAGGAAGGCCAACACAATCGTCGCGACGATGCGCCAAGGGGGCTCAAGTATGACGACAGCTATCGGGATGGCGGTTCTATGTCCAAGAGGACAACTGTAGGAGAGGCTTCACGCGCCCAAGGATATGATGCTAAACCTGGTCAAGGCTTTACCAATGGATATGGCCCCTCCAAGACTTCTCAGCAGTATGTACGATCACATCCTCCAACTTGCAACAATATGCTAACATGAAGATAGACAATCAGCAGCTCAGAAAGAAGCCGAACGAAAACCGGAGCCTGAACCTGAGCCCGAATACGATGAGCCTGAACCTATTGACGAAGAAGCTGAGATCGAGCGACGCCGCAAGCGACGTGAGGAAATCATGGCCAAGTCCAGTTCTGCTACTCCTTTATTGCTTCATGCGGTAGGTGCTGCAGCGAGCAAAGCCCACGCGGCATCACCTGCATCTACAGTGCCCGATACGCCCTTGAGAACGCAATCCGAGATTGCAAGTCCTCGAACTCCTCGATCAGGTATGTTGGCATCTCCTTGTAGGAAGCTTTTGTTAATCAGGGGTGCAGATGTCGCATCACCTCGCTCGCCTGTATCGCATGGTGAAATGTCCCCAGGAGGCATTAACCTCCTCGATGATAAGCAATTGATGAACAGTCACGGAAAGGCTCAGGCAGACGATGAAGATGGCCCCTCTGCAGCTGACTACGATCCTACTGGGGACATGGAGGAGGATGAACGACGAGACGAGCTTCGACACGGGCATGTCATGCTTCATGGTGAGCAGCATCCCATTGCAACGGAACAACAGCCACAGGAAGAAGTCCAAACCAAGCTTGCCGAGAAAGCCGGCGGCGATGGCGATGATGGGGACGACGATTTCGATATGTTTGCCGAAGACTTCGACGAAGACAAGTATGCGACCAAACCCGTGGAGCCCGTGGCACCTGTCGAAGGTGATGGCAAAGCCCCTGACGTCCCAGCCATCAAGGGAGGTATTCTCGAAGGTGATGATAAAGATGGCTATTACAAGATTCGCATTGGTGAAGTCTTGAATGGTCGATACCAGATCCAGGCAGCACTTGGAAGGGGTATGTTCTCGGGTGTAGCTCGCGCTGTCGACATAACCACAAAGCAGGTCGTTGCTATCAAGATGATGCGAAACAACGACGCTCTCCGAAAGGGAGGTTATACCGAGATTGCCATCTTAGAGAAGCTCAACGAGGCCGATCCCGAGGGTCGCAAGCATATTATCAAGTTCGAACACCAGTTCGACTACAAGGGTCACCTATGCATGGTTTTCGAGAACCTGAGCATGAACTTGCGCGAAGTTCTGCGGAAGTTTGGTAACAATGTGGGAATCAACCTTGGAGCGACTCGAGCATACGCGTACCAGATATTTGTTGCTCTAGCACATATGCGAAAGTGCAGCATCATTCATGCTGATCTCAAGCCCGACAATATCTTGGTATGAACCCCCAACGACATTGATATGACAAAGGCTAACTTGACTAGGTGAACGAGACCCGAAATGTGCTCAAGATTTGTGATTTGGGTACTGCTATTGACAAGACCGATGCAGCAACAGCACATATGGACCTTACACCTTACCTGGTCAGTCGATTCTACCGAGCACCGGAGATCATCTTGGGCATTCCTTACGACTATGCCGTTGACATGTGGTCCATCGGCTGCACACTTTATGAGATGTACACGGGCAAGATCCTCTTCGCTGGCGACAGCAACAACCAGATGCTCAAAGCCATCATGGAGATCCGAGGCAAATTCACGCCGAAGCTGTTCAAACGAGGCCAGCTGTCGCCCGCTCATTTCGACGACAAGGGGCAATTCGTCAGCATTGAACGAGACAAGGTTCTCGGCAAGGTATGTTATGATTCCATTCACGCCCCTCCACGTTACTCTGTTTATTGTTTGTTTTGTCATGTCCAACTCCTTGCATCTTCCTCCAAGCGCCATATGGTCTTGTTTTGGTGGCCACCCACGCGATAGCCATACTATTTTTGCCATGATGGCTGGGTGCTGTTCCATCATGGGGCTCTGCAACGTAAGCGCTTAGTCCCCTTGCAGGCAGAAGCGCTCGGGATATGTGGGGAAGCTTCACGATGACCGTCACCCACACAACGGTCGACAGATCAAAACATGAGGCATGTTGGATCTGAGACGCCCTTGCACGAGTTCCAGACTCAAGGGGGGATGTGGCGGGGTGAGATGAGGTGATTTTGATATGAACGATCTGGGCCTCATGACCTGGCCAGCCGTTTGTCTCGGTAGATCGGACTCTTTCAGCGTCAGCCACGATGACTTACATATCCCTTGCATACGAGTCCAACGGCTACTAAGGCTTGACCAAGCGCTCAGCCCTTGCCCATACCCGCATTTTACATGAACTTTGCTTCCCCTTTTAGAACTGTTGGTCAGGAATGTTTGACTAACAGACTTTGTTTACAGACAACCGTTCGAACCATGGCTGTGGTGAAGCCAACGCGGGACCTGCGGACAAGGCTCACGGCTGCGTCGGGAGGGATGAACGATGCTGAGACGAAGGATCTTAATAACTTTATTGATCTTCTCGACCACTGTCTTACACTCAACCCAGACAAGAGGATCAAGCCGGCTGATGCACTGCGCCATCCGTTCTTTACCTCGCGGGCGGGGCATGTACGTCGATGATTGGGGAGTCAAGTATCAAGGTCGTGGAAACATGACGATGTTTAGAAACGGAAGCAGTGGGTCAGGAAGTTCTGGGAGAATAGACTTGGCTAAACAAAAGAAGGGAGGATCATGGACTATGGACTATGGCTGGTTCAAAACATGTGGTGGTTTGATCAATGTCTCTGAAGGTGTCACCGCCGTTTGCATGCCATGCCTCGTTGTGTCTCACATATTGCCGAGTGGATGGATATCAAGACTTGGGGAAGCAGGCTAGAAGGTGCTGGAGTTTTGGAGTTTGGTTTTGAGTTCAAAACAAATGTCTGGACGTTATAATAATTGCTACTAGTAAGAAACCACTATTGATTGCGCTGTTTACGGAAGATCGCCGATGATATGGAGTTCTTTGTCCTTGCGTATCCGTAGAATGCGTAACCTCGTACTCGCTGAAATCCGAGTCACATAACGCACGCCCGGCTCGTACGGAGGAATCCGCCCAGCTGGGGCTGGTATTCGGATCAGATGAGGCTCTCAGGCACGGAGTGGCGATGCAGATGGCGCGTGAGCTTACACAAGCTAGACAAGGCAGACGAGAAATGCTAGAATGCGTGCCTACGCGGGTAAAACTATGTTGTGCATTTTCTAGGCTGCTTGTTAGTGATTAGTGAAAATGTACTCAATTCCAGGCTGACGTTTGACAGCCTGGTGGGTTAAGGGTAAAGACCGAGACGGGGCGTAACGTGATGGGCAATGCAATCAAGGCTGGACGGCAACATGTGGTGCCTGCTAGGCTTTCATTGTGGTCATCTCGGCAGACGATGTTGCACGGGGAGGGAGGTGTTTGCCGTAGATACTACGGGCATTGTGTTGTGGTTTGTGTAAGTCGCTTGCTTGGGAAGCAGAGCGGTTGGTCAGGATGTCAAGATGGTATCACTGGGGAGAGTCCATGTGTAACCGCTATCAACATCAATAAAGCTGTTACACAGATGAAATGGATTGCTGGCAGTGCTACAAAGATGGGCAGGGCGAGCGAGTGGTACTGGGCGCATGTGTAATTCGCTGTGACATTTGCCAGGTGATTGATTGTCTTTGATGTGCACAAAGGGTCAAAAGTGAGGCTTCTGGCGATCAGGACCCCTACTAAATTCAAGACGACTCAGTTGACGTCGGGATCATCAATCACGTTCGCCCTTGAGTTGAGCGATCTTATCGGTTCTGCCCGACGCTCGGACGATCCATAATGAGCAATGTTATGCAAAACAGCAAATGAACGTGTGTCTTTCTTGTGCATTACAATTGATGATGTGCATGTTAAATTGGTGACGGTATCCTTATGGCATACACCCTTGATCATCGGAGCTCATACACATCTGTAACGAATCCTGCGACGGAAATTACGCCCAGACGTCTAATCACCGAACGAGTCAAGGATAATGAAATCACAAAGTGGATGCGCAGCCTCACTTGCCATGTTTAGCTTTAGGAGGAAGGAAAACGGTGAACCTGTTGGTGCTATAATCTAGGTATCGAACAGGACAGGGGGCGGGAGTTTAGGTCCAGGGCCAGGGCTTCTTCTCGTTTGACTGAGACATTATGACGGACGGTGGCGATTCCTGGGTAAGGGCCGTAAGGGCAGGGCAGATCGGTAATTAGGCTTAGGACGTTGACGTTGATGGGCTGGCCGCTGTGTCGTCAGGATCAGCACTCAAGGGAGCACGTTTCGCGCTGATCTGGAACGAGAGCCGGGAAAAGCAAACCCTTTCAGCTCTTTGTCTTGGGAGGTGTTTGGGGTTGGTTGTGCATCGTGGGATTGGTGGTTTTGTTCGTGTGTCTGACGCTTCTGACCCTGTCAGTTTCATCACCAGTGATAATCCCTCCAGTAGACGGCATTTGTTTAATTCGTGGTTTGGGTGCCCTTGGGTTGGGAGGATCATCACAACAAATACTTCCCCGATGTCTTTAGGTGCTATTACAACACGATCAATACGAGGGCTATGATGTTTTACATGTACGAAGTTAGCAACAGTCACCTGAAAGCTGGAGAGTGTATCAGTTTAATTAATGACCGTATTCAGTATACGGACAAATGAATTGAATAACCAAGTTGAATACAGGGTAGCCATAGTGTGCTCCGTGTCCTACCCCGGGTCCGCTCCGTGACGGCATCCCCATATCCACATTCACATGAGCACGGTCACGGTCACGGATGACGGATGATGGATGACGGGATTGGAATCAGGAGAGGGCCGGCTTTCCCAAGTTGTCCTGGTGTCCTGGTGTCCTAAACACCCTGGACCGTGTCTTACGATTACAGTAACAGACAGCACCAGCTTCACCGTCAATAACTGAGAGACTAGAGAAGAGAACCCAGAAAGTGACGTTTTGGTCTGCATCATCCCACCAAGTTCGTTCCTTATCCATCTGACCAAGGCGATTGGACCAGCTCGATCTCGAAGTGAGCAACTTGTTGATGCAAATCATGCACACAATGGTCTAGTCACCCTCCTCTCCAAGCGCCGCGGATGTCATCCCGTCTGCCTTTCTCAACACCACCCAATGGATCTTTCTCCGCCAGCACTTCTCAAGCTGCAGTGATGTTGGCGATGCGCCGTTGAGGTCTTGACCCGGGCAGCGAATTAGACTTTTGCGGCCAAGGCGACAACGTTGGCTTCGACCCTTTTTTACGGGCAGGGAACAGTTCGCTAAGAGAAACCACATGTGCCGTGGCTGATCGGCCGCATTGTGCCGTAAAATGGTGGCGAGGACAAGTGCATATCGAGAAACTGGGATCCTCCAAGCAAAGCACGGGTTGAGCTGAGACGGGATGGGATGGATGGACAGGCTAGACAGGCAGGTTTCTCGTTCCTCGTGACGGTTCTTGTGCATTGCATTGTCCTCCCCCTTGCGTCCACCCGATGCGTGGAGGAAACCCTTGCAGATATCCAACGTCTGGCGGTGAATCTACAACGGAGGTCCAATATCAGCCCACCGCGAAACGTGCCGGTTCAGCTTAGACCTCCAGTATACAGTACACGTTTAAGACGGGCTACGGTTGTCCCATGCTGGTGTCTACTATGAATGCAGAGTTACGAGAAGATAGGCAATGGTTACGAATATCTTGAGAGATAACTGCCGGTTCATCCAATGCGGTGTTGCATGTGACACTTAGACCTCTGCGTGAAAGCTGCTGAACGATCGATCTTGAGATCGTTATCAGACCAGAAACATCCCCCAGACCACACCAGCTCACTACAAGGTTCATGGTCAAAACGTAAGGATATCTCGATCTGGCTAGCAACACCTAAAACATGGGAGAGTTATCGTTCGAATCAAGGTGTCGTGCTGATACCAACGCCAATTTAGACAATAACCGCAGTGATGTTCCCGGGGAAGTGGCCCTGGCGCAAAAGTTGATGGTGTGCTGAAGCACTTGTTTGCTTGCTTCTGCATCTCCCGATAGGACTGAGACTGAGGCTTTTGGGTCTTGTGCTATTGCAGCTGTAGTAGGACGTCTTAACAGATGCATTGCAATGACTCACGAAACCCATCTTGGTTGCGCATAGCATGGCATAGCATAGCATAGCTTCTAAGTGAGTGCATGGACGGCAGTGCAGAGGGTAACTCCCTATTGGGTCGATATGGTATCTGGTTAACCTTTTCCTGTCTGGAACTGCCAGAGGATTTGTCCCGATTTGCTACTTCTTGTTCGCAGCTGGTCTCTTGCAAGTTTTGGGGCAACCGGCAATGCATAACAGCAGATGGTATCGAACCAGGATGGACCACTTATGCATTGCCGTGCGAGGGAGAAGGGGAGCCGGTGGTCAAGTTGCGTTGCAGGTTGCGGGCTGCAGTGGGTTGAACTTGTCAACTGTTTATGTGAGCGAGCATGTTTCGGTCAGCAGTCAAAGCAACGCACAATCAGCCCATGCATAACATAACATACAATGACAGTGACTCGATTAGGCCATGCGCCCCGAGAATGGCCCATCGGCCAAAGCAAGGACGCTCAGATCCTCCTGAAGCAATGTTTGAGGCAGAGCGCGCCATGCCTCAGCTACAGTAGATGGCCTGTATGATCGACGCCCCGGACTCAAGTCTCAAGATTAGAACGCTTCTTTCAAGGGCCACATCGGCATCAGAAGCATCAGTGCTCGCTGGCGAGAGATGGGTCGATCCTAGGAGCATCCCTGTTTGACCTCGGGAGGGGCTTCCAACTCGACAAGGCATGCGTCTTGTAGCGACTAAAACAGCTGCCTCACTTGTGTCGAGTGGATCGAAGCTCTGTAGCTTGTTTCTTGTTGGTCCATAAACTTCTCAAGAGAGGAAGCCAGAGAAATTGATTGAGCACAGGGCAACAAACGGGGAATAAGGAGGCCCGAGATGATGGAGATCTCGGTACTAGGCCTTGAGTGGCTTAGAGTCATGCATGATCTTGGACTTTGGTGGGCTATTTTTCTGATAGTTGATCGGTAATCACGGTGAGCACTGAACTATGAGCGTTCTATGCTTTCTTACGCCAGACCGCCTCTCCTGGGAAGAAAGGGCCCGTTCGTTGACAACCCCGTCTTTGACAACTGTTACTGCTAGCTGGCCACGGGAGACAGAGTGTCCTGTCTCCCCTGGTCTTTATACGGAAGTGAGCACTTAACTGAGTGAAATACTATCCGTACCAGGGGACCCTTTAGGCGAAGTCGGCTCTTTGACGGGAGATATCGACAAGGAATAGGGTAGTTGTGTCTATTTTCGAGAACAGATGGGTTCGCTTCACCTGAACTTCTTCCGAATTACACGTTGAGAGATAGAGAAACATGTTCGAGGAGCTGATATCACGCGATGATGGTTCGTGGCTGGAACGAAGAGTTGAGATTGGAAACAAGTGGTCTGAGAGAAAATATCTCACACGTTGGTTGACAAGGTGCAACAATTGAACTGGCCTCAATTCCTGCCTCCATCTGCCAATGCTCAGATCTAGGGACTTGGAGCACTGTACTGAACGATACCTGTACACAGCGACGTAGTAA